CAAGAGCTGTCAAAAGTACCATGTGATTTAAACAAACCTAGCAAAATAATAAATATCTTGCTAGTTTTTTAAATCTTCCTATAAACTTATGGAGTACATTTTGCTGAAGTTTCGTCATCCTAATTACTTTAAAGAGTAATGGAGTACTTCGAAACATGAGTAAGATTTCTGTTGTAAAATCAGCAAATGTTGATCTCCGACTTGAGAGACAACATAAATTGCTTTTGGAATCAGATTTCCATTTTAGGAATTTGATTAAATCAATTCAATTCATTTAATCTTACTTCCAAAATTTTCGCCTCGATTAAAACTATATTTTCTCGTACATGCATCTAAATCTAATTAATGGTCCGTGTTGTTTTATATGACTCAATAAAATTGGAGCATGGCAATTTCATAATGGAACAAATTATTTCACAAGTTGGTTATAAACTCGCCAGGAGGTGAAATTGTCAGATGAAGAACAAATTTATCAAGTCAAGGGTTAAGTCGTGTACATTATTTCTTCCAAAATGCGATTATCTAATTTGTAGACGTGCCATTCTCTGGCATTACTGTGAAATCCTTTCGACGTGGACTCCACCCTTGATTGAACTAAAGACTCTACGATACATAATAAAACATTGTTGTCTGTATGTACAACTTGACGGTAATTTCGCTATTTGCTCCAGTTTTTGTTCCTTTGGCATTCCATCAGACATCATTAGCTTTATGTATGATTTGTGCTGAATTTAAAAAAATGCCATTTGGAGCTACTTCTCCTTTACAATTTTTTTCAAGAAGGTTGACATTTTTGCCATGCATCATCACTCGCTACTTGATCATTGTTTGACAAAATCTGTCCTACGTAATGTGGCTACAAAATGTTGTTTTTGTCTGCAAATTAGAAATTTAGCCATGATATGTTTGTTGAGCTTCTGAATGACTGTGTTTAAGCAGCTATAGTAAAGTATTTGCGTTTCGGTGACCTTATCTTGGGAGGCAGGCACAAGGAAATAATGGCAATACCAGAATAATGCAGTTTTAGACATCTTAATCAAACGACACCCACGAAATGTTTACACTTTAATGCTGCAACGACTTTGAAAAGGCTTAGTTCCTGCCTTGAATTGAATCATTTTTGCAATTCTTATTTAACAATTGAATCAAGAAACTCGACTCCACACGAATAAATTCCTTCTGTTGAATGTAACCACGTTTCAGCTAATCTAAAAAGGTTACAGCATCTCTATATACAATTGAATGTAGAATACGTATGTGTGTAAGTACGTGTAGAAATCTATTTATTTTTCATCATTCAATCACACACGTCGTCAAGAAAAAAGTTAAGCCATTTATTATTATTTAACACTTGCACTTTTATTTACATGAAACAATAGCTAATTGTTAGATCATGAATTTAATGTAGCCACCACAGCCGGATGCCCTGGGCTCTGATATCCTCATCCACATCCACTTCTCTCATCTTTTACGAACAAACAAATGACAATTACACAGTAGGAAAATGATTTGTTATTATTTGATTACTTGTGAATTACACTGACATAGATGAATATGAATGAGACTTGTTTTAGTCTCGATAACCACAACCACACGGGTTGGATATATGATGACAATTTTATTACCGTCTCTATTTCATTTTCATAAGTTGTACGCACCTACCAGTTCAATTGTTTCAATAACCAAACCGCCACAAGAGTTGAAATTATTCTTCCTTCCTGTTAGTAATTCCTATCAAAAATGAGTTGTAGCCAATTAATTGTACGTTATTGTACAAAATTGGCGTCATTGTTTGACACTAGATTTCACTTATTCTGCATACTGCATGCATACCCTATACTTTTTAGTCTACAGTGCATCATAATTAAATAATATGATGGCAACTCGAAGTTGAACTACAACAAGTAGATTTGTCTACTGCTTGAAACATGAGAGCGGTCTTGGAATATCATCATCAATCAAACCTAGACCCTTAAATTTGGTGTTGCAATTGTGTTGCACCAGTGATGAAATCGCTATTTATCTGTGCATGTGCATCCATAAACAATAACGTCACTCTGGTCGATTCGAGTTGAAGTTTAGTGTTTCATAACATGGACTTAAAGTCCTCAATATTAAACCCGTTCTCTTGTCATTTCAAGTGATGATGAAAGTATGGAAGTACATATGAAAGTTGATGGAAGTATGCATGTGAAGGTGCTGCTTTTTACTTGTATACATGTACACATGCACTTAGCAGTGTTTTTGCGAATATTGCTTCATCATTGCAATGAACAATTATTTTTTAGTTCATAAATAGCCTCAAGATGACATTTGAATTAGTCGCATGCTGCATACCAATCGGTTAGAATTTATTGACTACTAATTGACCACAAATGAAGGGTTTCCACTTTAAGCAAATCCTAATAATAATAATCATACGATCATATAGATGCTCTACATAATAATATATTCATTTCTTTGTGAATTGACTTCGACACACATTCATAACTGATAATGATACCTTCGACGAGTATGTGTCATAAATGCAGTAAGGTGAACTTAAATTTAATTTTAGTCATGATATGCATGCACAGAGAAATGAAGGAATGAGAGTGAGAGTTGAGTATGTTATACATGTGTCTTATCCTATTATGTACATATATGGCACTCTGTGATGCACTACTTTTTGCTGATATTTCAATTATAGGACTCAGTAATTTGCAATGATTTGGTAATCATCTCCTCTGTTAATTAGAATGGATCTTATAAATTATATTGCTATTTAAATTTCAAATTTCAGTTATGTTTCAAACCTCCTCATGTAAAACTGTAATTTGTAAACATAACCAGCTCGTCGGTTGAAAATACGGTTAAGTCAACTCCAACTCAAGAATTGTTATGCAATCTCTTCAACTGAATGAACAGATTGCATTAGATGAGGTAATAATGCAGAGCGTCCTCTCCGACGCTAAAATGCATCGCTTCACACAAATTTATTTAACACAATATTGTTCGCCCAATGGAAGACTTGCAAAACTTGAATTTGATTGAATAGAGTTGGAGGAACCGGTAATTCTCGTTGCTTTGATGATTTGGATTGAACTCATTTTCTTGATGATCATTACATATTATTAACCCGTTATGTTTGATGGAGACGTTGGTGCATCTCAGAGAAATATTATCACATTTGAAAACTATATGACATAATGATGCACTTTCAAAAAGGAGACTGTTTCCCATTTCACTTTCAAATATTAAATTGTAACAATATAGAAAATACATAACAAGACTGCAATTAGCCTTCGTCGTAATACGTATTGACAGAGGTACTTTTGATACAATTCAATCAATTCCTTTAATACACACGCAGGCATAACAAAGACAAATATGATTTACTAGAAACAAATGAACTTGCAGTGTATTATTAATAAAATTCGCGTTAATTCACAAATGTAAAAGCTACTCTACATTATGTGTGTGCTTTGCTGATGCATTTCTAGATATCAATAATAAACTTGCTGTGAAGTGTCTTATCAAGATTCTCCCACAATTAATAATTCAAATACTATGACGTTGGTATTTATGAAAATCTTAAACGATTTATCAGGAAATCACACAAAAAACAAATACTTGGTTTCTTCCTGATGAGTTAAATAATAATTAAAAACATTCAAACAGTGCAATAAAATTGTATTGTCTACACCTTAACTTATGTATTTGACACATTTTATGCGCCTAGAAAAAAATCATGGCTCAGTTAAGAACATTATTTTTACTTCAAACGGAAGAACCATTCATAATTCTAACGGATTGATGAACTACGCGTCTAAAAATTACAGCTCATCACGCTGTCTGTCTTTCGTGTTAGCTATACAATTTGCGAAATCCAACGGATCCTTGCATTACACTTTGTTGAATGGGGAAGTACTTTACACTTTGTAAAATTGAAAGTCATTTGACGATACAAAAGTTTTTTCTGTGCTGTTGAGGATGTGGATTAAGTTCACCTGCTCTACACTTGTTTAATGAATGATCATTGAATGCACATGCCCAGATAATCAATCACATGTTGTTGGTACAACAAATTGCATACGACGGTGAATGCATGGGTGGGTGTAGTGATTGCAACTGCAAGTATCTCTGCTGAGCAATATGCTTATATAAATTGGACGACGTGACGATAAAAATAAGTTACAAAAGTTTTACTTTTACAAGACGCTTACGCTTAAAAGATAGGAGTTTAGTTGCTCAATCAATCTATCCATCTTTTTGCATCCCCCCTCCAAAACACAACACATTTTCAGTATCAAACCAACGCCATCAGCACAATGGTGCAGCCAATGATGCAGAAACACGAGTCGCTCAAGGTTCGCACAAATGTCGCAATTTTATAATGGAATATAAATATGCAATTTAATTCACAACTGTTTGCGAAAACTGGGCATATTTATATATACAGAACAATGAAAGGTGCGTTATAGGTCGACATTGAACCTAGTTAGATCTGTAAATTGAATACAATTTAGTTTGTTTGGTCAATTCATTGTTAAGAACTTGGGTAAAGGCTGCTCATTGCGAAATGTGACACGTTACATTTTGGCAGCATAGCAATTGGTGCTAGTGCATAAATTAATATAACCTTTAAAATATCTCGGTTTATAGATTTCGATCCAATTGTTTATTTCAAGAAGGTCCAAATAAGGAAGTTTGTAGAAAGCGAGAGCGAAATCCAATTGCATTTCTATCACGAATTATTATATTCTTGTGGTGTATGTCTTAAGTTCCTTAAAAAATTAAGTCAGCTCTGATATTCAAACTTGAGTATAATAACACCATTAGAAGAGTAATTGATATCGTCATTAATGGTGACGAAGATGGATGAAGACAGATCCGTCATTGAGTAGTCTAGATGCATACCATTGCGAACAAAGATTTATCATAAATAAGGCGTAAAAGCTACAAAAAGCTTGATTGATACAGTGACAGAAATGAAATGCATCTGCAATTGTTTTCCTTACCGCATGCTTTAATATAAATTCCTTAAAATGTGAGCACCAGTTTCCGTAGACCAAATCCAAGTCAAATATTGACCTCTGTATTTAAATTAGGCTGCAAATCTTGTTTTTTATATATATTTATTACGAAGGAATCCTTCTTCCGTTAATTTGTAGTATTCCGTTAATCTTGTTTTGGGATATAAATCATACTTTGATTTTCTGATTTCCAATGTAATATTTATTTTATTTTATAAAATTCACTTTGGCATAAAATTTTGAAATAAACTAAAGGGCAAATTGTTGCAGATAAAGGGATTATAAAATTAGAAGTAAAAAAAGGTAACGAAAGACAGTAGGAAAACTTTGAGTTAGAAAGTTGATATGTATATGATTATTATAACAACTGCAGTTGTGTGGAATCACTGCATTCGCACTTTTTCTTTATTCACGAAAGAAATTAAACCAAAACGAAAAAAACTAAAGTTGGCAAGTCCTTTCAAAGTTATTGAATTTTGAGCCGTTTCCGTACTCCTGTCCCATGGCGTCCACAAAAACAAGAATGCACACAAATAATAAAATGATTAGACAGATACAAACCCACCGCACGAAGCGCACCACACGACTACTGTCACGACGAGTTTAAACAAAGATTTGGTGTGAATGTGTAGTAAGCGATTGAATAATAATCAGAAACCAAACGGTGGTGGGACTTGGGCGGATGGGGGTATACATCCACCACTCTTGTCGTCGTCGTCGTCGTCTCGTTTGTCAACACGTTGCTGGGTAGTCAAATTGCAACTGTTTAGCTTATACTTCTTGTTGAGCAAGTTTTCAATAATAAAGGGCTAAGAACAGTGGTCGTGGTGTAAGCTTATAGTGGCAGCAGTACTATTGGTGTGGCGCTTGGGCCCCTTTTCGACTGTTCATAAATATAAGTGCATACATATCTAGTTGGCATAAAGACGTTAGCATACACCACAACAGCTATACATCAGCAGCAGCAACAAATTTTTAAACTTATGTGGCGAATAAAGTCTGTAGGAATATTTTTAGGCAGTACGTTTCATGCAACATCATGATATTGCAGTTGGAAGGGAAATGCTCCTTACCACACAATATTCAACAGTTGATAAAAAACACTTTGCGATTTCTGGCTATTACAACTGAACTCACGAAGCAGAACCAAATAATCAACTAGGCTTCGAGTCTCATAAGTGAACAACAACGATAAACGAGGGAGAAATCTCAGAATGGAGAGAAGGGAGTAGTGTAGCGTAAGATGAATTCATGATAGTTAACCATAAAATAATAGACAAACTTTATCGCTGCTTGGATTTTGGTTTGGTTTACGATTTCGTGGGGAAGGGCAGTTGGGGTATATCGCACTGCCTCCCAAATCTCAAAGGGTCAGACTCAAGTTGCTTTGGCGTTGCTGCTTGCAGTGTGCGTTGTGACGTGGGGGTTGTGCAGAAATGCATTGAAATATTGACACAGCAGCGTGGACTTACCCCAACAGTATCTGCACACAAGCAAATGCATGTATGTCATGTCTCTGCCATAGATTCAGAGTGCAAATGAAAGGGATAGTGGAGTAGTGCATAAATATTTAGATGTTTGCAATGATTACCAATTGGGTTTCCCTTGGTCTTTGGATTATCGAACCAGTGTCATTCGCATTTGTGCGATACTTTGTGACGAGGCGAGATTTGATAAAATACTGATCCTATGATATTATAATGATGATTGAGACTGACAATGTGAGACTATTGCAGTTGTTATGATGTTAATAAGGTCTCCGGCTGGAGAAAATTAAAGAGATACTGATCCAACTGAAACTTTGGTATAAGATTATATTTATTTATGATACATATTTTCAGATAACATTAAATTTGTGCATTGGCGTTGACCCAATTGATTCTTGGTTGCTTAAGTAGGACGTTAATCTGTACAATAGTTGTGAACACAAAATCTCCTCGAGTATCTTCGTTTAGTTTTCCAACGTAAACAAATACAACAATCCTCGTTAATTAAGTTCTGCAGTTTATTAACACAAACTCTAAAACTTTTCAGCAGCCCTTTATTCTCGTAATTCATTTTGGAAGAAATTCAAGCTGACTCATGTTTCATAAAGAATTGTTGCACTACCTATGCAGACAGATACACATTGGAATCACCGAAGGATGAAATGAACTCGCCCTTTCACCATGAAAGCAAAAGTATCCGCCTTCTTGGGTCCAAATATACATGGAAGAATCAAGCCTTAAATTCACAACATATGGCGTAGCGTTCTCTAATTAATTACAATCTCCTAACCTCTCTTTTTAACTATTATCTGCCGTTAGTTAGAGGGAAATTGTTCTTAGAATTGGTTAGAATGAATGTACGCAGCACCTTGTTCGCACTTACGTATGTATGAAAATATTAGTCTTAACTGCAGATCAAGATCTTTCGTCCCATTAGTAAATTAAGTGAAAAGCAATAAGTAAACTTTTTGCGAAGAAAAAGAATTGAGTGCAAAAGATGCGCTTTGTCTTCTAGGAAGCCGTTTTTTGTTATGTCATCTCGCCTCTGTCATTATACTCGATTATGTGTAACATTGTGACCACAAGATTATTTTTTTTACTGCCATTCTTCTGATCTGGTTTGGCTTGGTGCAGTGATAGATGGATGGATGGAGAAATGGAATGAATGGATTGTGTGATAAATCTTTCAGTATTTGTTAGTCTTTCTTATTACAATTTGGTGGTAACCCAGATTGTTATCTGATCAAATGTTGAAGTGTATAAAATTCGTCTCAGGAATTGTGCAGACTTGTCACCATCGTGTTTTTTTGTGTACGTAGATGCGTGTGCCATGTTCAAGTAAGTTCAACTAACCCAGTTAACCAGGTACCGCAATAACATGTCTGAAGTATAATCAAGTTTTCGTCTATTATTTACTCTGCTGGGAGGCAATTCGTACACACGTACCTACGTACGTACGTATATAGCACAATACTAAGATTTGATTATCAGTTCTCATTTCATTGCTAAAGAAAGACCCACCACTTCCTTGTGAGGACAAAGACAGCAACAATAAATGTCATCTCAAGTGTCCTAAAGTGCTAAACTGTTTCTTCAAACGAGGAGTTAAGCAAGAAGCCTCTTACAAAACTGAATGTTGCAGAGTGACAGATTTAAATTTATTTTTGTCTCACAGTCAAGTGCTCTCCTTTAATTGGTCATTGATGACACTTTATTATGCGATGCGTATGTATTATAACATACGTAATTGTATATTATTTAATAAATTGGGGTACCTTGAATTTAGAATAAATATCAATACGCGCATATATACATGTGTATGGTTCGATGGTCCAGTTCGAAACCTATTTAAATTAAACTAGACGTAACTCGGCTAGTCGGCTACAAATCACAAACAAAATCAGAAACTTGGATTAAATACATAGTTTTCCCACCGCCTTTAACTTCCATCCATTGACCACGCCTATATAAAGATTGGATTTTATTAGAAGAATAGTGTTAGTAAGAATGACTTAAGTGACAAGCTGCGCAACCCCGATGATTCAATTATTAATTAAAGCCACGCTTTCGTCACCGAATGATTTAAAATGTAGGTGTTTTATCACTCCAATCTACACACTCATGCATAAATACTTACACACACGATATGTAAATGTATGTATACATAGCAAGATGATCATTAATCCACCACACATACATATGAAGTTTATGGACATAACACAAATCACTATTATTTTAGGAATGTGCAAAATTGTCATAGTCATTTATAGCTAAATTGGATCTGAAAAAGTAATATGCATGCCTGAATGGAGTTGATAATTTAATATTAAGGTAGTCCATTGTTTTTCATAATAGTTGTGATGCACTTGACGAGAATTTGGCATCACTCATTTATTCAGTTACCTAACGTACATGCGGGCCGCACTGTTAATGAAAAACTTAATGAACTTTAGAATGCCAAACAACCAGGTGGTGCAGACGAGAGAGGAGATCGTGCTTAGTGCAATCCAGAATGATGTGATCTTGCATTGTTATGTAAGACGACCCAACGCATAACTCTTTGTTCCCGACAAGCCGACGCGAATTGAATTGAACTTAAGAGGGGAGTTTCACTATTTGCCAATAACCGATTTGATGCCTATTGGATATGTTGCAGCATTCTGTAAGTACGAAATCACCCAAGTATTTTTCGGACATATACATTTTCAAAAATATAGAAGTTTTTAAAATTGAGTTTGATATCGGATATTATGAAAATGATAGCGTTCTAATTTTCTAAATCCGAGAAATTAGATTTTTTGCGAACGTTTGAAGATGGCGATTTTCGGGTTTCTCGCCCATTTGAGTGGGTGTGGGAGTGTAAATGTGGTCATGAAATCAAAACATTCGGGGGGCTTTTAGTACACTCCTGGGGTACTACAACCTATCCAAAGGGCATCAAGTTCTGTTACTGCCGAATAGTGAAGCTGTCCTCCTTAGATGAGACCTAATTTCGTCTAGAAGCAATTAACAAGCGTTTGTTAAAAATTGGGTTAGATAAGCTGATTTCAGTTTCAACGTACAAGGCTACGTCACCCCTGCTGTGAAGTATCGATGAAGTGTGTTCTGGCGATCTGAGTGACCCATTAATAACGCTGATTTTTTTTGCCCTTGGCACAAGAGTTTAACAGAGTTCATGTTGGGTGGTTCGAATCTGAGACACCTTGTGTATGTTCTCCACTTATCCAATGGGTAATTGTAAAAATAATACAATTTGCATAACTACCTGAAAATGTATTTATGCACAGGTATATATATGCATCTACATATATACTTAAAATTACAAAATTGACCACGTGTATGTATATTTATTTACATCATATAATATGTAATTTGGATGAATAGCTGAGAATTGCGGTCGTTTGCACTACTCTTGAATAAGAAGTTACATACATGAGAAAACCTACATCTTCATCAAGCATATCGAAGATCTTGTCATCGTGTAGGTACACTGCAATGGTCAAGCAAGGTGGTGATTAAAGAGTGAAAGTGTATGACATTCTGTCGCTATCAGTTTATTCCAACTTTGTTCAGCTTTATATATTACATTTAATTTTAACAACGTTTTTACATTTCACGTTAAGTACACATAAGGATGCAAGTGCAGCGGAGCAATATTATGGAATAGAATAATGTAAGGTTAGCAAAACTATTTGGATTACTCAATTTCTTTAATATTTGAGAGGATAGGTATGTAAACCTTATACGCTGCATGTTAAGACTTGGCGATTATTGGACACTTCTATTTATATTAGACATACATATTTATGGGTTGAGACCAGATTAATGAATCAGTGAGTTTATGATAAAAAACAAATCCAATGTACACATCAATATACTGACTCCACATACGTACATACATTTAAGTATACGTTGCGGTACTCGTGACATGTAAGTTATCCAATGCTATTGTTTCCACTATAACGAATGTCTGGTCGCAAGTTAAGTTTCATACAATTAAGAGATAAATTAATATATAAATACATACGTGCGTACAATTATTGGTACTTATATGTAGGTTTATGTTTACTTGAGCGTTGCGTTATAAATTTTTTGTAAGTTTGAAGAAATTATATAAATATGAAGAATAAATTGTGTTGGAACAGAAGAACGGAAATTTGATTATATCTGCAAATTGCTTCACACAAATTGAGTTTAGAGTGCTAAAATAACACAAAAACCTTCACACTAATGCTCGAATTAATGAGTCTTATTATGTAAGAATTGAACTTTAGAGCTGGAGATATGAGTAAATCTCTACGCTTTATTAAATTTGAAAGATTGCTAATTGTTTAATATTAGTTTCTTAGTTTGAACAATACGCTAGCATAACAATAGCTGAAGTGTGTAACTAATTGGAAAACTCTCCAATAAATTATAAGTAGTTATATATGTCTATTGTAATGACAGTATTTGACAGTATTTCTCAGTTCAGTATGCTTTACGTAGTCATAAGTAGCCAAGTGTTACTAAATAATATGCCCAATATTTATATATGGTACATAAGTACATACATTAATTTCATGCCCCGCAGATTGTTTTATTTAAACTGTAGCTTTACACTTTTATGGACTTGACTAATTAAAAAAGATGTAAATACACCGGAAAATTAATCACAGAGACTCAAAGGTAGGACATATCAAGTGCATTAAAAAGTGAGCCTACATCGTTGTGTGTGGAAATCCTCCAGAAGGGAAACGTCATCTGAAATTAAATTCAAATGGCATATTTACATTGTATTAACTTATTTGGAAGCTTAGCAACTTGTAATTAGCAAACTCTACAAGTTTAATCTACTCGGAGCATTTAAATTAAGCATTAAGAAATATCAACTGATGCCATGCAAGATATTTAGAATTATAAATACTTAGGTAAGTTTATGGGACTATAATTTTTAACAATGTGGAAATGCAAAAGATATCAATCAATGAGTTGCATAAGTACAAATGCAACTATAATAGTGTCCGTTCAATCGGCTTCCTTTTTTCCGTCCACTTGGGTCACAAGGAGCGCTCACTTCCGGAAAGGAAATTTTCTATAAATCGTCAGGAAATAATAACAACATTCTGTTGCTGCTGAAGTTCAAAGGTATACCAAAAGCGTTGTGTGATAGAAGAAATAGAAAATAGGAAGTGAATAAGTATTTTAAAAACAAATTGTCATTCAACGAGTAACACATAAATTCATCTTCATTTTGAGTGTTGGAATGTATGTGAGAATAAAAGCGAGAGTTAAAAACGATGAATTCATCAATAGTGCAAATTAATGTTGGTAAGACAAATACCTGTTTAGCGGCCTTTTCCTCGTCTTTGCCATCTCCCAAAACGATATATGTGCACTTGCGACCAAAACGAGAGACGATCCGCTCAAAGCAACTATCTTTCCCTAAAATTTAAAAAAATCATCAAACTATATCTTTCATTATTCTACCAAGTTTTGGCAAATAACTACGATTATATATGCCAAGCAGTATTTAATTGCATATTTCTCGTAAATTTGGATAATGCGAAACAAAATACACACGTCAGAAATAAATTGATCAAAGGTTTTACTACATTTAAAAATAACTTTTGTAAATATAATTTTCTAAAATCTATCTCTTATTCTTCAAGTGTTTTGACCATCTATTTAATTATTAAGTGATAATCAACAATTGTCAAAGACGATTCTATTGGATAGAATGAGTGGTGTATGATGCTTGTAATGCATATTAATACATAGGTACGTATTTTCCTCGTTGCCTAAATATATGTGTAGATAGACGTACATAATTCAGTAAATTGTTCATGCAGGTATATTAATGCGCTTCCAATTATGCTTTTAATTAGCAATTGTCCAGTGTTTAGTTGACTACTAATAATTGCATGAGATTCAATGCCCAAGACCAATAGTAAATGCATGAGGTCATATGTGTACCACTCGCTATGCATTTAACTGAATTTGGAGTCAGCCAATGTGCACTTCCTACTTTGAATCGTATTTCCTTGTCTAAGAGAAATTACTCACAATGCATGACCACCAAGCATTGCCAGAACAATGGATGGATACCACTCATCCAAGCTCAGACGACGACGTTCTGCGTTGCATGGTTTTGTACACAGGTCTGCACAAGGAGGATTTGAGGTGAATTGAAAATAATTGTAATTAACCTAATCCAACGATCGTTCAATCCTTACAAGCATTTACATATTTCCAGGTTATTTATGCAAGAGGCAAATGTTTGCACGTTTCCCCCCTCAGCTAAATTAGTACTCTGTTTGCTTAACATGCATCCTTCTGAATGTGCTTATGTACATAAATATGTTTCATGTATCATTCTGCACACTTCTCACATTTATTTTACTTCCTTCTCACATTAAGCCAATCTTATTCATGAGTTTAATAAAAGTACCAACTTACCAATTTTTGTTGCGGAATATATGTTTTCTATAGGAAATATTGGACCAAGTCCGTAAAGCAGTACTTTTGCCAATGCTGGAACCAATTGGGTAGTGGTTACTAATACGTTGACACAGTTTTGTCTACAAATGCATAATAAGAATACTTATATTTTTGTCACGTACTTATATAAAAGTATTACTACAAATATTTTAGCGCTACTAGTAGTGAGTTAGTAGTAGTGAGTTAGCTTATACAAGTTAGTTAAAAAATAATAACGCACCTGGAATTTATAACTGACAAACATTTCATAACCAGCGATGTCCAGTTGTCTGTCAATGCTTCGATTTCTGATCTTAAATGTACCCACTGCTCACGAACTTGGGGGTTTATCATTCCTACAAAAATAAAATAAAATGGATCAAAATTACAAATATATTACGTAATGAGACTAAAAAACTGGTTACTCCGAGTGAAGCAGTATGATTAGCATGTGGTTGAATATACTAACTAATTGATTTTTGTATCTATAATTTTTGTGACTTCTTGAACTTTATGGACATTCTAAAACTTTGAATTTAGTACAGTGGTGGCAATAAATTACAATTAGAAGAATTTAATTCAAGTGGCTATAACTTAAGACATTATTCGTATAAAGATGCAATTGACTCGAATAGGATTGAATTTAAATTTGAAATATAAAAATGGACGATCTAGTTTACGTAATTGGATAAACAGAAGTGATGCAAGGAATGGAATTAAATATTATCAAAATGTCACAACTTGATATTTGAAGAATTCGAAATCACAATCCTATGCACAAGAAATGTCAAGAGTTACGTGATTATTGGAATATTTTCTTTGCACTTTCAATCGAAATCTGTAATTTATGAAGCAGAAAGCTTGTCATTTGTATTTTGGGGACATGATTTGTGCAATTTCTAAATGTAAAAAATCAGTAAAATATTTTATCGTCTCGTTGCATAATACTATGAGTTTGTATATTTATTGTGTGTTTAAAGTATTGGCATACCTTTTAAATATTTTTCATAGCAAATACACAAAAAGGACATTACAATAAGAATTGACATTGCAATTTTGCCCTCATTGCAAAACTTGAACAGTCGCATCACTAACTCGATCCGCAAGTTTATTTAGCGTCGTCATTCACTAAATCTTTCCGTTTCACTACTAACTCATATAAATTCACGAGCAATATCATTAAATTTAAAGTTCCAGGGTTAATTTCTTTTAATCCAGAATTTTATGAAAGTGCAATCTCATTGAGTATAAAACAGGTAAAACAGGACTCTAGTCAAATCCATTATAAAATCATTACATTTCAACAACATGATCAATGTCAATTAATGACACAATATTTTTTCCACCTCATTTGCGGATTATCATTCAAACCTGACGAATGAAGTTACGAGGCGATACAATAAATGAGACTCGAAACCCCAATATCATTGTTGACTAAGTCTGCAAACAATCAATGCATGCAAAAAAACTGAGCTTGATGTCAGTCTGGGCCAAAAACAGATTTGCAATAAAGTTGGAATATCACTAGCAGTCATAGCCCCGAAGGTTAAGTGGCAAGTGACAATGATCCGAAATGACATAATGATGATCGTGTCACTTTTACTTAAGGCTTACCCTCACGCTCGGAGGAGAAGTTGGAGTTGGGGCAGTCTTCCCAGTTTCATCCTTCTCTCTCGCTTTGCAGAATACATGGAATCACACATCTCGGAACTTCGCATCGACCTTGTGGGGGGGAGGAGTCGACCTCAGGGAAATGCATCCCCCGGTGTTTAGAATTTGCTTTTCTGCGTCTGATGGTATTTTTTTCAAATTTTTTGGACTGGTGCAAGGTACACTTATGCCCCTTACCATCAAGTGATGTAACCTTATGTAGACTGGTAAGGGGCATAAGTGTACCTTGCACCAGTCCAAAAAATTTGAAAAAAATACCATCAGACGCAGAAAAGCAAATTCTAAACACCGGGGGATGCATTTCCCTGAGGTCGACTCCTCTCCCCACAAGGTCGATGCGAAGTTCCGAGATGTGTGATTCCATGTATTCTGCAAAGCGAGAGAGAAGGATGAAACTGGGAAGACTGCCCCAACTCCAACTTCTCCTCCGAGCGTGAGGGTAAGCCTTAATGGACTCATGAGTTGTAGAATTCCACCAGTGACTTGAGCATTATTATTACGAACGCGTGGTTAATGGGTTGTAAAATCAAGCGCTGGAGGACAAGTACTCAAGTCAAGTGTAATTGAAAATAATTTACAATTCAGAAAAAACTATTCATCTTACTTGGTAAACAATAAAGCGGTTAGTTAACTACTCACATAGCACATTTAGGAGTCAATGACGGATGCATATATTTATTTAGGTATTTTTTTCATCCACACTTGGCTTAACGTGACTAAAAATTATTATTACTAAGATTATGGATAAATTAAAAATAAAAGTATGCACCTGAAACATTGGTTCTGTGTCCTGTGTAGACTTCTTTAATTCGGCGGTACCGAAACGCCAGTTTCCGCATCCTTAAAACAAAACGAAAAATTTAATAACATTAATTAGAGTACGAAGTACGTAATGGTTGACCAATCTCACCAATCAACTCCACCCCGGACGCCTGAAGCTAGACAAATCCCACCGTTGGTTGACGACGTCTTGAAGCCATCAGATATGAAGTCATAAGTACTGGAAGAAAGTGTATTTCATTATTTACCAAGATTTAGTAAACACAAGAAACATTTTATTCAGTGCAACAAATTCGAATTGATGCTTCCTGGAAAGTTATTAGTTAGCCAGACGTTGCATTGCGAAAGCATATATTTATATGAATATCTGGAAAAGGCGATGTCGTTCTGTTCACAAGAAAAGATGGCAAATTGATGTATACATAAAAACTGATTTATCTAAAAGGGACTTGTGATCACAGTCCCCAATCTTTAGATTAGTACATATCTTTGGTATCATATCAAATTGGTAGTAGCAATTTGGTACATGTAGGTTCTGTTGACTTAATAAATGCTGTTTTATTTTTTTACAAAGGAATGACACAAGTTATGATTACGTAAGAAAAGAACTGCCTCACGGAACTTAGATAAGTCTGTCAGAACGTTGATTACTATATCGTAAGCAAAAAAAGCTAGTCTACTCTAGATGTTTACAAAGTGTATTAAACCAGCATTTTTGTAACTTCTCATGCAACCCAACTAAATACTTAATATATATCTTTCCATTAAAAAATACAAGTTGTATTAAATGTGACACAAATCTAGTAATACATACAGACCTGTACTAGTTATCTTTGCGTCTGTGTTTTAGTTGCTGTAATTCTAAGTAATTATCACATGCACAAACAAAAGTTACGAAATCGTCATCTCAAAAGGTTGAACCAAGCCCGAAAACGAAATTAATTTGCATTTTTCCTCGAATAATTACATTTATTTACAGACGTTGATTATAATTGCCTTCCGGCGTGCAACGACGGTTGTGTAATTAGAACCCTTATGCACATTTATTCGAACTTAATTAATTCTTAACCAAAAATTCATAATCAATGTTACTAAACAAAGGTCATTTCCTGTTTGCAAAACTTATTTATTAGCGACGACAAACTTTGAGTTGTTATTCATCGAATGAACTGAGCTAAACCCATACTGCATGCAATACAATGCTAGAATATTAAAATGAGCTTTGACTTTGACTGTTTCAACCAGCACAGCTAATGAATTGACCTCATGGTTCTAGGTTCTTAATTGATTTTGATGTGCTCATCATATTCAATGTCTACTTGTCAATCAAGCGTTATCAAACGGTGTGGTATTTATGTTGTTAGGTTTTTATTAAGCCATGACATTGTCGCAATCGAAGTTCATAATTTGGATGAGAGCTCAGAATATCATGAATATCATGCTTACCTTAGGTCTTGGTTAGTGTCGTCTGATGCCAAATCGTCTACATGCGACTGGTCGCATTCCTGGAATCATAAGTAAATACACAATCATATATCAACGGTTATTATAGGCAACTATTTATCGCTCAATTAAAATTAAATTCAAAAACGCTCTTAATCATGCGATTGTGGAATAATTTGTAGTCGAATCCCATAAATTTACAATGTACAGAAAATATTTTAATCGAGTTGGACTGAGGACTATGCTAACTAGATAAATTAGTCATTTACGCCGAAGTAATTATCTATGTGTTTATTCATACATATTCTAAAAACCCTATTAGTTTGTTGATTAGTAAAAATAATTCCAGAAGGGTGCAACAATTCGCTGTAAATTTGATTCATGGTTGATGATGGAATAAACCAGTTATGCAATAAATAACTAGTCTAAGGCGGTATGTATACACATACCTACGATCAAATTAGCAAAACGACATCATGTTCTTATCCGATTAAGTGATGTTTGTTTGATATACAGAGGCGGTTATGTGGTTCTACTGAGGTGTGTACCTATCACAATGATCTCGATTATGGGTCCACCCAATTTTCTTTAAAAGTTGCATTGTATTAAAAAGGCTACAATTCGTAATCTGAATGATTGACACAGAACAAACGAGCCTTCTGTGTGATTTAGTTATAATAAAGTCTGACACAATTGAGCAACAATTAATAAAATTGTGATCCATTGATCTCCTACATTTGGGATGGCTATAATCAAACGAGATTTGGGACTGTTAATTCACTAAGAGGATGTTGAGGCGTGCCGGAATCGTGGACGTCAACTAACATAACTCATTTATTGTGGAATTGACATGTCAACTATTTAGTACAAATTATTCTCTATCAAATACGATTATCATTATCTACGAGAACCAATAAAATTAATCATAAACAATGTCAAAACCATGAAAGAAATTGCGGCAAGCTGAAGAGATAACATATGCAACTGTAGTCAAATGCAATAGCACAACCATAATTAGTATTTATGAAAACCTGTAATTTGAATGTGAAACAATTTCCAGTGCACACAAATTAAATTTTAATTTCGCAACATCTAACATGACTGCAACCTAAGATCATAGACCAGTATAAACTAATATGAAAATTCAACCAATTCAACTAATTGGACTACATAAGGCATTTCCATTCAAAAAGCCTCTTTAATTTTTCATGTATTCCTTGTGTCCTTTAGCACCAAAGATTACAACGACCCACATTCTTTGCCATTAGGTGGCAGCTCTATCCGTCTGATTTTCACGTTTTACTTTGTTTTCGTCCTCAATAAAGTTGCATTTTGCACGTACCTCGAGATCATTGAAAAAGAAATGGATATCAGCTAAATTATAAATGAGTTCTTCCATCGCCACCCCAAGGTTGATACTCTTTGGAACGTCCTGCAAATAGTAGTTCAAGTATTATTTCAGCACAATCTCCATATGAAAATTTAATGGGTCAAAATCGTACTCACTTTACGAAATCTTTGGGCATAAGTCCCAGTTAGTAGCGAGTGGAAAATTATTAATGTTTCATCTAAATCCCAAATAAAGACTCGTTCCAAACTGTGCTCAGGATCTGGAGAAGGATTCGGACGTCTACCTCTGCCCCCGGATGTTCTTGCTGCAAAAAGAACCAGAAAGAGTTTTAAGGATTCTGTTTGGTGTACATACTTGATACGATAACTTGAATTTTGAAAGAATGATTTTGTTTAATTCTCTTTCGAGCCTTTAGGCATATAGATGGTAAAATGTAAAAATAAGAATAAAATGTAGTTTAAGTTGGTTTAATATTCATGGCGATGGATCTTCACCTGTTGTTTTTCATACACATGAAAATGTAGGAATTGTAAAATGAGTACTTACATCGTCTACTTTTCCCTTCCTTAATTTGTGGGGAGGGGGGACTTGGTTCTCCGGGTAAAAAGCCCAAGTTTTCTAAACAGTGTTGAAAATGTTGAAAATTAGGAATCATTATCCGCGTGATTGGAGCAGCCCAGCCTGCGAGTTGATGGAGATAACTGAATTTAGGATGAGTTGGTGCTTACCTGGGATGACGGGAGGATTGGAGCCGGAACCATACGCGGTGGGAGTCGTGGTGGGAGTCGTGGGGGCGGAGGGCGAGGGGTTGTAGTAGTAGGAAGAGGAGGAGGCAGAGGGATGGTGGTGATGTCCGTAATAGGAGGCGGACGCAGTGGAGGCCGCGGCGGAAGGTTGGAAGGGGGTGGAGTACTGGTAATCCTGGTGGTACTGCGGGTAACTTCCGTAGCTGGCTCCGGTCCCACCCGGGTAGCCCAGCCCTCCCGACATTCCGCTCCCGAACGGAGCTCCTCCGTACAAGTACGATCCATTCGTCGCTTTGCAAGATTGGGCTCGACCTCCTGATCACATTCACAGTCAGTACGAAACATGGCAAAAACCACGACATTGTTAGGTAACTCGTGTCAAATTAAAAATATACATTTGGGGATTTGCAGTATGAAAAGAGGCATCAAAGATAAATGGCAATACACAAAGCAAAGCAATTCCTAACAATTAAAACGGCTTAGGCAGAAAAAGCGAACGAAATTTTTGTAATCTCGTCATCTCAAAACATCTTGAAAGATATAAAATAAAACTGCATCAAAAACTTCACACATGACAAACCTTTCCCCTTTTGTTGGAAATCATGCCAAGAGTATTTTCAGTTTATTAAATGTAAAGAAATTGTATGGAAAGACCGAACGGGAGCGTATGTGAATAGAGACTCTGCTTAAAATAAGTGATTCTTTATGCTCATCATCCCGTCTCATGGCGTATTTGGGTAGCTGGACAACTTTTCAGGAGGAATGCCTGTAGCGTCTTTGATAAGTAAACACTACCAAGCAACAAAACGTGCATTATGCCCATTAACTGTCCGTCGTCCGTCCGTCCGGCATTGCTGTCAGGTCCGCTGTTCAAACATACGCACACATTCACCCAGCTCTGCCTCCATTTCCCTAATGGCCTCAACTAGTTAGGTAGTCGTTGTTGAGACGACACATTAACCATACAAGAACGAGCTGGATTTGAGCGAGGTTGGAACGGCGGACCCTTTTTCAGGACGCTATTATGGTCATGAGAATGAAAGAAAGGTAGGGAGGCTGAGAGCCTTTCTTTGCACTTGGCTGGCTGGGAGGGTGAGAAGCAGGGAGGAGGTCCGAGAGTGGTGACAAGGGCACAAAAGGGCTCACCGGGATATGGCTGCTGGGAAAGAACAGCAGCAGCAGCATAGCCTTGTCCTCCGTTGTAGAACGAAGAACTTTGATTGTATGACCCACCGTTGTATCCCATCCCGCTGCAATCACAAATTACAACACCACCTCGCATTACATTCATTACTCTCAGAGTATCGTCTTCAAAAACATGTATTATAATCAGAGATATATTGCAGAAATGACTCATTTGGTAGGAAAATTGCAAAACATGGCGAACTACACGGAAAGCATGTATTTCCTGTGAATCTGAGAATCTATTTTTAACTTGTCCTCTCACTCGACAAGGTTGCTTTCACATGAACAGGTGGGTAGACGTCATCATCATCAACCTCACCATTATTATTATGACTCAACTCTATCAGAGCATCATTAGTCGAAAGCGCACTCGACGTATGTCACTCGTTAAAATGATTCTCACTCAAAGCGAGTGGTCTTTTGTTGAAATGTGGAGAAGGTTGGTTTTCTGTGATGTGGTTTTAATTAAAGTTCAACATCCCTAATGAGTCACTCGGTTACCTTTGATAGAGTTGAGAGTAGGCAGAGGTGAAGTCGGCTGGTTTGTCGGAGAAAGAACCCACGGAATCAGAGTTGGAGAAGGGTGACTCCCCGTGGTGATTATCTGAGGATTTCGGGCCTTCCACCACTTTCCCGTCACCTACACCGTCAGTCAGATCAACAAACAATAAAGTCAAAACATCACAAAAGTTGAAACTCGGCCAACATAATACATTATCGTAACTACTGTGTATCTGTACGTATAAATATATGCAGTCACATCATATTTTTCTCATTTACTTGCATATACATATACCTGGTACCATAATATGCTTATGGCCTCACCCTACTTTCCCCAACTCAACTACTGTAATATGGTTATTTGCTGGTGTATATGATATTTATTAAGCCTTCAATTAAATAATATGAAGAATATGTTGCTAAAAATGTTGGTAGGGGCCTTGCAATCACGTATCAATGGCAAATACAATTCAACCCCCATGTAGTTTTCTATTATTTGAATTATTCCTCCATCCCTTTATTCTCAAGGGATTGATAAATGAGGAGTGGTCGTCGAAAAATAAAGGGCAGTTTGCCCAATTCAACTCGACCAATACTTCATTAATGTTGTGGAATATCGGATTACTTTGTCTCCCCGTGCCCAACTATGTATTTGCTACCCACCCTGCCTGCATTGGGGATGGCACGATGAGACATAATTGAATGTGGAATCAGGTTGGGAGTTTGAATTTATATCCTTGTATAAGCTACGATTATGGCACTTTAAACCTCTTTCTGCTTAAACATGTCTGTATTTCTCTGCCTCCGAGCCTCCGAGAGGGTTCAAAGTCTGAGCCCCTAAATTTAATTAATTCAATTTAATTTTAAATCAATTTATTACCATTGCCGGGTAAGTCAGAACTCAATCCCATGATGACTGCCCGATGACTCCACTGATGACTCTGACCATCCGATAAAAGAGTTTGAGGAGAATTCGAGGAACACGGTGGACTTTGATCGGTTGAAAGTCTGCAAAAAATATAAAAAAAAACGATTGTAAACCTGTCGCTAAAATTAAGCTGTATGCAAAATGTAATGCTATTACGTACTACAAAGCAATTGCAGAAATCAACACTAGGCTTAGTTTGTGTTAGGTTTTTGCAGCCTGAGATAAGGAACCACGACCTGGAATAATATAGGCCAAGCTGTCTGGACAGATCAAAATTCTCCATGCATTTGTTGTGATGTTGTTGTGGTCCGTCTCGTTTAAGTGTGCAATTCCTGTTCCTGTGAGTGTGTGAAAACCGATTGTTCTGCTACTTGCACTGCTCAATGCATGCGCTTGGTTGTTATTCGTGTATGTACTTATCTACATATGCAGGTTGTTGTGAGTGAAATCCAACTAACGTGATTTCATATGATCATTTAACGCGAACTATATCCTTGTACAACTCTGCTTTTTAAACACACTAGATTGCATCAAATATGCAAATAATGCGTGTCAGATGAAGATATGAATCAAGAATTTTTTTGATAGATAAATAAATTCAATAAATTCGCAAAGACAATAGTAACCCACGGGTTTCGCAAATTTCAAGACATGCACACATACAAAGGTCATAACATTAATTGATACAACATATTGCGCATATCTTTATAATCTCCTCTTCTTGTCATCTGACTGGGTGGTCGCCTCATTCGTGTACGATTTTGTGCTGCCAAGGGTTTTAAAATCCTATCACAACTTAAAGTTCTCTGGGGGTAGTAAAACCCAAGTAAGTCTCCCTCCTACATATACACATGCACACGACATACATAAATGTACACTTATGGAAGAGTGTGTATGTAGCACTGAGCAACATATTTTCCTCTGTTTTGTCAAAAAACTGAACTTGTTCCAACGGAAACAAGGAAGGCAAGCAGCAAATGTTTTTAGTTCGAAAGAAATATAAATAGAAAAGACGAACATGATTTTCCAAGCCCTACAGAAAAGAATCCGCTGGTACTTATACATACGTGTAAAGACCCTCAACCTCAATAACCCACACTACGGTGGGTTTAAAAGTTTAAAAAAGGATTCAAAAGCCAAAGTATGTACACTGCGAATCGTCATGTTTTACAAAAAATGAGACGGGAGCAGCCACTTTTCTCTTGAAGAAATAGCAATATTTTGGGGCTAAACAATACTCCAAAATAATAATATAATCAAAACTTGTGTTATGCTATTAGTTAAATAATGGATTATTTCACTTGTTGCTTAATTGTGTAAAAACTTGCTTAGAGCAGTAACCACCATCGTACTGAAAGTTGCATTTATGCCTCCGTGCACTGGGTGAAATACCGAAGCTCTTTGTTCTGACGACGTCGGTCTTGCCATGTGGCCAACATATGACCCAGCAACATAACATTTAACGCTACAAGTGTTTCAGTCGCAGTCTGAGATGGTAAAGATATATTTCGAAGCTTACCCTATGCGACCCTTGCATGTCATTAAACTACTGCAGTCAGTCAGCATGTCTACAAGAGTACAAAGCCGTAATATGTACGACTTGAACATGACGTACAGATATTCATAAAAAAATATACATAAAGTCAAACGTAGCGAAAAGCCAGGTTTAATCTACTAACTTTGGGAAAAATTCATATAAACTTACATTGTTTGAGATTCTTCGCTGTGATCACTTCTCTCTCGTTTCACCTGTCCGGAAACAAAAGGAAAGTAAAATTGCAATTCCCAATAAGAATGTAAGGCTTCTCGACTCGTCGCAAACATTGCAAAATGCTTTAGGTAACAGTAATTTCTCGTATTTCACAATTTTCTCGTGTTTCAATCAAATATACTCGTGCAGTGTTTTTGTGATATTCGAAATGCACAAAGATTGCCCACCCTGCAACAGTCCAAGTAGCTGAGGCCAAAATTCAAGCACAAGTCACATTGGTAACACAAATTAGTACATATGTGAATACCAGCTACTTGGCACAGAAAACTCTAATCGATACTTTTTCTTTCAATATGAAGTATGTAGCTTAATCTTTAAAGAAATGCTGGTGAAAATCAAAGCAAATCTAAAGTTGGTGAGTATCTATGTAGCGATGATCCAACTGAATTTGAGACAGCAGAAATGTGCGACTGTCTGAACTGATGGATTAATTTAAATGGCAAAATATATCTTTGCCATAATGGAAAAATCAGTGCAACTGCATTTTAGTAATGTCGTGTGGTTTAGGTCAAAGGGTGATTAGCGACTCCATTTGACACCTCGCACTGTTGCGAATATGAGCAATTATCTTGTGTCCTATTCACATCAACCACCTCGTAAAGGACAATGGGCTTTAACTTATATGCTCAAATTTTAGTTTATTTGTGAGCCCAGACGAAGCACTACAAAAATGGTCTTGTGGCTGGCGAATTCAATTAAAGAATGCAGATAACGAGACTGATGATTGAATCAGGGCATTTCATTTGTCAGATTTTCGCCAATATAAATTCTGAATGGGTAATAACGGTTAAAATTTATTGAGTGATGTAAACGGATACAGGCAAAAGTTGATTAAATCAGTCATTAATGGATGGAAGTCATTCGATGTCATGAGAAAGTTATTGCGACTAATGCAATCTCTGGCAATTATCTAAACTCCAGCATTAATAACAGATATAAAAGAATAGCGGTAGGGGGCCTATGTTCAAGTATATTTTGCAGTCCTTGCCCAAATCTTTCAACGATGTACATGGTGATGTTAAAAATTGGTGATCTCTGACCTTTGGCGTCGAAGGTCATACCCTGCAGGATACTTTCAGATTCGAAAACAGAACTTCAAAAATGGGTCTTTCAAAAAATCATCGAGTAAACGGACAGAATTAACGTTCGCATAAAGTAGCTAGAATCACGTTTATCTAGTGCATGATCCAATATCAGATCACTAAAAAAATTTGGTGGTGAAATAATTTCACTGAAATTACAAGTATTCAGAAGATTGAAATAGTACTACTAATCAATTGTCGTCATTCTACATACAAATGCGTCGTTCAATATGTGTTGGTGCACTTGCATATAGCATATTTGAATGTAATAATATTGATTGCCTTAATGTTGTCTTCCATGTACGTCCAAAGTTTTAAATTTAATCCATTACTCAAGTCCATCTTCGAAGAACTTCTACATAACACGAGGAAAATGAGACAAACAACGCAAGCGATCATAAAGTGCAAAAATGTCCAAAGTAGCATATTGATACCGCTCTCTTGGCAAATCCTCCTATCTCATCTTTTGTCTTTCGCAGACAAAGGACATGAACAAATATCGTATCAGTATGCTCAAAAAAAGACACATATTCAAGTGTCTAACTTCTGCTTGGATTTTGTCAACTATGCAGACCAACACATATCTCAAATGAAATCGGATAGTTATGGAGGAATGTATGCAAATGGTAGCTTAGCATTTCTTCCGCTTAAAAACCGGTTATTATTTTTTCGGTGTGTATAAACCAAGGACTCTATTAATAAACTAGTGAGAATTTAAAAAAAGTTAGTAAAATAGCTACACGCCGTAAACAATCCAGATATATGAACGAGTTTCATAAGATTTCAAATTTTAAAACTTCAAATTTGTATAATATAATCAGCACTTTGTTTTAATTTGCATTTAAGAATACTTCAACTCGCAAATTATAACTTCCACTGCTTAAAAATTACATTTTTAGATAACTTACACATTTCGATTACTTATTACCTAGAATTTTTCAGGTACTTGTGAGTTATCAACGTAAGCCTTGCACTTTAAACTTTTCCACTCACTCGAATCTACTAGTTGATAGAGCATAAATTTACTATAATCAAGGCGTTCACAAAACCAACTAACTTTAGTACTGACTTAAGAATGTTTTCACTTTCGCCCACTTGTCACCCATAAACACAAAAAAATCGCAATCGTGTAAAGCAAGAACCAAGCCTTTCATTGCCCATGGTCCGTATTTGACAACAAAAGCAAATTATGTCCTTATGAGCATGAGAAGAAGGCTTTTACGGAACGAGGGAGAAAGGATTCCCTGCTCTGCGGAGTCCCTTGGATAACTGGAACGGGAACATTTTCGACCTGTGGAGAGAGGAACCTTCGCATGGAGATATTTGAAATCATCCTTCACAACAAGACCAGAAATCCTGGTGAACTATCCGGGTTGTTTCCACTCCACTTTGGCCCCTAGACGCAAGCAGCTTCATACATAAGCACAAACAGCGAGACGCTCATAACTCCTATGCGAACTCTTAAGAAAATGGGCAGGAAGGAAAAGAAATTGAGTGCTACACAAGGATCTCAACTATTCTGCATCGCTGCGTTTGCTCTTATGCATGTACACGCTTAAATATATTTTAACTCCTTTCATGGTGAATGACAATCCAGTGATGGGACAAGTTCTTTGGGCTGTTGTTCAAACATGTGAGACAAAATGAGAACGACTAAACGATCCGTCCCCTAGCCAGAAAAAAAACAACCACATGTTAACCTATGTATGCACAGATTGACATGGAAGACAAAAAAAATGCTTAAATGTTGGAAATATTTTTCATGACATGGTCATCATTGCTAAATGTCTCAATAAGTCTTAAACACGGGAATTTCAGCAACCTGTTTCTTACTTGTTGACATTAGTGCGTCACATTATTGTTATAAATATTGTGGCAAGTAAACCACAAGTTTATCCCATCCTGCTGCTGTCACCAGACGAAAAAGATTATGATTTTTGTGCGGCAGAAAATCGGAATAAAAACCTGCAGATAGAGCGATGACAAATGGAATTGTTACATCTGTTGGGCATTAATCAGTCCAAACATTGCATGTTTGACAACCACAACTAAAGTGTTGAACTGTCTTGATGTAAACAAGTTGCTTCCAAAAGGAAAGAAGTCAAATCACCTAACAAGTGACTGGCGTTCGTCACTCTAATCAAGCTATAAGTTAGATAAAGAAGCAATGTACCTAATACATAAGTATATTTAAGAAGCTTATGACGACTTTGAAACTGCATCAACTCCATCAATCTGAGTGGGAATTATTCAATTTATTTGTAACTTTTAAGCTTTGAGTACACAGAGTCGCAATAATACGTCCAGGTGTGTTCTTTAACGACTGAATTATAAATTCCATGAGTGTTCGGCTGCAGATAAATAAAAACAATTTTGGATATTGATAGGTATTAGCAAGCCGTGTGTTGTTTGAGGAAAATATTGAGAATAAAAGTGCATGTTCGCGGAGAACATGAGACAGCCACAAGTAAACAACATTTATCGATTTGGGTGATGGAAGCTTATCTTGTAAATCGCAAATGGGTCGGACTCATTTCGAGGAGGGATGGTTGTCGCTTCAAGCTAATGATTTGTCTCGAATGTTTTGATAATGGCGACAGAAACTTCGGGACATGAAAGAGTTGACAGACCTCAGACCACCCTTAACAAATGGCAACTCCATTATGACGATCGAATGGCAATAATTTGTCCCAGCAACGACAGGGATGCACGTAATATTAATAAACGCTTAAAGAAATTTGATGTAAATATTAGGCATTATCAAATCGCAGTAGTCTCATGATTCGTGTAGATACGATATCATTACATCTGGGACAAAAATGTGAACTAACTTTAACGAAAAGCCAGTAATTGTGAGCACTACAAATTATTTTAGAATTGTCAGCCTTCTGCCAAATATCAAATAGGATATTTCCACAATTGTATATTTGGGTGGGCGTATATTTTTTGTTGGATTCATATACATACATACGTATTTAGCAGTGAAACTTGTAGTTGTTTCCCAAAAATATGACTACAGCTCGTACCGAGTAGACGGCATTATGCAATTTATACAGGCTCATAATTTTGACAGTTGATGATGACTGATTAGTTAATCTCATAGAATTTGAGAGGTACATGCAACAAAACCATAAACCATAAACCACTGATTCAGAGTTCTCAGAAGAGGAACATGCAAACGTTCTCAATGCAGTCAAGGAAAGAGGGTAAGATTTAGCCGAAGAAGAGCTAAATTTAGCTCCGGCTTTACTTATTCGATCTGGAGCTAGATTTAGCTCCGAGAGCTAAATCTAGCTCCTCAAGCTCAATTTTCCTCTGAAAAAGAGCTAAATTTAGCTGATCCTCGGCTAAATTTAGCTTGGTCAGACTTTGAATAGACCGACCGCCTTTATTATGCACTGACGGTTGCTTTTGTCAATTTAGGTAAATTAAGCAGGGTTCACTTAACAAATACGCAATGGCCCAGCTTTGTGTGATCTGGCCCACCGGGGTCACAGAAACTTAAACGTGAAGGTCATTTTAAATTCATAGTTATAGATTGAATAATTTAAATTTGGCGGAAGATTTGGAGCAAAATTTACCTTTCGGAGCTAAATTTAGCTCCGGATCGGCTAAATAAAGCCGGAGCTAAATTTAGCTCTTCTTCGGCTAAATTTTACCCTCTTTCCTTGACTGCAATGTGCATATTTATGTACGCATTATCCACAGCATTAGTGACAAGCAAATGCAGAATGGGAGAAGAATTTAAATTATACTACAAAGAAAACACGGCCCATATTTTAAAATATTCAATGATGACGAGTAATGAAATAATACTCGGAATAAAGCTTTCCGAATACATACGTATCAGCCCGCAGTAAAATGAATGTCTCTAACCGAATGGAATGGAACACATATCCAGCTTAAGCAGAACTGAACAAGGTTCTGGTTGTCTAGAGGAAAGACGCCGGATTTGTACGGTTTTGGACTAATCAGTCAGTTCAGTGATGCCCTTCTTTGAAATTGATGGGGAGGTTGAAGTTTGAAGTGGCAGTCAACCATGCTCTCTTCGACGGCTTGAAAAACTCATGAATTTGGCTGGAACTGTTTTAAAAGACATTTTTCACTTTCCCTGACTTTGCATTGATAGATTTCAGAGTTGTGTTGGTGTTGGGATCTTGGGACGCAAGTGAATTAATCAGTGCCAGAGATCGTGAGTGAGTGAGACATGCTTAATTTATGATTTCATAATATTTGACATTTGATATGATTATAATATTAAACGTAGAATTAAGTTAGTCTAATTCGCTATTTTACTTACACGTTCTTATTTTTCTGACACATTCTTATAAATATGGACGAAAATTACTTGACATGCCCGAAAACGTACTTTGGTAATAATAAGTAATTAAATGAGAAATCTCGCATGAAAATACACTTTTGTATTTTGTATAATATACACGCTTCAAATAAGTTTTTCTTCTGTATTAAGAGGCCCGAGTTCTCTAAGCCCAATTTTTTCAAGAGCAATAAAGTTCCAATGATTATTTTGATTTTATAAGTTAAAGAAGGCCGAAGAGTCTCTCTGTAGTGAACTAAATACATGTAATGCCTCTTCCGTTTTTGCCTAATTTTCTTACCATCTTGACACTTGGACTGTGAAAACAAACTCATCCGCCCTCACCAGTCTCTAATGCAATGAAGAACCTTTAGCAGTTCATCCCCAGTATTACATAAATAATGGTTATACTTACTTATGTATACACTCGTTAAATTAACTGGAGCACTTTACCTCCTCAGTGCGCCACGATGACTAAACTAATTTATACTTGGTTTATAAATTGGCCCCAATTAGACTGTTTCACCAAGTGCATTTAATTACTGCGTGAGGAGCCCACACGCAGAAACGCAAAGTGTATGTAATAATTTGAGAAAGTTGACCTTTCGGGCCAATCTCATGATTTGGCTGGAAACACCCAATTTCCTTGGAAAAAGCAGAGTATTGGGATTAACGAAAGTGGGATTAATGATTATGATTAGGGATTGATTCTAAAAAATTCGGGATTGAGGATTGAGATTAGGGATTAAATTAACTCGGGATTAAAATTAATTTGGGATTAAATCTCTCGAGGCAATCAATGGGATTAGGGATTAGGATTAATTTAGTCCAATTTTAATCCCGGATTGGGATTAAAATCGTATTTATCGTCGATCACATTTATACCTAATTAATGTTTCAAATGTTTTAATTAATTTTTTTGATAAGTCCTAACAGTATGATTGAATGTATGAATCCTACTGTAACATAATGACTGTATAAATAATGCCCTAAAGTACGATTTGTCGCTTAAGTGACAAGTCTCCATTTGATTAACATTGAAGTGTGAGTGAGTGGGCACTCCCACTGGCCACTCTAGGTTATTATTATACAGCCATAAGAATATGTACTATACACATTAACAACATAAAGTAAGCTTACTTATTAAGTCATCACTGAACCAAAATCAACAGATAAAGTTTTATCAAATGTTTTTAAATACATGAGCTATTTGTTTTATAATATTGAATTGTTGTTTATGAAATACAATGATGGAATTGGCGTAAATACATAGTTGATTTAGGTATGGGAAACATATTTCTCATTGAAACAAAAGGGCAATTGACAAGGTCTCCGAGAATTTTCAGCAGGTGGAGCTGTTTTAATCCCATTTAAATCCCATCTTGGATTAAAATTAATCAATGGCCTCCGGGATTAGGATTGAGGATTAATAATTTTTTCCAAACTTCCTTGGATTAAGGATTAGGGATTAAAAGTCAAAAATCACGGATTGAGGATTGGGATTAAGGATTAATTAATCCCCAATCCCAATCTCAATCCTCAATCCATAATCCCGGATTAACCAGACTCTGGGAAAAAGCATACATGTAGCTACATATGAACACATGTACGTGGGAGTTTTTCCTCTGCGGCAACCACTACTTTCAAGTTAGTATGTTTTTCTGTAGGTGCGAGGCAGAACCCTTTTCTGCTGTAAAGTGGGCGTCTCCAGCGAGTGAAAGAAGAGTTATGCCATGTCCGTTGGGAGAAAGTTAATGGAAACAATGGGTGGTTTGGCTGGTGTCTGAGTGTGTGTGGTTGGAGTGGAATAAAAACGAGGCAATGTATGCTTTTAGCCAGAACTGATTGAGTTAGTACGTCTAGCGTTGAAATGGATGGCACAAGAGGTAAAATAAATAAAGTGGCCGTGTGTATGGGATGCGGTGGAGTTGAGGTTTGTCATTTCGTAAGAGTTGTTTGTCTATTCCCCAATTTTGAGAATGGGAGGAAAAGTGAAGCTGACTTGACTGAGTGGATTTGAGTGTGTTTGTGGAAGGCGAAAGTCCATTAGATGGGCTGAGTAAATGTAATTACGGGCAAACGAGGAAGCATCCGGCGTTTCATCATCCCATTTCCCAGTTCAATTCAAGCTCAACAAATAAAACTCATAGCACAAATAAAATGACTATATCCGAGTCAACAATGTTTCCTCGTCGCATAGGTGGCTGCCTCGCTTGGGTGGAGGAAGTTAAATGTAGAATATTTCTCCTATTGGATAAGTTTTGAGCAAAATTTTATCCGACAACACAAATTTGCTTGCCTCGTAGAATTTGGACTAGAAATGTCATAGGCTGTCGGAGGAGCGTTGTGATCTTTATTTATTATATTTTGACGTAGTACACCATGTTTTTGGGAAATGTTGGCAATGGGGGGAAAGGTATTGGATGTGACGAGGAGGTCGTCGACATGTCATAATTTCCTTCCATGCTACTCTCGTGTGCTACCTCCACCCCAGTGACGTCTTGTCACTTTTTCCACGGTAATTACCCTCTAATGAAGAATTTTCATTGGTTCGGTCCGTTGTCTCTCTCGTCCTTTTTGAGCCGAATCTTTGCTTCAAGTTTTCACTGTCACAAATGACCATGTTTTTACTACCTTGTCCCTCTGTCTTTTTGTCATATTAATTTTCTTGCTCTTCTTCATTGTGATAAAAGTTCATGCCAATCAATTACTTAAATTTAATAAACTTGTTGGGTACAAGCAATAGATTATCCTGGTTGTTGCGCTCGGCTCAATTAGCTCTAACTGATTTTTAACAATGAAACAATAATTTCTTGGTGTGACAACGAGTAATAAAAATAATTCCTTTGCTCGGATACAAAGAGATAGAAATCTCTTGGTAAAGTTGAAAATCAGGTTGAATTTAGTTGGTTGAGACGGGTGGAACATATCTCCACACATATTGTTGTGGCTGACCATGACAAGCAACTTTGGACGTAAAGATAAAGCACCAAGATGTATGTTCATGTTGGTGATAGATGTCTTAAAACTGGTCCTTGGCTTTAAATTCATTAGGATTAAGAGATAGAAATAAAATTATCGAAACAATGTCACCCTAATGGATCAGAATTATTCAGAATAAAAATATAAATTTTGTCCTAACCATTGGATAAGGTTAATGCATGGGTGACTTTTGAATGTTACATCACCTCTCTCTCCGAATTTACTCATAAGCAAATGTCCATTTCCAGCCAGAACGACGAGGTAGTGTAATTTGGAAAACGAGCGATTTACATAATCTTGTGTTGGTTTTTGGATGAGCAAAGAAATTTATCTCCATCAGCATCACTTATCCCCAATCCTGAAACTATTTCATCTCTTCTGCAAATTCCTGATTCCAGTCAGACTAAAAAGGACATGAATAATAATATGAAGGAGACTAATTTCCATCCCCTTTCTAAGCAGTGACAAAACCATACAGGGACACCGATTCACTGCATTTGAGTGCGATGGGACAGGTTTTGTTTGTTTCACCCATCGCTTCCTTGCTGTTGTTTCACAGTTGTTTGTGAGCTCACTCACCCACCAGCAACCACAACCACCAAATTAATCTGAAGAGACGGGAAGATTAATGCAAGGAAGGCTGCCCGAAGAAATGACCCTACTTTTACAATTAATTTACGACATTGGATTCCAGAATGAAGTAAGAAATCAGGCTTGTCCAAACATGTGAAGAGAAGAGACGTGATGCTAGAAACCAGACAAATTATACTTAAGTCCGTACGTATACCTACATGCATTTAATGTGTTTTAACTTCTTATAGTCTTGAGCGTTTAAGCAAACAAGGTCGATGGATGGATTCTCCAGATTCAGATTCAGATCCAAAAATGATCCTTCAGACTGATTTGGAGTTGGACAAATTGCGCTCGGCCCACGTGACTGAGGCTATAAATATTGGACAATCAGATGGAAAGGTGACAATGTTTGTGACAACCCGATTTTTCAGCCTCTTTAACGTCCTCATCCCTTCCCTTCCAGGTCTGTATTAAGGCCCCCTGAGGTCTGTGAGATTTATAATATGAATTCTCCCGAACAATCTCATAATCTAATTCTCCCTCGGGTTGTTGAGTTCATACACACGATGGCCTAGCATTTTATGGACGCACATTCTTGCGGTGTCACAACCGAATAAATTCTAATGTCCAGCAAAGAGTAAAAATAAACTTGAATGAAGTTGAAGATGCCATTATTGTCATGCACGAGAATGTATAATATCCGTGTAATAACAAGTATATATGTGAATAATAATCTACGTATGTTTGTGTACGTGGTGTGTGGAGGACAAGTTTACTGCTCTATTACAGTTATTATTGTTATGACTTCATTTTCACACCTGCCCATCATTTTTCCATTTCAGGACTTTTCTCTGCCAGCCGACATGTCCCCCACTCTGAATTGTTCTTTCTTTGATTTTTAACAAAATCCTGTCTCACTGCTTCAATCCGACCCACTTCACCTCATTCATTTATGTTATATTATCGTAATGGTATAATAACAACAATGCCCAGCTTTCATTTGCCCTTTTCAACAATGCTCACTTTTGTTATGCACCACATTCACTCCCGAACCGTATGAACGATTATGTGCACTGAATGGAGGATCATCAAATAAATATTTCCCAATACATTCATAATGGTGCCCTCCACCTTTTCATCATGCTTCAAATGAGCTGTATTAGATCTTATCATACCCTGCATTTGCTCAACTCAAGATCTTATCTATCCCATTGTTGGTCTGGACTATAATCCAACTTTAAGAAGAAATTCGTATGAAATATGGCATATTTTGGAATCTTCGTTTTTATGAATGGTTTAAATATGCGTACATACATATACATTCATAAACATATTTAAATGGTATATTTTGAACCAGCGTGTCCTTGTAGAGGTGATCCAAGTAAGTATTTATGTTGATTCAAAGGCGCTTTTCGTACAGGAATAAATTTTGGTGTCGTGATTATTAATGTTCATATTAATTGGTCATGAAAATTCCCAAGGGCTCTAATTATAATCACATATGGCACCTCGACGAATCTCTTATCGCTTATAGGATAAGTGTCGTTCATTGACTGTGGTTTGAGAGACCGTGGATTTGTCGCCCCGTTGGAATCAAAAGTTATAGTGCTTGGTTCCCTTGAAAAATGGGGTTGACACCAGGCGAGTAACTAAGTAGGCACGTCTCGCTGGGCCAGCTCCTATGGGGGGAAGGCACGAGATTCTGTTGATAATGTTGCTCGGCTGTGTGCCAGGATACAAATAGCCCTTCAGTCTTTCGAAATCAAACAACAAACCACTTGGAAAGTTGCAGTTGCTGTACATAGTCCTCAGTATCATCCGAGCACGTCTAAAATTCAGAATACAAGATCTGGAGAGTGATAGCCTTGTCCTGGGTGGACAATAATTAATATGATTTTTGGTGGTGAAGTGGGGAAGTGTCACCAAAGCCTACTTTTTAATACGTAACATCAAGGGAAGCGTTTCACATGAAAATTTATGGTCACCAAGGATCTCTTCTCTGTTATTAATGACCTAGCACCCTGCACATAAGTTCCTCATCATTTTAAGTCAAGCGCATACAATTAATTTATCCCAACTGTATACGAAGCTTTCGTTACTTAAAGCCCTTGGGCCTTGCGTATTTGATGCGTTTAAACCACGACTGCAATTCTCTATTAATTCCTAATCCCCAACGACTGCAGATCTTACAAAAAAAAATCAATAAAGCTAGCAAATACGTCTGAAAAACTTCATCTTGTGTTTATTCGCCGGCAACAAAATTGGGGATTTTCTCACAAGCGAAGTCAAAATATCCATGGATCGAATAATTCCCAGGATGTCGTAAATTGACCAATTCAACCCTTCCATGAAGGGGGCAAATGAATTTATTCTTAATAAAGTGATAAAAAATGTCTTTTAGAGTGATATTAAAAGTGCTGTCCATTTCCTGAACCCCCTTTATTGAGATATAAATTCATCATTCGCTTTTTTGCCACTTTCTGATCGAGTTAAGGGAGGAAGAACCTTTGGGTAAAGGGGTAACCGTCCAATTTAACTCTTTATGCGTTTCTTTCCTCCAAAGATTGCTTTCCTTAAATTAGATGGTCTTTTCTACGGTCAATATTTTTTGCCCAATCGAAATATTCTCACGAAACTTGTCCACCTCAAACTTTCATTTTTTTTACCGACTGAGAAGAATAATCTTTGATTTTCCAGAGTTAACCCTTTTCATTTAATTTGGCCGATGGTCAACGATAATTTTTTCAGATATTTTTTTTAGAACACCACGGTATTTTATAAAGTGTCAAACGACAAGATACGAACCAGATCACGGAAACATGTATGCTTGGTGAAGTCAACCCATCGATGTGGTTGATGTAATTTATTATTAAGGTTGATATAATCAATAATAATTCGGCTCACATTGGTTTGGCAGTTGTATGAGTTACGAATGAAGAGCTTCCAGCCTTGTTGGATTGCAGATACATACATCCGATAGATTTTAAACGGGATTCACCACCATCCGCATATCTCCTGCACTGCATCATCCTATTTTCCCATGTGCAAAAGAGAGAAGAAACCTGATACATTTCCAGTAAATCCAGGTGGCTTTGCATCTCGCTCGGCTCTCCCTGTCAGAACAGGACAGGGAGCAGCCAACTGCATCGAAGCAAACAAAAAGGCATCCACTACTATTTACCATTATGTATTATGACTAAAGTCCGAAAACTGGAATGTATAATGGGCACAGTATTCTCTTCATTATACAACTCTTACTAATCAAAGCGAAGCCAATGCAATAATTATTAATCGAAATCTCATAGTGCCCCAAACATGAATTTCCCATTTAGCTAACCTGATTCATTGTACTTTATTATATAATTCTGGCACATTTACAACCAGTCCATCCGATTTTTCTCTTGAACAAAAGGAGACGAACAGATGGATTCACTCGGTCTTTAAACACACAATGTCATGCACTGCACACATTTTTTGGAGCTTGCTCTCTCACTCACTACTGGAGATAATAGTTGCATACAACTTAAGCGACACAAGTGTATTATCTGGTCATAAACAACGTCTCCTTGTTTTTTCACATGTTCGTTCGTTCGGAATCAAAGGATGATGTGATGCGAAAGACTATTGTGGCTGTGCTTCCCAATAATGCATGTTGGCACTACAACTGCATATCGTCGTTGAAGCTTCCAAAAGAGCCAAATCCAACGTTACAGGAGATGGCCCCCATGGAATCTTCAACGGCGATACGTATTTCATGCACTTATCCATCACCCATTGTGCTGCTCTGATTCATCTCGTTTCTCCTTGTGAATTACTCCGAGGCGTGCAAGTGAGGAGGAGGTAAGACTACGGAACCATAAATATGTACATTGATCTACAAGATGCGAACAAGAGTGATGACGATAATGACGACAAGAATGAGATAATACATTAGACCAATTGAACTCTCAAGAAGGCAAACAATGACGACTCTCTCTGTCCACACAATGGGACAATGGATGGGAGAAAGAGAAAGGAGCTAATATTAGCTCCCCACGTAGCAGTAAATGGGAAAGAAAAATGAATTGTGTGTATAACTCGTCTTCTTGGCTTGTCTCGTGTTTTTCAACATGTCAACATTCCCATGCAATAAGATCTATCATATGCCTCATCAATGCTCGTGAGTACAGATGATAATGTGTGCTCATTCACTGGTCGTGCACGGCAACGTCGCACATTTTACTACCAGAGAGAGATATCCACAAAGTAAGTGAAGAGTAATGTGCAGAGTGCAAAGCGAGACATTTTTCAAACGAATAAGACAATCATTCACGCACTGGCATTTTCTCTTTCTCTCCGTTTCTCTGGGACATGCTTCCTTCCGGAGCTCGCTTTTCTACGTATGTGCGAACGAATTTCTCAGCAATTTTTTATGCCTGTTCTCACATTCTTTCGTCCTCGTCTCCCGTTCACTAAAGATTAGAAAAAACATCTTTGATCTCAAATCTCCACATTTTTCTTTGTAAAAAAGAGATATGGCAGAAAATAATGTTCATATGCTCTAAATTTCTACATACACACGATGCACTGCGCTGATTCTTTGGAATAAATGCTGCTGTTATGTAAAGTCTTACGTTTCTAAATGTTTCTTCAGGGTCAAATTTCAGAAGGCTTTTTTGACTCGTGTACATTTTGTCTTATAACGTATGATGAAAAATGTATTTGCATAATATGTTGAGCAATGTGCGACCACCTAAATTTGAAATAATACTACAGACTGGATACATACAACGTGTGTTTCATTCAAAGTAGCAATAACATAAGCGAACCGGCCGGTGTTGATTTCAGAAATGAAAATATGTGCAATTAAACTTTTTCTGACTAATAATCAATAAGCACATACATCCGATAGATGAATAAAGAAAGAATGTAATCCTTTTTCAATTTTTATGGGGAACGGTGAAACTTTAAAAATGTATTTCTCTGTGCATTTCTCAGTACGAGCCACCAAAGATGTACTAAATATTACTAGTGTATTATGCGTGTCACTAATTTCATGGGAAACCAAGGTTGACTTAATTTTTTAATCATAATAAAGTTTGAAAATTAAGGTGAAGAAGGGTATGTACCGGTTAGTTGACTTGTTTTGTCAGGATTGAGTACTGTTCACAATAAGCAGGGCGAGAGTGAGAAAGATTTTCAGCTTTTGGTTGAAATAAGACAAAAGATCATGTAAACTGAAATAAATAAACCCTTTAATCTAGACTTGACATATGACGTGAATCGTTTTTGTGGTTGCGGTCATTGGGTCACGATATGATATGTTGCTGACGTTTCAGAAAATCCTCAAGTCCATGAGTTTTAGACGGCAAACTTTATTTTCAGAATAAAGACTCTTTATTAAAGAGTCTCACATGAATAGAATAAAATTTTCACACCAGGAAACTTGGAGATCGAATTTCGGTTTTGCAGAAACGTGTAAAATTTTGTGTGCTGTGTCCGAGTTTATTTGGTTTTGTAAAATACTAGTTTCAATGATAAAGATCTAAAATACTTGTTGGTAATTGTAGCACATATTTGCGACAATTTGACAAGTTATAGTATTTAATTCCAACTCTGTTCAAAATATAGCCCGATTCATCAATAACAAGACTATTCTAAATTTGCAGTACATATGTATTTGTTGTTTTGTGTGCAAGAAGTTCAGGTCGACGATATGATAGAAAAGAGATGAATGCTATGAGATAAAGTGATTAGCTGTACAAATTGTGCAAAAGTGATGACAATCTTTCACTTATATGTCTACTCAATCCTGTCATTGGGGTGACACATCCTACCAATTTTAACAAACAAAGCTGGTCAGACTGAACTGAAGGCTTAAAGATGCCCAAGTTTAAAAGTTCGACAAACCATGGAAGGAATAACATCCCCTCATCACGGTTGATGTCTAGCTCAGAAAGGTCGACCGGAGACATAACTTGATGGAGTTTACTACTCATTCAGCAGCAGAACACTTATCTCCATCAAGATGAACAAATAAATAAAAGATTTCCTCTGCACAAAAGTGATGAGAAGGACGAAGGCTTTTTGTCGCATCCTGCACCCTGCACAATTACATTAAAAAAAACATTTTCCGTTTCCATCAACTATTTTTACTGTCACAAACTAAAAAAATAAATTGATGACAGAAAATAAATTCCAGATAATTCATAAAATAAGTCCTGCCCTTCGTACTGATATTGCGAGAAGAAAAAAATCAATCAAAACGTGTTTACAGATAACTGTATGCTGCAATAGATGACTACAAAAAAGTTATGAATGCATCAAGGTGTTCAAGATATCGAACGAGATAACACGAGAAGCATATGTACAAGTGGGTGGTGGGTGTAATTAGACACTGCAATGCGTGGAATGATCGATCAGTGCATGTATTGGCTGTATCAAACAAATTTGCAAGAAGGGTGAATGAAGAAAGGAAGGTTCAAGTGTTATCCAATACTTTGTGCAATTGTAGCAGTAGTAAAAGTTGTGGGTGGTGGTGTAGTCAAAGTTGCAAGGATGACATCATCAGGTCGCACAGGTCACTTTACATGTGCGACAGAGCCAACAATACGATAACTAGGACTCAGTAATGCCTCCCGTATACATGGAATCGGATATACATGACATTGCAGCGGATCATATTGAATTTCAAAATAGAAATAAACGGGTCTCCAGCTCTGCGTGTCCTTCAAACCTTATTTCTTGCAATATACATACATTTTCTTCAGAATCGTATAAATTCATTAACAGCCAACAATTTTGTATGATAAGCAAATTGATTGCTTTGAAGTGCTGACTTTTAAATAAAAGTCTCAAGTTACTCCAATTCCAATCCAAACTTTGCGAGTGCTTACTTTGCATAGTACCTCAAAAATGTTAAAAATTGACCAACTCACTGAACTTCCTTGTTCAGCGATTCAGATGTCTTTCTATGACAGCTAACAGTTTAATTTTGTACCAGCCAAACTGTGTGTAAATTTATTGGGTGCCTATGAAAGTGGGATTCCGTGAATTGAAACTTGATAATTCATATTTGACACATTTCCCCACTCTTCTTATCTCAACTCATCTTGACGTATCAAGTCTCAAAGTCATTGTGCAAAATGTTGTTGCTAAGTTATGACTAAAGTGAGACAAAAATAGGAATGAGAATAACCTGATATAAGGGTTGTGAATAGGAGACATGATAGAGCATGATCTTCTTTTGTTTCTTCGGTTTTTTCTCAATAACATCGACCGAGTGACACTGGATCCCGTCGTCGTGAAATGAAACCGTGGTGAATGTGATGAAGTTGATCGACTGACGCTATTCTTACTTTCTCTCTTCAAGCTTTCTTCCTCGATTGCGTTACTTTACGCTGTCTCCGCAAATTTGATGCTAACTGATCAGTTACCTTTTAAATTGTTTAGTTCGTCAAAATCAATTAGCTCACTTTTGTTGCACTCTTTGTGAAAAGCACAGTTTTGTAACAGTTGTCCGCTCCTTGTACATAGTTACACCATTTTTTTAAACTGTATAAAATGTAACTTATCCAATTGTATTTACACTTTCCTTCAAACCTGTTGTTACAAACATTACTTTAAATCCAATTAAAAATAGATTTGCCGTCGTTGAAATATTTCACAATTGGCTACAACATTTATGTTGCTTTTAATGGTAAAAGTTTGTGTGGTTTCACCCGAGGAACTGAGAAGAAAGTTGGTTTCGGATTAGTTGGTATGTAAAGGATGAAGCAATGGAAGTGAAATCCTCTATCGTCCTGTTGAAGGTGAACTGAACCATCCCCACCACTTTTTCCCCAACTCTACGTCGACTTACAATCTACGCTCCCATGATCATCATCCCATCTTCATTGTTATTACTACTGGTTTAAGAGAGCAGAAAACGTGCTCCTCATCTACCAACATATTTACTCCAGAGTTTCGATCGTTTTCTTTTTGGTGGATGATGATGTATGTATGTAGCTACGATTCTATTCACTCTGACCATCGGCCCAAGTCATGCATATTTGACTGCAGATCAAGCATTCTATCTTTGACTTCAATTATAAAACTTTACTCGCATTCATGATATCAAAGGTTTGTTACATTATTCATGAAAAGGAATAACGAAATTTGGCAATATACTTGTTTGAACCCGTTGGAGATACTTGTGTAGTAGGAAAAATAAAATAAAGCAGTTCAAAACTACTCCATTAAGATTGATAATTGCGTCATGATTTCTTTTCTAGTTGGGATGTGCAATGGGCACACATTTTTAATCATCAACGTACAACTATGCATGCAGCTAGAATATTTCGTACCTCTGGGTGACTCTTACCACCGACTGTCAATTTCAACTGATCCCGAACCACCTCAAGAGTGAAAGGAGAGACGGACGATGCACCAAAGAGTGTGAAAGAACGAGGGCTACATAATGCATATGCCTGGCTGTTGTAATGCAATGTAGCAATGACGACGACGTCAACAGCAAATCAATTCGATGAGTGGGAAAGTAGGGACAATAGGAAGACAGATTTTGATAAAAAAATAATAGTACGTTAATGATCAACTGCATAACATTTAGAGCTCTTCATACATAACCAGCAGCTTTTGGGTTGTTGAGGTTCTAGAAAAATATTATTTGTTAACTGCGCATCATCTTCAAAATGCACTCACGTACGCATAAAATTAAATAAAAGTTAATGGAGAGAGATATATTGTGTACAATATGAATATTATGAATATAATAAGCGTGTACCGGTAAACTTTTTGAGTATATGTAAAAACAGATCGCAGACGGCTTTACTTGTAGGTAAAAACCAATACGTAACATTGGATAAGGTATTTCAGCATGGCCCTCTTGGCTTTTATTTACGAGGCAGATAATGGAAAAGGATGGGAAATTGGGGGAAACTGTTGCAAAGGAGAAATATTTTTTGGGAAGTAAAAGTTGCTCTCGGGCTTTTCTATGATGATGGTTCCATCCAGTTTCACATCGTTGCCCATAAACTCAGGTAGGTCTCAAATTTCGCCTGCTCCGCCCCCCGATCCGATTTCTCGTTCCTATGATGTTTGCACATTAAAACCATACACAATTTTAAATTGGATGGATCCTCATTTTTCTTCCCTGTTCGTGTATTCATATTTGTGATAACTTTTAAACTTGTATGTCTCGAAAGATATACAAAAACAGTATGTACATATGTATCCATGTAGATATTTGCACTTGTTGGGATTCTTGTAGTTTGAAAGGATTGGAAATAGATGACGATAAAACTGTATCATTTCCTAATAACCTGAGCTTATGAAATTAGGCAATGTTGGGTTAGAAATTCGTACAATTTATGCGAACTTGTTGATAAATTGAACTGAGAAAAAACTGAAAGAATCACTAGGATTTAAGTCAATGTGGTTAGTTATGTAAAAGTAAATTTGAAAATATCATTTAAAAAATGAAAGATCAGAGGACATTGTGTCCTTTTGGTAAGCACACAACTTTGAATGACTATAACAGGCTCTTCGTATATGTACGTAGATGTAGCTATACACGCATACATATATTGTTTTTGTTGGAACAGGTAGTTATAATTTGCTCAGGTTTTGTGGAAATGTAAGTTTCAAACAAAGACGTTGATGTTTTCCATCCACACACCCACAAACTTTCCTTTGAGTAGTGACTGGAATTGGAAATTCCTTCAAGCCAAGCTGCAACAATGTAATATAATACGTCTGGAGTAGAAAATGTTTGAAAAAGCAGCGAACCAGCAACTTTCGAGTTAGTGAAAGAACAAAACAATGTAACTCCCTTATTCAACTATGTATACATACAACTTAGGAGACCTCAGTGTACCTACTTCGTTTTTTTATTTAGTATCAAACTCAAATGATGCATAAAACCATTCCCTCCCAATGCAGTAAATGCCTCTTGAAAACTGTTGCTTACATCAACATGCATGTATGCATACTGGTCTCCGTATTAATATGAACGAATAAACCTAGATGCCCTCCATAAATTATTGCTATTTTCATAGTTTTTAATATTTTCATACTTTTGATGTTTGTTTTCTGGAGTTGTGTGCCATGGAGCAAGAATCGTGATAAATAGTGATAGTCTCAAGTTTTCCAAGCTATTGGACACATTGATACGTTAGAGGGCTTCTTCTGTTCAAAGGTAATTACCATCAAGCGTGGTTATGCTAAAGTGTACTTGCAGAAGAAAGGTAGACACTGCTGCCAGCATTAATCATAAGGAAGACTATCCTTCTAAACTTCTCCCTTATATTAGTGCACACTTAAGGACTTGAGTCCATTTGGGAACTGTCATGTCGCCTCAGTCCTCACGAATGAACGGATTTTCATTTCATATCTTATCAACAACCTGCTTTTAACTCATCTCCGTGATAATTTGGATTTGCCTCATTACTTTTGCTCCAGATTTTGAAGGTTCTGATCATTCTTCTGGAAATTAAGGCGCAGCGACATAGCAATATGTATGAACAGCTTCAATTAAAGTGGGCCCTGTATGTTTGGTCTTCTTTAACAATTCACGGCAAAGATTTCATAATGACAAGTTGAGGTATATCTAGTCTTTAGCAAAAAAAACTTGTATAAGTTTTTAATCATATTTACAGCAGTCCATGTCGAGGTGAAATTCGACACCTTTTATTTTCATCATGCATCACCTGAGATTATGAGCAGGTGAGTGTGACGGTTTCTCTGATATTAAATGAAAATTCGTTTCTAATTAAATCTCTGTACTGGATATAAATAGATAGACTGGAAATTATCGACGTTTGATACATGTCGCCATGAGCTAAACAAGGTTGCCCATGCAGCATTTCTAGGTTTAAAAATGAAAGCAGGATGAATGGTGCGTTGCGAGAAAGTGTCTCATCACGGCCCCGAATGGTGCAAGTGTGAAAGACGACGACGAATACGGTCTGGAAAAAGAGGGTGACAATGAATTCATGGTCTCAGAGGTCTCAGAGGAGCGATCGTGTTTCTCAATTTAATTTCCAACCAAACACTCAACAAACTCCACTAACAGCCTCCTCCAGCCCTTCGCCCGAGAAACTAATCGATTTTCTCTCCTTTCTCCATGCACGTCAACCAACCAAGGCTATGCAGCAATACATATTTCTAAGAGTCGAAGGAAAATTTAGCATTTAGAATTACTATTTTAAAATAGGATTAAGCTCCTTTGTGAAAACAAATTGACATTGTGTAAAGGAATGACGCAAGCCTAAAAAATATACAAGATTTGTTGACCCACTATACTCACAAATAATTGACTAGAGAAATCTAGTCAATGTCTAATTCTACAACAATGTCTTAAAATAAAATGCAATTACGGAATTTTTTAAGACGATGAGCCTTCTTGGCGATGAGCTTGCAACTGCAATATCACAATTATGAGTGAAATTCAATAGACATGCCCAATTTATATTTCTTCCTAATAGATTCTATCGCTTACTCACAATCCAAGCTAATATAAAAATAGGTCACTAAATACATGGTAGCGTTCAAATCAAACCCAAACTTAGATCATTTACATAATAGAAATAGACAATGGTTTTTGTCATTTATCCTAAGTCTACGAATTCGAAGCCCATGAATTTGTAATGTGCATAAAAATGCTGCTTATATAATCGAGTATTTTACCTTTTCTTATGTGATGCAGAGTAATTTGATTTTTTAAGGATTTACCTACATATGTACATTGTTATTTTAATACAGGTTCAATTTGTCAAGCTTCACAATGACGTCTATGAAATTGTATCCAACAATTCCATACTTATGTATGGTATCTTAAGAAATGGATAATTTTATTATTTGTCTATAAGCAGAATACCGTAAAGCACCCTGTTGAATCATAACAAGGTATTTATTTATTTAGCAATCGGTAATCCCAATTTTATGAGCTGATTTCCCTACAATGACATTATTATTTTTGGTAGAGGGGGGAGGACGACATCAGAAAAAATGAGCAGATGGACCAAGTCATCCATTGTCACTCTACTTTTTTAAATTGTTATGCAAGCCGTCACAAAGTTTTCAGTCAACTCGTTATTAATCTTCATGTCTTTCTCAGTTGGCAATGTTTCGTCGTCTTCAACACTTCAACACATCCATCAATCTTCCAACAAACCACGACGTCTTTACTGCTTGCTTACTTGCTGAAAACCATTGTAGACCAAGTTTGAAACTATTCAATGCAACATTTGACGAAAATGTGGAAATGCTTCTCATTTCATAATAACTTATGGGAGACGAATAGGACACATCCCTATTTTCCTGCCATCTGTCTGTTAGTTTATTAAACGGAAATCTGATCTTTGTTCCATTAAAGCTCAATGAAATCTATCCCCCACAGCCAAATATTATCAAAATATTGTTGTAAATATATGATCAAAAGCAACTTTGCGATTTTAGGAGAAAATATTAATAACTTTTATTTAGACTCTATGTTCTTTCAACGTTTTTTTTTGTATTTGAAGAAAATAGTATGTTCCTATAACCAACCACGACATGGAGAAGCAATTTTTAGATTATTGTACATAAACATTATTAAAACATCAGTTGGACATGGGAAATTATGCATTACAGACTAATTGCCAGATACAACACAAACCAGGTGATGTAGAAGGACACTTGTTGTGACCACCAGGGCCTTACGGCGCCCCCATCGTTGCACAGCCCACGCTTGCAGATGCAAATCTGTCGCTCGCGATTAGAAGCGTCACAGTTTTCCGTCAGCATGAAGTTGACTTCGGGGAGCAAATCGGTGCAAGAGCGCTGGATCCTCCTCCTCGTTCCTTCACAATTCATAACAATAAAATATATAGGACCTTTGCAACGAATTGGACGTTTCTTAATTAAATAATCAGCACAAGATTCATCCAAGTACTGACATTATGTGAATGACTTAATGAATACCATTTCCTGATGGATGCACAATTTTTATGCAGCAACCTTTACACACAGAGGAAAAACACATGTATATTACGTGTATAAATGTAATATGTACATATATTCATATCTTATATTACCTTCGCATTGAGTCAAATATACGTTTGCTGACCCATAATAATGAGAATATTGAAATGGGTTCCCACAATGAGAATCTTGCGAACTGTCGCAGTGATAACAGAGTTGTCCCTCCGTAGATTCTGAAGTTAAGAAGATATACATTTTCAAACGTGGCTCTGGCTTAAATTAAGAAATTCAAACGTCTTACCCATGCAATCCGTAATATTTAAACCACGTGCGCCTGTGAATAGCACCCCAATAACAAAGACAATTGCCTTTCTTCTTGAACAGAAATTTGAAGCCTGTTGACGGCCCGGTATGAAATGTGGCATAGTAAATAACAGATTCTACTAATTTTATTCTTGGTTTCGAAACTAAAAGTGTTATTATTTAGTTGATACTCTATTTTTCTGCAATAATGAACACAATGTGGAACTTCAATTCTTCTCCTCAGTTTGCTGTGATGGTACTGCTTCTGGCGAGTATTAGCATCAGTGCAATAATAATGAACATATTCGTCAGTCACGTATGTACACTCTGGACATAATTGGCTTTACTGGTTACCGTCTATGTCAACAAAAGTACACATGATTTAGCCACTAAAAACGTGATTAAACAAGACATTCGACCGATATCCTTGCTATTATACTAGCATAGGATATTATAGCTTTTATACCAGCAAACCTTTTCTTTGCTCGCCTAACCATTAACGATGGTTTATAATACTTATATGTTGCCTTCCCAAGCTGAAAAGTTCTATAGTTTAAGTTCAAGACTTGAAATAAAACATTTCATGTGTCTTACAGTAATCATAACATGCAGGTACGTACATATGTAGGTAGGTCGAAATATGAATGCATCAAATTCTAAATCCTTCTCAAGTTTTTCAGTACACATGTTATATGACTTTAACCACGCACATGGCTGAACCACAAACTTTAATCATAAATGGTTTTATCCATTCTTCCAGGACCAATTGCGATAATCATGAGAACTTTTTGCACATAATAAAATGGATGTTCATTTATGATCTATGTACGTATGCCCACATGTCGAATGAGTAGAATGGTCATAAAGAATATTGTTTAGGAAATTAACTCATTTTCTCGCATGCACATCAATATTAAAACGCAATGACTAATTCGTATAATTTGTGTTTATTGTTAGAATGAGAAATTGCTTATTATTTAACAACAAAATTAATGCAGTAATGTCTATATGTACCATATTTTTTATTAGCTTATAAAAAAGTAATAACTTGAATGATGAGAAATGATTATCACATTATTAAGTGTGCATTGAATGTGCAATAATTTAATACCAATGTTATTATGTCGAACATTCTGTGTTTATAATCTTATTGGATACCAACAAGTTGTTCGCTTTTTTCCCACAATGCTGTGGCCAAATGATCTGTCAACAAAGGTTCGATCGACGAAAACTGTCGCCCAAAGCGATACATCTTTCCAGAGCTGATTGACAATTCCTTTGCCAAGGCGCAAAATAATATGATATCGCCAGCCTGAAAATGAAATAGTGAAACTTGAAAATATGTATGTGCCACACAATGAGTTTGTCGAAATTAATCCAGCGTACCTTGTTTACAGGCAGAAAGAATGTGTATTTTCCTAATCCCATTGAAATCTTTCCGGTAGTGGAATAATGTTGAAAAATATTGCTCCTTGCGAGGCCAGGACAAACAGAATACGTTTTCACCCGAGTGCCATTTAGCCTTTTGCCCAGTTCCTTGGAAAATAAAGCGTTGGCAAGTTTTGAGTTATTGTACGGCATTGTGTTGCCCAACCCAAGTCCAGAATTTTCGAGCATCAAATTATCAATGTTTAAGTTGGACATCACCGCGGCCGTACTGGACACTGTTATTATCCTGCGAAAAAATAATTGTCAATGATACTAGTTAGAAATCGTATGAGAAAACTGAATCGGTGGTAATAATTTTACCTTCCGCTTGAAGCCTTCTTAATATTATCCAGCAGCAAGTTTGTAAGTAAGAAATGGCCTACAAAAATATCAATGAATGCAAAAATATTATTTATGTAATGCATCCAACGATAAAGATGGATGAATCAGTACCAAGATGATTTGTCCCAAGATGAAGTTCGAAACCATCTTTAGTGAACCTACGCTCTGCACAATCGAGGGATATTCCAGCATTGTTAATTAAAATGTCAATTGTAGGGTATTTCGATTTTAGTGATGCCGCACACTTCCGAATGGAAGAAACATCAGACAAATCCAACTCGGACAACTCCTACCGCAAGAAAAAAAATCAATTTTATTACAATTACATTTGTGTAGGGAGTACTTGTATGTACATGGTTTCATAAAGTCCGGTCGTATAGGGTTTTAAAAACTTACAACGGTCGTTGATCCGCTATTTCTTTTAATTTCCTCTAAAGCCTTCTGTCCTTCGACCATATTGCGACATGCTGAATGCATATGTATGATAATCAAACATTCGTATGCAGTAAAATATGAACACAATTATGAAACATGGTATAAAATATGAATCATACCCATTACAACTGTGGCCCCCCGCTTGGCCATTTCGTCCGCGACATATTTGCCCAATCTGAACAAGTAATTCAATTCATACATAGGTTAACCCAGCAGATGGAAAATACACGAGTGTACCCTCGGTTCTAAATATTCCAAAATGTACATATGTATGTACGTGGATCTTGGTGCTTGGGTCAGTAGAGGTCAATTGTACAAAAAAATCTGAGTATGCATGTGTATGTATGTATGTTTGTACATTTTGGAATATTCGGAACCGAAACACCACCCGCCCGCACAAACGGGTATAATTAAATCTGAACTAATTATAAGTCAATTGTTGCAGGTATGATTAACTCTTACCCCGAATTAGCTCCTGTGATTACAACAACTTTTCCTTGTACAGATTCTTCCGTTCTCGGAGACGGACCCTGAAACAAACGGAGGACTTGTAGCACAAACCATTCTACGAGAAAGTAAAAAAGCTGGAAGGGAGATGCGTGAAGAGCCATTTTATTTTATATGAAGACGTTTTATTTTAGATTTATTTTATTGTCTAAATCGTCTAGGAAGAACTACGTTCGTGTTTAATCTCTTTTCTTGACTACTTTCAGGTAGATCTTCAGCTGAAGTCAAAATCATCTTCAAGGTTAGATCATATATGATGCATGCATGTTGTGCGATTGCTGTGGGTAGTTGCCTAAAATCTTCTGAACCATGCAGCATCTTTTTCAACTGAATCATGAAAGGTATTTAATGTGGCTGGGAAGCACCCAAGGCCGCCACAGCAGAATTCAGATATTTTATATGACAAAAATATTATCTCGTTAATTTCAATTAAGCCAGACTGAAACTATTACGAATGCCAGAATTAAATAGGCATGTAAATAAAATGCTACATTTTGATGCTTTTTCTGATTTATGTAGGAGCATAGAGTTTGTAGAATGCAAAGGTATTTAATTGGGAATCCTAAGCTGTATTCATACTCTCTACCCCACTAATAAATGTCAAAAAACATTACGAATGGAATATCTGTAAAACAGTTAATATAACTTTTTTGCGTCACTTATGTATGCATGCGATTGTCGCAATATGCATTTTATGTATCTACGTACGCATGTATGCACGTTGTATGCTCTTGAGTAAATACAGATCCATAATTTTATCTACCTGAGTCTTATATTTCAATTACCCATATGCACATTTAGCGCAACTGTTTAGTGCCTGCATAATTCAGTCTGTTTCCTTTTATTATGGTACTACATAGTCTCATGCTCTGATCACTGTACTGCCATTAACCTTTTGGTGCTGTAATGAGAGCACTAAAGTTTTTCAAAAACGTAATCCGAAAAGTAATCCGAAATTGTAGTCTCGCTTAGAAGTGAGAAATGGTTTATCTACAAGGAATCGTTTACAATTACTTGTTTGGAGCAATATGTTTGTTATTCAACTTTTTTTATGGGGGTTTTTGTTGTGAACAACTATCTTCTATTTCCTGGATTCCTGGAGAATTTGACCGAGTTACAAAAGTTGTGAATAATGCTTGGAAACATTGTCGTGTTCAAATAACGGAAGAGTGCAGTAAAAAGTAACTTCATTTATGTAGATACTACAAATATGCAATACCAATTTTGTATGGCATGTTTCAGTTCATTGAGATTACCTGGTATTTTTTTTATATTCACTTTAGCATTGGATATAACCAGTTTTGTGCTGAACAGTTTTGTGAATTTAATTATGAAGGTATATTTTTTGCATATGAATTTGTTAATAAATCTTTACAATATGAATTGATCCATGAAGAAGGTTATTTTTATGCAGAATTGGAATCTCTGAAACCCCAAAAACAATGCCAACCTGTAAGGCATTCATTGAATAGATTGTGTAAATTGTAAGCAATACAACAAAATTCTACTATTTTAGAAACAATCAAAATTTTAAATTTTATTGCAGATTATTTATAGAAAGGTGCTCATCAAGTATATCGAGTAATGCAAGAGGGATAAGAGCACTTATACATAAATCAGTCCTATTTTCATTAGCCATCATCAACATTCCACTCATAATTATTTAGAACCTGTAAGATATTTATATAGGTCTATTTATGTGCAGTACAAACATTATTCTATTTGTCCAGTCCATATTGTAATCAAATTTTCATTTATGAACCTGACCAATTCCCCAATTTTATTTTTATCTCATCTCTCATAAAGAAGGAATCAGTTAGGTTCTGAAAGCTAGAAGAGTTTATTTGAAAATCGCATCCCGTCACTCCATTCAAAACCATGTTAATTCGGTAATACGAGAACATACTATACTGCTGGTTCATCAGTCATGTAATATTTAACAGCTTTGTCACTTGCTATCCACAGTGTTCTTGCAGCCTCAGTCTTTATTTTCCGATTTCCAGGCTGATAAAGTTTTTCGAATCGATAAAACTTTCCCGTTTCATCTTCACATCGTCTGGAGAGCACACAATATAAAATAGAGTCGGCTGCCTGTGTGTTGAGATTTTTACATATTAAATTGCTAGTCTCAATTATTAATCTTGTACAACAAGTCATGGACATACCCTCGCTGGTGACAAACCAATGATTGTCCACCATAATTTAGCCATCATTATAGCTCCTCTTGTGGTCGCAAAGACCTGTGCGTCACAGATGCCCGAACACACGGAATAAGTAGTGACTCCTTGTCCTCTCAATCGCCTTCCCAGATCGTTGGCAAATAAGCAATTTGCCATTTTGGAATTATTATACGACAAATTAGTTGCATAGCTCGTGGAAGTTTTTAAAGGGCTCGAGTATTTTTGCAGAATAATGTCGTCTGCATTGAGGTTTGAAAATAGCATCGTTGAGGAGGAGGTGACAACTACTCTGTGATTGTATACATACATGATTGCATATTTATAAATGCCAATATTACAACATAATACGTGATTAAAAATGATAAAGCACCTGCTCGGAGTTGCCACCTGAAGATTCGGAAGCAGCAGATTTGTCAACAGAAAATGCCCCAAGTGATTTATGCACATGTGTTTTTCATATCCTTGTTGGCATGTTTCTAGATCGAGAGTCTGGTTACAAATTTCAGCGTTATTGATCAAAATGTGAATCTGTGGAAATTGTTTAGCCACTTGGTCTGCAAACTGTCGAACTGAACTAAAGCTCTCCAGATCGAGTTGCACAAGGAACTATAATTAATTATATATTAGTAAACATGAAATAAAAGTTGACAGGGAATATTCTGCATAATGTGTTTGTTTGTACAACTTTCCGAGACTTTGTTTCGTACATGATGTCCTCTTGTGCCTCCTTTCCTTTTGTCATATTCCTACTATTACATCCTGTAATAGTATAAGTAATAGATTTGCATTTTTTTAGTGTTGAGTGCTCAACATTACATGACAAGAATAATATTAGTCTCACCCAATATTACTGTTGCTCCTCGATCGGCCAATTTCATGGAGAGGGATTTGCCAATTCTCGAATTTCCATCGGTGACCACAATTACTTTACCTCTGACATCTTCCTCGTCTCTGTCCTCGCTACTGCCTCCCCACAACTTGTACCAAATTGCTTCAAAGGAAAACTCTAAGAAGTACCAAACTAACCTTAGCGTATGCAAAATTGTCATTTCTGTTAAAATTTTACGATATCCTTAATTTATGAGTCGCAACTACTTGATAGTTAATAATCAATGTTGGAATATTATTAATAAGTGACGTGAAAACATCTGACAATGATCGAGTCCAATTTCTATCTCGTCTAAAGAATCTGGTTTTCTAACTATCTATCTACATATATGTGAATGCAAGGGACACTCATGCCGGTTTTGGTTTCATGAGGGTGTTTACGTATGTAAAGTGAATTCATAAGAAATAAATAAGAATGCATGTGCCATGTATGCACTCGCAGGGAATGTTGCTTTGTTGATGTCAAACCTATTAATGTACAGAAATATGTACGCCTACAAAAAAACACACGATGAAGGTATGTGTAGGAATCATTAAATTGTTTTTATAATTTATTTCAGAAATGTCAATGTTTAAATACAATTTCGAATTAAACAATCATGCGCCAAGTCCCATCAATTCGTTGAAGCCGTTTGGCGTTCGATGATTTGTATTATTAGTTTTAGTGTTTTTAGACTTTCTTGGTGAATCCATCTGCTCTTCGCTATCAGATTTTTGTGGGGAGTTGTCAAATTGTTCATCTTCTTGACTGCTGTAGTCATCTTCAAAGTCGGGTTGTTCTTGTGGCCTTTGATGATGTTGTCCACGTTGACCTTTCCCGTTTTTGGGGTTGGAATTGTTGTAAAGGTCATAATTGTCGTCATCATTATTAGGAACGTCGTCTCTTGGATTATCATCATAATTGTTTTCCCCTCGATCAGACGAATTTGGTTTACGTCCTACATCGTTATAGTCAAAATTTGAGTCGTAGTCATTGTTCGGCGGTGGACCGTCTTCGGGATGCGCCGCATCGTTTCTTGTATCCTTATCATAGTTCATATCGTGATGGCTTCCATCTCGTGGTCCGTCCAAGTTATGATAATTTTGCTCTCCACGGTCTCCGCCGCCAAACCCTGGCCTTTTGTTGTTATTTCTGCTATTCCAATTAGTAGACGAGCCGCCAGGTGGAGAGTTGAAGCGATTCCTGTAGTTTCCATGCTCATTCCCGTCATTATCATAATTATGCCTGCTAGGAGTTTCCCGATCCCGATCAAAATCTGGTCTTCCATGAGAATGATGTGGGGGACGACCTCGCTGACCTTCATTATGTTGTTGAAGACGTCCTCTATTCGGATGCTCGTAGGAGAATTCATATCCGCCTTGCTCTTCAGAGTTTTTTTGTGGACCATCAAATCCATAATTTCTTCTACCGTCTCCACCACCGCCACTTTCTCCACGAGAAAAATCTGGTCTGTTTTTACCAAACTGACCATAATTATTTTCATCGTCTTGGAATTCGTCGTTGAAATTTCTATTGTCATCATTTTCTCCGTCATGATGTGACGAACCCTTGTAAGAGCTAGAGCTAGCTTGTTGTTGTAGATTTGCTAATGGAAATCCATTCGAGTTGATTAAGTTGGCCAGATCTATGATATTGTAGAATCCAGCATCTCCTTGTACTCGGTCATACCCAGGAGGTGGCCCATCTGTGTGACCACGCCGTTCATTTGGACGACGCTCTTTGTCGTTTTCGGGTATTTGTTTTGGAGGAGAATTTTGCAAAGGCGGCTTGATTGGAGATTCTGGTTTCGCTGGAGGTGATGGTGGAGGTAGACGGTCATTTTCGTGATGATGGTAATTATCTCTAGTGGGATAAGTTGGAGGTGGTGCAGGAGGAAAATCTCCATTATTGTTGGATGGATGACCTCCATAGTACGAATTATGAGGTCTTAAGGGGCCCCCCATTCCACCCATACTTCCATGCTCAATTTCGCCACGGTTGTAATTAAAATCTGCTGGATTTCCTCTGAAACTCATTGGTTGCCCATACGCAAAGTCGCCAGTAGCAGAACTGGTGGCGTCAGATTGAAACTGACCAAGTCCATTAAAATCTAATGGTTTAGCGAAATCCTTTGTAATCATTTCAGGGAGGTATAAATGGTCCAAACTGTTGGGCGTTCCGGAAGTTGGAAGGACTCCTTGATGATGTAAATCAAAGTTGCTGACCAGACCTCCAATTCCCATGTCAAAGCTTCTTGGAGCATATCTCAGAGATACTCCGTCATCAGCACCAGCCTTCCCTTCTACTTTTTTGACAATTATCACTTGCTTTTCTCCGAGTTTGTTACTGAACCATGGTCGTTTCACTCCGACTAAAAATTTCTCTTTGAGAAACATTTTCGGACTAAGGTGACGAGTAACTTTTGGCGTAGAATGTAGTTCTGATAATTGATTTTCAAGCCCAAGAGCAGTCGAATTCACTGAATTTAATATTTTATCTGTTGTTGTGTTTTCCTCAGTTCCGTTCTTGTGCATAGCTTCGACAGTGATACAAAAAAGTATGGACATTGTTGCAATACCAGTTAGCCCGACCATTTTTACTACATATGTGTACTGCGTAGTCCAGATGAAATTTCAAAATTTTAAAACTGTTCACTATAAGGCCTTCTTAAAGAAACTCCCATTTCAAGGTTCTTTTCGAAACTAAATAAAATTGAAGGAAGTAAAATCTTTTAAGCAGTTTTGTTTGTCCCCTTTTCATCCTTTTCATGACCATATAAATAAACGGAAATGGAGCAGTGAGCAGTGTGCTTTCCCTTTTTCACATAAAACAATTATTTCAAGAATACAGTACAAAAAAAGAGTTTTTCGATAACGCCTACTCGAGTAAATGTATTATGTACAAAATACTGGCTGCATGCATGAACACGACGCATTGTTCTCCAAATGAATGGACAAACTTTATCTGTTTTGTCGTGAGAAAGTCACAGGGGGCACCTACGCTTGTTCGTTGATGCGAAAAAATAGTCGTATCGATTGTCCTTAATACGCATATCGTGCCTTACTTTAGGTACGTATATATATATACGTACCTATATATATACGTACATGTATACATGTATAGATTTGCATTTCTTATAAAGGTGACACGTAACTAATTTGAAACTGCAGATTTATCTACGCCATACTGTACATAGTAGTTCATGCGTGCACTTTTAAAATAAATTAATGGATTACAAAAATTTAAAGATTTTCATTTTTATTTAACAATCAAATTCAAGGATCAGCCATAACCAATACAAATTAATGCATAAGTTACATGGGATAATCCTTTGGCTAAGGTACGTTTCATTTTTGTTAAAATCTACCAGCCCCACCCACCAGCCCCGCCCGCAGAACCAGCACCCCCCTTTCCGCCGCCCCAGCCTGCCCCCCCTTTCCCCCCACTTGAGCCTTTGGATCCGGCGGACCCCTTTCCCCCAGGCCCACCCCACCCCACTGGATAAAAATAGGAGACAGGATTTTTAAAAAAATTCCCAGATCAACCTTGAGACAACTACAAAAGTGAAAATCATAATTTTTTTATCTCCGAAACTTACCTGATCCATGTCCATACCCACCTCCACCACCGTGACCGTGACCGTGCTCATAATCGCTGTGACCTGCAAATAACGATGCCAAAACCTTATGTATGATTCGCACGCATGTACATACATACACATATGCATTCCCGTTGATGCCAAGCAAAAGAAACTAAACCCAATATATACAAATTTGCAGAGAAAATAGCTTTATTCAAAAATTGTACAATTGAACGCACATTAGAGTAAGGCACTAATAGTTGTAAGGCCATCAAACATTCGAAGCGAATGATGAGGCAGAGGAAATGTATAACAAGTTAGAAGAACAAAGACTACTTTCTCCTCCATCCTCCTAAAAGTGTATAATTAATAAATACAGTGTACATAACTTCAAAAGTTTCCAATCTTTGAAGGGTCTTACCATAACCACCACCTAAAAATTAACAAATTGTTAGAATGCTTGCAAACTTGAATCCATTAATAAAATTTGTTGCAAAAAAATTACCGCCATGACCCCCACCGTGGCCACCCCCTCCGTAACCACCTCCATGTCCTCCCCCACCCCATCCTTTAATAATTCGAAATATTAATTTCGATTTCGATCGGTTAAAAAAAGATTACATACCTCCCCAACCTCCGTTTCCTGCAAATAATTAATTGAACTGTTGTTTAACTTAACTTTTAATTTATTAAAAAATTATTTCGAACCTCCGCCCCCGCCCCACCCCCCACCACCACCACTACCCCCTAAAAATATCATAAAAATAACGTTAAAAAATATGAATTTCAATTTTTTTAGCCCGAACCAGGGCTTATGTAATCGTCATTTCTGTCCGTCCGTCGTCTCTCTTTCGATAACTCTCGAACGAGTTGCCCGATTTGGACCAAATTTGGTACAGGAATGTATCTGGGCAATGCAACGACCGATTTTGAAGATGGGTTCGATCAGAAAAGTTTTGGACCGGTGGGGGTCATATAAGTGGGTAGGGTATTATGCACCAAAATTTCAAAATTGTGATAGAAAGCTGAAAATCGGCATGGAGCGTACTAATGACTCCTAATGAACGAATATAAAGTAAAATTGCAAAAATTTTCATCTGGAGGGACCCTAGGGGGTGACCCATACCGATTTTTCAAAATCATCCAATCGAGCTGAAATTTTGCATAGAGGCTGATAATGGCCCTTAATAGAAGAATATGAAGTCAAATTGGTAAAATTGGTTTTCACATCCGGAATCCGTTGGGGTGACCCATACCAATTTTCATAACTTGTTGCAAAAAGCTGAAATTCGGAACGGTGTTACTTAATTGCTTCTCATGAAATTATATGGAGTGAAAGATGTACAAAAGGTAACCAAAAGGGCACAGGGCTGCCCATACCGATTTCTAAGAATTTATATAGGTATATTCAGCTAAAATTTAGTGAGGAGTCAAAAAATAACTTAGGATTCGAATTTTGGAGGGTTAAACTTCGAAATTTTTATAGGAACAGCCTCCACTATTCGTGGTATTTGGTGCCAAGTACTTAATACTACCAACTGACGTTAGTTAGTGCAAACATTCGTGAAAAATAGTATAACATTCTGACAAACATGGGTGTACTAATCCTGGTTCGGGCTAAGCAAAGCTGTACTGATAGGTTCTTGAACTTGTTTACGTACCCCATCCTCCGCCACCGCCACTCCCACCCCAGCCACCTTTTTGGAACAGAGTATTACAAAGTGTAACAAACAATTATGCATAATGATTGCAAAAAATTCTCACCGCTACCACCCCATCCCCCTGCATAAGTTAAACAAACAATTTAAAAATGTACTATCATAAACAGATATTAATATCATAAAGGTAAAATGAATGCACCCACCTTGTCCTCCTCCTGCTGATCCTGTGGTTATCACGATGACCTTCCCACCGCCTCCCTTCGTGGCCTCAACTGTCACAATGAAAGCTAACGCCACCAGGGAAAATACAATTACCTATATTGGTGAAATCCAAAATATGTATGTAGTATGAGTACTCGAAGGTATATGTATGTAACTCTTTTTAATAATGGTAACACTTGTATATTTATTTCTTAATTAAGTCTCTCACCACTTTGTTTGTGCCCATTTTGTTGGTTTAGACTAGTCAAGTAAACACACCAATGCAGAAAAGTCGACACCCGAAAAAATCGGGAAATTTTAGCCTTCCGGAGCAACAATTAATCGGATCCAATTCTATCTTTCAAATGACATGTGAGACATGCAAGGACCATTATTTATACACTTTTAACTGGCAAACACACGTCTAATATCAAAAAAAGAATAACGCAACTTTCCCTAGATTTCATTGATCTCATCCATTCAATACTTTTACCCAAACAAGACCAAAACTTGACGTTAACGGAAATCTTACATGCCGTATGTACAGGTATAATGGGGTGTGAATTAAGTAAGAGTGAATTAACAAGTGATTTCGATTCAGTATTATTGACATTGTTTGCTTTATTTTATAACTTTTTATGTAAAAAAAGGTACTACGAATCGTGTCTCGCTGTATTCTGAGAAAATAAATAAATGGTCCTCAAATTACACGCTAATTAGAGAATCTTATTCCACACTTTTCTAATGGGAATCCTAGTTTTTCAGCAGGATACGTGTAATCCATGGCACAGTAGGCTTGCCCATCCCAAATGAGATCTTGCTGAGTTGCATTTTTATTCCTAAATAAATTTTGCACTTACATATCTACTTAATTGGAATTAAAACTTTGTGGCAAGTAAAACTTCAATATCAAGGGGATCAAGGGGATCACCTTAATTCTGATTTAGTCAGCGGTCGTTTTAACCATCCTTTGTAAGAAGAATGCACATGGGCCGCTCCAACACAGTGATCCAAATTTTGAATAGTTTTCTCAAGAGTCAAGTCAAGATCCATGTTCATGAATAAACGCTGCATCATGTCATAAGAACTACCTGGATTTTTCCTACAAATACATATGTGCATTATAAGTAGTCGCAAAAATGGAAATCCGACAACCCCAATACTCAAGAGCATCTCTGCACAGATGCGTACTGATCTAGTACTTACGTACATATGTATCTATAGTAAGTGACATTTAAGAGAAATTCATTTCAAGAAGCACACAATCAAGTGCATGCACGTACTCACCATCGACGAATCAAATCAGGAGCTATCAGGGACTGCCATCGATTTTGCAAAACGCTCAAGTCAGAAGAAAACTCATTAAATGATGACTCAGCGCAATAGTAATGAATGAACAGCATTATTTTCCAAACCGACTCCAAAATTAGATCGAATTTCTCTACATTAATCTTGATTTGTCTCGGTACTTGTAAAAGCTGTAAAATTGTGGTTCCATTCCGAGCTTTAAACTTGAGTAGTGGAGTCTAGTCAAGAAAATTGAGTGAAAATTTTTTTAATGAGATTTATAGCCCGAATAAATGCACATATATATAAAGCCTTTGACCAAGTAGCTCTCAATTTGCAAACGTATTTACATAGGTACGTTTCCTACCTTGGAACAACTCTTGCCATTTTTGAAGACAAATGAGGTTCCGCTTGCTTCACATTTCTTTAATGCTCTCAAAATTCGTAATCTTGTTGCATTATCAGGATCCACGTTTGGTGGAAATAGTGTGAAAGACTCTTCGAGTAAAAATTTAAACAAAAGAAATATATCGTCCAAATACAATTCTGGAACCATTGTAGTTGGACATGTCTTTTTGAAAATTTTCTTCCCAATTTCCAAAAACTTCCATTCCATAAAATCAAACATTTCAACCGGAAGTTCATGATAGAACTTTGAAGCATAAAATTTTGCCCCAATTCGTTGTGATTGATCGTCAACGTTTTGTCTAACAACGTCGGAATCATTTTTATTAGTGGTGGGAGAAGTGGCAGTCCTAGTAGCATCCTGGCTATAATCCAAGTAATCTTCTTGTCCAATGGCAGGCATTGCAAACTCGGGTTTACATGGTTCTTTTGTCTCCCATGTTGTTGATGATTCTTTCTGAGAGGTTCCATGCACTTTAAACTGCATCTTATTTGGTTTCTTTTGAATCCGATCTCCACGGAATTTTGAATCCAGACACAGATTTTCTTGCACATAAATCGACAAATTATGTATTTCGTCCAATTCGAACTTGTAATAACCAAAGAACACAGTTCGTGGTTTCATTAAGCAGTTTTGAAGTCTCGAGAAGCCTCGATGCTGCTCAACTGCAAATGCATTCGTTCCCCAGGTCAAAACTTCAAACGTGTTATCATCCACTAAATCAAATGTTTTTCCACGTTTCAAATCAGAATTGTTTAGAAACAGACGTCGACCAGAAGTAGCTATTTGTCCCCCGTTGTTTTCATTCCCCAAATAAACGATGCCTGCAATCTTTATGTTTTTCAAATAGAGGTGACTAATACATCCTTTGGTTTGAGGGTAAGCGCTCCAAATAATCGGATTTGATTGACACCATTCCTCATATAACGCCCATCTAACGATTTAAAATACACCAATACTGATAAACTGACTCTTCAATGCTCAAAAGAATCAAGTAGTTATTCTGTAATTGGATTTATTTAGTAGAACATATTTATGGGGTATTTCTATCTTATTTCTATCTCATTGAATTTACATATTAAATTCCTTCTTACGTTCCTTTATCGAAACAGAGGGACCCCAAAAGTCGTGGCTCAGTAAACCAGACTCCGGCTTTACATTTGTATTCTTCAGCAGAGTACACTGTCCCGTTCAGACACACTTTCATTTTCCAACTTTCAACCTCGTTTGATTCAAAGAAAAACAACAAGAAAAAAGTAATTAAAATCGAATTGACTACTGCCATTCTCTAATTGTACAAAGTATGTTAATCAACGCAGTCAACTGAGAACTAAAAAAAGACATAATGGATCAACGAAACCAACAACACGCAATTGTTGACTGTTCTGTTTTTTAAGATTTGTTTATATCACAAAATATTTACAATACAATAGTAAATAATTAATATGAATACTGATGAAATATGGCAGGTTTTAATTGCAACTCAACATCGATTTACGCATGACTTTAAGCTGTAAAAATTAGTTTCATAATGACCCATCTACATAGATCGTTTCATTTTCAGGTTATCCCAACTTGTGCACTACATGTAATTTGGCTTGGGTATAAAAATGGCTGTTACATGTATGTTTTTTTAATTGACAGTGCATTTTGTAAAATCAGACAAGTAAATTCTAAGAATACATGTTCTTGGAATTTTAAAACTCGCGTCAATATTCGAAAAGTTACAGGACTAAATAAAAAAGTTTGGTTTCCTTCCTTAATGTTGCCACAAGCTCAAATTCGAGAAGAATAATGCTGACAAGGGAACCTTAAGTACTGTCATACTGTCCCATCTCGATTTCCTTTCGGATAGTCTTATTTGATAGATAATTTAGTGTAACGGAAACTTTGTCATAGAACATACGGTGCAAAATCACGTTGTCGCGAAATATTTGGCGAGAGCTGCTCCAGAACGTGTCATTTTTCCAATGCTTTTAACATATCATGTATTTCCTCTTAAGTGGAACTGCGTTATCTTAAAGTATGCTGCGCAGTAAGTTGAGACTGAAATTCAGCATTATAATTTTTTGAGACGCAACTTCAAGGGCTTCTAGGGGTATAAAGCGTTTTTTTCTAAAATGACGAAATTCGATACAAATCGGGCTGAAAGTAAAAAACTTTTGAATCGAGTTTTTCAAAACTAAAAAAACGTCGCCCAACGTGACTCGAACATGACGTGGCAACACTTCAAAACGGAAGTATGTCACAAAACGAAAATCTGCGTTTATATTTCGAACTATTAGGATGACAAAAAGCGAAATTCAAACAACATTCGAGGCCACCACTCGTTATAGCCAACCCCAGAAAATTTGAAGCCGTAAAAAAATTCTTCACCACGAATCCTTCCAGATCAAGTCCTACGGAAGCTAGGGAACTGAAAATCTCAAAAAGCTTGTTGTGCTGCATTTCAGTTAATCAACTGGGGAATACAGAAAAAATCAAACCAAGCGTGGGAAAAAATGTTCAGGACCCGAAAACCAGGGTGCAAAAAAGTTGCAAAAAAACCAGTCGACAAATGTCATGAAAAATTTTCATCGTTTGTGACGAGAACTACGTCGACCCTGATCCCTTAAAGACTTCGAAAAGCACATTTTTTCACTCTGGCAACCCAGTGAGTGTAGATTATCAACAGAAGTTGTACATAATATCTAAATTCCCTTCAAAACTCCAAGCAAGGCTTACATTGAGACAAATGGGCTTGATTGATTGATTCATTGATTGATAGTCATTTATTCACATGTTATTCCTTGATCAGTACAATTTAATGACTGGTTTACATCAAGTAACACTAAAAAATAGATTGAGTAAAGAAACTAAATTAACTACACAATGTGGTATTTACTTATGATCTAAACAAAGTTACTTGTACGTTTTTTCATAACAAACTCCGTGATACGACTTCGTACATTTCCTGATATATGTATGTTCTCACTAAAAAGTTCATGTAGCATTTGCGCGTCTAAAGTATTCCATAACTTAATTGAGTAATAGCGCATTGAATTCGTAAAAATGACAGAGCTGTGCGTTATTATGTGCATTTTCTGCGAACTCCTAGTTCTATGCCCTGTTTCGTTTAATGTATACATATTATCAAATTCATTTACATTAGTCCCATGTTTTTTTATCTTGAACAAATTCCATATAGCATAATACTCTAGCCTCTCTTTAATCGACAATAAGTTAAATTTTTCTAACAAATCATCATAATTTATGCCAGCATGTGACTTTTTGCAACTTGCTCTTGCATTCGCTACAGTATTATTATCAAATTGACATTTCCAGTAAGTTTTGGTATAATATTTCGCTAACTTTGGATAACAATAGGTACCTAACAGTTGATTCACTTTGGCTTGTATTCTTGTAAAGTCACCTACTCTACAGGGACCCCATATTGTCAGACAATAATCGGTCACCGCATTTACATATGCATTTAACAAAACAGTAAGCATATGTCGTGTGAGATGTCGTCGTAGCCTGCTCAGTAATCCAATATTAATACTAACTCTCTTTTGCACACTTTCTGAATGGGCCTTGAATGAAAAAAATTCATCTACAACGACTCCTAAATATTTATATGAGCTAACTCTTTCAATTTCCACTCCATTAATTAGTATAGGTGGTAAATTCTCAAAAGTTGTACAATTTGGCCTTTTCCTGATAACCATGTATTTTGTCTTTTCCTTATTCATACTTAAACCTTTGCTTTCTAACCAGTTATTCAAATTACACAACTTATCACTCATTTCGTTTATAATAACATTAATATCACTCCCACTAATCTGTACAGAAGCATCATCAGCAAATAAAGTGTAAAAACAATCCGTTAAAACCGTTGCGATGTCATTTACAAATAAAGAAAACAATACTGGACCATTAACAAAACCTTGTCCGATACCACGATTTACAACGAATGCTCTTGAGATAAAAACACCAATTTTAATGTAATAATGTCTATTTCTTAAATAATTACATATTAATAATAACAATTTGGCATTAATTTTATAAAATTCACGCAGCATTTTTAATAGGTGATAATGAGAGATCGAATCAAATCCCTTTCTTAAGTCAATAAAAGCAACCACCACAAATTGGTTCGGTTTGTCTAATTCATTAAAAACATTCTGTGAAAATACTGTCAATGCTGTTGTACAAGATCGTCCCGTTCGAAAACCATGCTGATTATTATCTAATATATTTAACTTTTCTATCGGGGGTAACAATTTCATTTTAAGAATATACTCAAATAATTTGCTAATCGAGTGGAGAGAAGATATTGGCCTGTAGTTATTCGGATCCACGTGACTTCCTTTTCCCTTATACAGAGGTAAAACCAGCCCTTCCTTAAATCTATTAGGATATGTACAAGTTGTAAATATGGTTGTAAAAAATATTGCTAAAGGTATAAGTAAATAAGGTAACAGAGGTTTTAACATTTTGATGGGGATTCTGTCCTGGCCCGAAGACTTTGGCTTCAATTTTGGAATACATTTTGAAATGTCATTCTCACTAACAATAATATTATTTTCATCCGACAATGCATCACTTTGCAATAACTTTAATAATTCATCACTACACTCTTGGGAAGTCTCATCCTGAAGTATGAATGTGTCACTTAAGAGTTTAGCTATTTCATTCTTATCAGTCACCGTCTCGTCATCTCTCTTGAGATAGTTTATTTCTGCAGATTGTTTGATATTTTTACCAGTTAATTCTGAGTATGTTTTCCAGATTGTTTTTGATTCTAGACTAGAAAATTGTTTCTTCAAATATTCACGCTTTTTTAATGAAATACGATTTTTTGTGAAATTGCGTAATTTGTTATATTGCTTTCTTAAATCTGGAGTTGGTGAATTATCAAACATGTTTTTTAATTTATCCCTTTTTTTGATTAGCTGCAAAATTTCTTCATCCATCCATTCTGCAGCATTTCCTCTAATCCTTTTCTTTCTAATGGGACACAATTGATCAATAACATTGAACACCGTAGTTTCTAAAATTTCAAGTTGAGAGTTTACATCAAAATTTTCCTCTAAACAACTCCAGTCGAGTGTTTTTAAGTGTTTGCCTATCTCATCTGCATTAAAATTCTTACTTGAACGGAATTCAATTATTTTTGATTCGGTTTTTGCCTTCTTTGCACTTTTTACAAAATACGTGAATCTATGATCCGTTGTAGTAATTGAAAAAACACCTGATTGTACTATTTTCGTTGGAAAAGAAACATACACATGATCCAAAAGAGTGCACGAGGTTAGCGTGACCCTAGTTGGGTCCTTAATCAACTGACATATTCCTACACTATTGGTCACAATCTCAAGTCTCGCTTTGTGTAGGGAGTTAACAATTAAATCTACATTTAAGTCACCTAAAATTACATAATCTACTTTATCTTTAATTACTAAATGTATTAATGAATCAAGTGAATCAATAAAATCCTGCTTATTCACATGAGGAGGGTTATATACTAATATTACTATAATCGGCGAGGTGAATGAAGGGAAGAGTTGAACAATGTTTACTTCTGTTTCTCTTGGAAATCCCACGTCGTAATGTAGAGGTAAGTATCTCATTTCATCATCAATATAAATTCCCGAACCTCCTCCTTGACGTGTCTCCCGATCAAAGCGCAGAAACTTGTATCCTTCCACATTAAATTCGGATGTAATTGCATCCTGATTTAGCTTGGTCTCCGTTATTCCACAAAAACAAAATTTATGGGTCATTAGAAAATTTCTAAATTCATCCATCTTGCCCAAAATACTATTTATGTTTACATGGCCGAATTTCTGACCTTTTGCGAACACAGGTAGTGGCAACTGTTCGCAATTATATGAATCCAATGAATTATCCAGCCGGATATTTTCCGTATCTTCTTCCTCAAACGCAGGGGGCAGTAACGCATCTTTGAAGCTGCTATCCCCGTCACAACATCGAGGGCATGTCCATTCCGGTATGACATTGTCAATCTTATATCCCGCCGGCAGCTTTTTAATGAGAGGGTGACAAGTTTTATGGTGAACTTGACGGCATTGGCAGCATTTGAGGCGATGTTGTCGTAAACCAATCTAAACTTAAAATAGAAAACCCTCCAAACGTCCCTATTTGCAAGAAATCGAAAAGATTTGGGTTTTGTGGAATAGAAGGTACTCTGACCTTCGGTACAAGGCCAAACATCTGGAAAAATTCGAACGTTAATGGCGAAGAATCATAAGGACATTTTGAATTTCGAGTGAAAATCGCAAATTTGAGGGTTGTTGCGGAAAATCTGATTGGTGACTAAGAATGAAGAAAGACAAATCCTTCGAAACAAAAACTGACATGTCTGGTTCCTACCTACAATTTACGAAAGGCTTTGTAAATATCTACTAAGCAGGTCGAAATGCACAGGTCATTGAGCGCGGTTCCACTTAAGAGAATATGGATCATAGATAACAGACTTCGGAATGATGAATGAAATGAAGTTTATAAATTATACACACCTGTCTGTAATTTCATGCTGATCACCAATATGTAAAAAACGATGCAAACATTTGCAATTTTTTCAAATTGCGAAATTCTGCAAAATTTTCTAAATTTGAATTTCGACATTTTTTGAAATTTCAATAAAATTTCAATATTAAACTTCCTTAAATTTATTTTTGCAAGTTGTAATAATTTCTGTAAATTTGTATCATTAGTTTTTAACATACTCAATAAAATAACTTTTCCGTACCTCGTTCCAGATTTTAAGCTTTTGGAAAACTGGAAAAATGTTCATCTGGGAGGGACCCTGCGGGGTCCCTCCACTATGGCATATATATACGACGGCGTAAATATAGGGCGCCCTATATTTGTGCCGTCCTATAAAAATGCCATAGTGGAAGGACCCCGCAGGGTCCCTCCCAGATGAACATTTTTCCAGTTTTCCAAAAGCTTAAAATCTGGAACGAGGTACGGAAAAGTTATTTTATTGAGTATGTTAAAAACTAATGATACAAATTTACAGAAATTATTACAACTTGCAAAAATAAATTTAAGGAAGTTTAATATTGAAATTTTATTGAAATTTCAAAAAATGTCGAAATTCAAATTTAGAAAATTTTGCAGAATTTCGCAATTTGAAAAAATTGCAAATGTTTGCATCGTTTTTTACATATTGGTGATCAGAATGAAATTACAGACAGGTGTGTATAATTTATAAACTTCATTTCATTCATCATTCCGAAGTCTGTTATCTATGTTAAAAGCATTGGAAAAATGACACGTTCTGGAGCAGCTCTCGCCAAATATTTCGCGACAACGTGATTTTGCACCGTATGTTCTATGACAAAGTTTCCGTTACACTAAATTATCTATCAAATAAGACTATCCGAAAGGAAATCGAGATGGGACAGTACTTAAGGTTCCCTTGTGAGCCTAATGTTGTTTATGAAGAGTTGGTGTGCCAAACTGCTTGGTCACAAAACTGGGTTTCTGTTTACCGAAATCTACTTACCGACATTGGTTTACCGACGCATTATTTACCGACCTAATTATATACCGACGTAATTATTTACCGGCTAATTATTTACCGGCTAATTATTTACCGACTAAATATTTTCCGACTTAATTATTTACCGACCGTGCACACTATCCAAAACGCCAGATTAGAGGAATAAGTCCACGAACATTTTTCTCATAAAATTTTTGCATATTCTGGGCCCCAGGTGACCATGGACGTGTTCTTAAAAATTCGACGAGCCACACCCACTTTGGGTGAGGTTCTTTCTTAGTTGGTTTATGGGGTCAATCGCCCATGTGAAATATGTAGCCCAAGCGATTATACACCTTCAGTAAAAATTTCTACCAAATCGGTCCTTAAACCGAAAAGTTATTAAGGGTAGAACTTTGGCGAAAGGCAAAAAAGGCCAACTTTCGAAAATTGATTAGCTTCAGCCGAGCCTGCAAAGTGCGTCGCAAGTCCCGTAAAATTATCCCATGTCGAAAGGGAACGATGTCGTCATGTCGAAATTTCGACATGGTCCTTGAGATGCCGACAAACTTTCGACAAAGTCCATGCCCCTCAAAATTGGATGTCGACAAGGTCAAAAGTGTTGATATATGTATTTTGAAGCGCAGAAGAGTCTAGGTTATGAATTTCAAATCTCTACGACCATGTCGAAATTTCGACGTGACGACATCGTTCCCTTTCGACATGTTTTCAGACCCAGCTGAAGCTAGATAACGATATTCATTATGTTTACTACGATTTCTGATCTTAATATATGTATTTATTGCATTACATCGGTAAATTATTGGGTCGGAAAATATTTAGTCGGTAAATAATTAGGTCGGTAAATAATTGGTCCGTAAATAATGCGTCGGTAAACCAATGTCGGTAAGTAGATGTCGGTAAAACAACGTGGTTTGGAGTTTGGAGTCCATACCTTGAACTCTCATCGTTTCTTACCATTACGTGGACAGTCGTCGAATTATTAAAACCGATCATAGGAATAATTAAATAATTCATCTGATAATCACGAACGAGTTGGGAACGAAAAATTAAGACTCGATTCAGGAAAGTGAACTTCCTTAGGAACTATTCTAAAATGTCCAAGTAGAAAAATCTGTGCGTAGCTCTATATAATATTACTAATCATTAGGGTGTCCCAACTTTGTAAATTTAAATTTTAAAAGAAACTCCAAAGTTTCCTGACCACCCATTCTCTGCTCCTGCGTATTCAAGCGATAAAAAATCGGGACAGTCAAGTATTGAGCGAAAAAAGCAGATTTCAAATTTTTAGCTTTTCGCTTTTTTAGATCTTTTTTACAAACTTGGGAGACCCTATTATAGAGGAAATCAAATAATTCATAGAGATTTTATTCTTCCATTCATATAATTCTTTCATCCATTGGTTCCTAAGAAAATATAATTCATCTCGAAACATTGTCTTCTGCAGAGTTTTTTGTGACCAACAATTGTTTGCACTTGCAAGAGCCCACTTAGCAGCTATTGAGATGAGTTGAGAACAAATCAACAATGCAGGTGGTTCAACCCATCACGTGGAAATGTACTTTTGTTTGTTGAATAAAAAAGCTCATAGCAAAAGCAGTGCATCCATGATACGGGTCCCATGTAGTCACAAGTCTGGTAAGGGTTATATATATGATTGCACAACATCCCAATCATCCCTTTCCTTCCGAAGCGGACAGGTCTCCAACAAATGAGACTAAAAGCTTTACCAGATTGCCAGCAAGGATAGAAAATTATTGCAGGAATTATTATAATGAATGGAATGGAATGAGAGCTGTGTGAATATATGAATTGTAAAGCATGTAGAGCGCAGGTAGATTTTGTACAATTGTTCAGCCAGAGTGCATGGAGAATATGCAGAGCTGTCCCTTGAAAGTTGAAAAGTATGATCATTTGGTGACGACCGAGTACGACGAGATATACGCCAGCGATCTCATCGCTTCGTCAGTTTTAAGCATTCGTTGCTATACGATTGCCACTCATTTCCCGTCAGCTCAGAATGTGACACAGACAGTGGTACAAGTACGGCAGAAGTGCATGGCTACACACACGGCAGACAATGAATACATATTTTTTTGCTTTTACAACCATTGTCTAAATCAACCAGTTGGAATTTGGAATTACTCTCATAGCGTGGATTCTAGCATTAACTCAGATGTGTGTTCGGTCCCCCTTGAGTTAGTGAATTTCACACAGGGCAAAGATGACAAAGTTTTAAAAACAACGTTGCGCCCCACAACACCACAACCATCCGGTGAGTCAGAGAACCGCATGCACGTATGTACATATGTATACGCGGTTGAGCTTTGGCGTTTCCCCCTCATCAGCAGATTTTTATACTCAACAATCACAACAATCAGCAAACACGAAAAGTGCGTTTTAATGAAACTAGTGAATGTCAAGGAAGGAAATAGTCAAGGATGGGTGTTGAATAAAATATATAGTGCAATACAGTGAAGCATACGTGATATTAAGCAACACACACAGTTCCAGTAAATAATTTTGGTATAAACATTCAATAATTTTTAGTATGAACCATATACTTAAATTGTGAAACATTTTATAATATTATTGTCAAGAAATGTCATGACTTGCAGCAAAAAAAGAAAGAATAATCGAGAGCAACTTCCATCATCTGTGGGAAAATATTTCTCAAGTTGTTTTGTACTAAAGTCAAGGTTTCTTGGAAAACTTGCTCGCATTCATACAAACGTATCGTCTATGCAGCACGTTTGCTGTTTTCTAGCTTTCAACAACTTCAAACGATTAACTCTGCAAATGAATAAAAAAATATAATCACAGTTGAACGGTTCTCGATAGACTGTTAAATTTCCCATTTTAATGCATGCAAATGCAAAAACGTGAAATATGTATATTTATGTACAAATTCTCTATTGCGACAGTTGTGATACTTTCATAACTTTCAGAAGTGTGCGTTAAGTCTTAATGATGGACTTAAGTGAGTTAAGCAACATTGTTGATGGTCAATAATTTGGAATTAATAATAGACACACAACATATGTAATATTACATAATAAAAGTAGGAAACAGGAGGAAATAGTGAGACATAAAGAATTGTGTTAAACAGTGTCGCATTAAATGACATCAATCAGCAAAGTTTTGCCGGAACCGGACACAATAAAAGTCACCGAAACACGGAAAACAACAACATGATTATCAACGGGATGAATTACTACTCCAATACTTTACCGTAATTTTTGTGTTTCACATAATTGGCTTAATTGAAAACATGCAGCCTATATGTATGTATATATTTATGTTTGAGAGATTTTTCACTCCTATTATTTTACGACACGCCATAACTTACACTCATTAATCGCACTGCTTGGTAAAAATATTTGCTCTGCTGTACATATGTACATAAGTGGAACAACAGATCGGGTTTTTTTTCTGAACCTGGTTTCTGTCGTCAAGCCATCATTATCACTTTCGTGTGATACCGACAAGCTCCCACACACACACTCCTCGTACGAACCAACCTTGATAACAAGCTTATCTGCAACTGTTTAATTACATTTGCCATTTATTTCCCATTAATTTCACCTTGGCTCTTCATGTCAGTAGAGTAGCGAGTTCGGGGGTGGATTAATAATTGCCAGGCGAGCATATCATTATTACGAAGAGCGAATTGAACCAGAAAATGCAGACGGGTAGAATAATAATGGAATCACTCAGAATATGTATGCAGAGTGTGACATGATGAAATGAGATAACTATCAAAAGCTCTCCACAAGAATATGTACAGATGTATTTACAAGCGCATAGTGGAGAAAAAATCGACTGGAACTTTGTGGTGTTGGCGATAAGGCAAGGTGCTACTCTGTCAGTGGTACTTCTTGTCGATATATTTATGCAACCCAATTCCAGGCAGGAGGAGCAGGTAGAGATCATTCATTACCTTGCAGTTGCAGTGTGACTGACCAAACAGCGCTGAAGTAGAAGCTTCCTGTCATTTTCCACAAATTACGTCAAGTTTCCAACTTATTACATTTGCGGTTGGTGGTTAAATTGAGGTATCCTTGTTCCAAAATAGGAAATATCTCTCTTTTAGTGCTTTTTAATTGCAATTATTGAGTAAATAACCACACCCTCCTTGAACCCAATAATAATAATAACATGTTGTTTGTAACATTTTATTTCATTTTGCCAAGTTTCATTGTTTAATTGTTTCTGTGCTGTGATTTTAGCACCATGAGTGGATCAGTGGACCCAATCTTCAAACAGATTCCGAAAGGATCGACGTGTTTTCTCATTTGGAGAATTGAGGTTTGTCAAAAATCTTATATCTTTTCGCCATAAAAGTCATTTGATCTACTATTTAAAATAGGGTGGGCATGTCGGCATTGCGAATTTTTACGATCTCATCTCTAATCTTGGTTCATTAAAATTTCAAAGCGTATTTGCAGAAATGAACTGCATCAAAAATTAAGAATCCAAGAGACGAAAATGTGAAAAAATACCACGTTTTTATTACGGGCAGCCTGACACAGTTTATGTTAAACACCGTGGTCCGTGAACAGGGCGTGTGTTCAAAAAATTTATGCATGAATAACGATGGTTTATTTCACGAGGGATTTGAACAGGCGTCGTAAAACTGCCGACAGCCACGAAACGCTGTTGCGGCTGTTACTCTCTCGAAATTAAATGGCGTAAAGGATCCACAACAAGTCAACAATTTCATCCCAAAATTCAGAATGCATGCTCTAATTTATTGCCGTTTCCATTTTTCATCAGAGCAAAACATTATTATAATATTTGGGAAAGTATGTAGGGTTGGGATGCATATATATTAAATCTGTATGCAGTTGACACAAACTCAAGTACCAAAAAGATGAATGTTGGATATATTTATCTATAACTGTCTAATCATTTCGATCGATGAGGTCTCACCACCACACCGGCCGCTTAAATGTACATGTTTATCTAATCAATACGCTAATGTTCAAGCCTAATACCAAGTATTTCATTTGTAGATGTTAAACAATGGACGTGTAGTAATTGGCAAATTGACACTATCTCTGCTAAATTATTACATATTAGTCTACTTTTTTAGTTGAAATAATTTCAACGAAAAATTTAAAGAATGATTTATTTATTTATCATTTTATGAAAATACAGAAGCTGCAAATCGTCCCTCTTCCAAGAGACCAGTACGCCAGCTTCTACAATGGAGACTCGTACATCATTTACAGTGCATCGGAACCAAATCAGCCCGGTGGCATGAATGTCAAGGTAATCGCTTATCACCTGAGCGCATCTCACATGATGATACATGTCACTTGTCAAGCTTCATTTAAAAAATGTTTCGTACAACCCGGCTCAACCATATTTACTATATCTGCACATTCCCTTGCATTTGCATGATTTGCTTATGTGCACTGAATACATATTTATTGAGTATAGTTTATCAATTTAAATTTAGTGAATTACTAAGGCTTGATTGATGCATTCATCAGATTTAAACAGATATCGACTTCCGTCACTACTTTATTCAATAGGTTCATTATGAAATCATCGCTGATTGCAGCACAGAAATATTCTATCTTTAATTCCAATGGGTTGAAGCGATGGTGACTAAAGTGAAATTGAATTCGATGAATGACAGCAAATAATAAATGCTTTATTAAACGTGTTTTGCTTTAACTGTCAATATCTTTTTAATCAAATATAGGAAAAGCCGGCTCGAGCCTTGGAACAAAACATTCACTTTTGGCTTGGAAGTGCCACAAGCACTGATGAAGCTGGTGTAGCAGGTATGAAAAACAAACAATATGCTGTCGGATGAATGACAACTATTGCATTTGTCATTGAAGCTACACATTTTTATGGGTGACAATTTTTAGCATACAAAACCGTTGAACTGGATGATTTCCTTGGTGGAGCACCAATTCAACACCGTGTAAGTGAAAGTCATTTTTACTAACAATGCATCTTTGCAGATTAGTAGAACGCATTGTCTCAAACAATAAAAATATACTACACTAACGTTTCGAGTACACTTGAAAATGCACAACAATTCCATAAATAGAAATAAGTAGCCTATAGCTTAATATTTCGTAGCTAAGCTTTTAATTGCCTAATATTGTAATTTTTGCAGGAAACTGAAGGAGCGGAATCACAACGGTTCCGATCATATTTCCCGAACGGGATACGGTAAGCCTTATAAACGTTGGACTGTTTTTCTGTCAATGTGAGTGCTAGTATTTTTATGCAAAGATTTAAATTTCAGAATTCTCCAAGGAGGTGTTGAAAGTGGATTCCAACATGTTTCCCATGTTTTCATACCCAAGCTGTTTTGCGTCAAAGGAAAACGACGACCGGTGGTGCGACAACTTCCCAAAGTTTCTTGGAGCAACATGAACTCTGGCGACGCTTTCCTCTTGCAGACAAAGGAAGCAATTTTCCTATGGGAAGGGAAGACTGCGAACAATTTGGAAAAACTTCAAGCTGCCAAAGTAAGATGTTCTATTCCTTTAAGTATTTATTTGCTACTATTTGGAACTACTCATTCTTTTCTAAATATTAAAAAAATCCTTATAACAGGTGTCCCAGCAATTAAAAGCGGAATCTGGTGCCAAATCAGTTATCGTGTTTGTGAAGGATGGGGAGGAAGAACAACTACAGGACATCGAAAAGAGCTTGTTTGAAATGTACCTTCCCCTTAAAGACAGAAGTCAAAAGAAATCGGCATCCGATTATTCCGATGACGCCGTGGACAGGGAAGTGACGCATGAAATCAAGCTGTATCGGTGCTCCGACGATGACGGGACGCTTCGTGTCACCGAGGTTAAGGTCGGACCTCTCTTCCAGCAGGATCTAAATTCTGGGGTAAATAAGTAAATAAATTTCAACTGCCATCCCAAGTGTATGATCTTACAATTAAAATTGTCTGAAATTTAATAGGACTCTTTTATCATCGACAATGGTACGCGTGGAATTTGGGTGTGGATTGGAAAAAAGGTATTTTTAATAATGATTTTCAGAGATGTCGATGACAGCGGAAAAAATAGTTATAAAATTTAATCAAATTAAATTAAATTGCATTTTTCTAAAGGCCAGCCCAAAGGAAAGGATTGAAGGTAAGGTTTCAAATGTCATTTAATATTTTTCATAAACTTATTGACTATTCAGTTGTTCGAAACTGTATGTGTTACATGAGTATTATTGTACTTATTTGTATTATTCAATCGTTCTCTAATCCTGTCACGTTTTCATTATTTAAATAATATATTTATTTTGTTTTATTTTTTCAAAGCAATGCGAAATGCTCAAGGTTTCATTAAGAAGAAGGGCTATCCTGATCACACGCAAGTCACAAGGTTATTGCTACGTTAATATTTATTTAGTGCCGAAAAGCGCATCAAAATCTATTTTCATGACATCAAGCTATTTATTTTTAAACAGGGTGATTGATGGAGGAGAGCCAGAGAGTTTTAAATCCCTCTTTTCTGCATGGAAAGTTAAGAATGAAACGGTAGGATTTGGGAGACAGCACTCTGGTGGCAAAGGAATTGCTAAAATCAGCCAAAGTAGTTTCGACGCTACAACTCTTCATGAACAACCTGCTCTTGCTGCCAAGATGAAGATGATTGATGATGCCTCAGGATCCAAAGAAGTGTACAAAGTGCACGAATTTAAATTAGTAGAAGTCCCTCAGCAGTATCAGGGTTCATTCTTTGAACATGATTGTTATGTTATCAAGTACTCGTCATCCGGTCCCGGCGAGTATATTCTTGTCTATTTTTGGCTGGTAAGCATCCGTCCAGCAAGCAGTCAGATAAAATTCAAATTATTCATAAAATTGTCAATATTTCTGATTATTTACAGGGACTTAAAGCCAAAAATGAGGATAGAGGTGCCGCCGCGTTACTTGCTAAAGAATTGGATGATGAAGTTGGTGGTCGCGCAGTGCAAATTCGTATTGTCCAAGGAAAAGAACCTGCACACTTTATTGCATTGTTCAGAGGGGAATTCACGGTGTACTTGGGGTCAGTGATCACATTTCAAGAAAATGCTTCATACTAATTTAATCATGAACTAATAAATATAAATATTTTACAGAGATGCCGACGACAGTGGCTACGAGCCTGTGAAGCCATATCTTTTGCAAGTATGAATTTATTTACCTAGCTGGAAACGAGTATTATTTGTTATAATTTAATTAATTTTATGCTTTAACGAAATTTATTTTTATTTTCAGGTTCGAGGAAATGTTCCAGAAGAAGCGAGAGCCTTCCAAGTGCAGAGACGTGCTGCATCGCTAAACTCCAATGACGTGTTTGTGCTTGTTGGCGACTCTGCGAGCTTCCTTTGGTGTGGAAAGGGGTCCACGGGGGATGAAAGGGAGATTGCAAAGAAAATTGCTGCGAGAGACCGTGTGGATTGTATCACCGTTTATGAAGGGCAAGAACGTGAAGATTTTTGGTCCGAAATTGGTGGCAAAGAAGACTATGCAAGTGATAAGAGGCTGGCATCAGAGTCAACACAGAAAGACCCACGACTTTTCCAGTGCTCAAATGCGACTGGAATCCTTAGAGGTATTGCTTTTAAAAAGGTACTCTAACTTATGGCTGTTGACCTCTATTTACTAATTGTATTTCAGCGGAAGAAATTGTTAACTATAGTCAGGGAGATTTGGTTGAGGATGATGTCATGGTAAGTCTACTTTTCTGTTCCCTTTGGGTTCAAGTACTGTAGTTAACAATTTCATTCTGTTCTTCTACATTGCGTTTAAAGCTCCTTGACATTGGGGACACAATTTTCTTGTGGTTTGGTAAAGGTATGAAAAATAGTAACAAATTAGCGTGTAATAAAATAAATAAGTGTGCATGCAATACTTGTCCTGATATACAGACTCCAATAAGGAAGAACAACAAGGGGCAGTCCTAATGTCTACAAAGTACTTGGCTTCTGATCCTTCAGGAAGAGATCCTGATACTCCAATTCTTGTCATCAAGCAAGGTACCTAGTACATAATAAATCTACGCATTTTAAGGTATGGAGGTAGTATTAATCAAGGAGGTATCAATTAAAAGGTATGGAGCCACCTACGTTCACTGGATTCTTTGGGGTTTGGGATCGTTCCTTATGGAGCGTAAGTGAATAAACTATTTCATATCTATTATAAAATCTATTTTCAACAGTTCTTGGAAATAGTTCTCCCTATATATAATTTTTTCGTCTATAGAACAATCAAACTTTTGAGGAACTGAAGGCACAAATGATTGGAGAACAGCCAATTCTATCAGCCTCTGCCATAACACTTATTCAGACGAATGGAGTAGATTTCGAGTCAGCAAAAAAGCATCCAATTGATGTCTTATCCGAAAAAGATCAGGATAAACTTCCTGCCGATGTAAACCCTTCCATGAAAGAGGTACTGCATACTGTGCACAACTGCCAATTTGGACATGTGTAGCTTGACTTTCCCACTAATTCATACGCATAATTCATTAATTTCAGGTTCACTTAAACGAGGCCGATTTCCAGTCAATATTCAAAATGGATTACCAGGCTTTCAGTGAGCTTCCATTGTGGAAGAAAACTCAACTAAAGAAAAACGCTGGCTTGTTTTAATTAATTTATCAGAAAATATTTTGCCCAGCAATGGAGACATTATAATTGACAAGCATGAATTAGTTGAATTTTGGGGTTAAATTGAAAATAAATTGTATGAAAACCAACGAGGATTAATTATTTATTTTAGTAAAATATATTATTTTATTATTTCAACTTTGACATTTATAAAATATTTTAAACTTCATTCGACCAGAACCAAATAATCAGGTAAAACGCGACATGATGTGTAGATACAACTAACGACCAATCAACTAAAACTCTGTAAAATCTGTATTCTAAGTTGATTTGGGGAAGAAAATACTGTTAATAAGGCAATTTGCGTCACAAACAAGCACACTTTTTCGTAATTCCGAAACACATTCATCTTCAGCATTTTTGGCAATAAAAAACGATAAATTAATCTCATTATTATGCGTATAATCAACAGTCCGAGTATATGTACATGTACTACACACTAGTTAGTAGTAGTCGGTTAACAACCATTTTTGGTCTCCCATTCAACCAGATCCAAACTTTTATCACAAAAATACGTGAGTACACTATGTTGTACAATTGAACGTCTTTACTTCTTGTCACTTATGTCTAGGGAATTGTTCGTCCTTTCTCCAAGTGTAATAAACTAGCATAATTATCGTGGCTAATCATATATATTTTTAGAAAATGGTTTATCAAATTCGCCTGAGATTATGATTGCTTTCAACTTTGGAATTGATTTTAGATTTTTAGCTTGAAGTCTAAGTTGGTACTTTGCGATATGACGATACTGCAAACTCTTCGATATCTGTGTCACTATTTTCGCTGTCGCTTTCATCCATTTTTAATTTTTCGAATCCTGCACTAGGTGGAAAGAACTCGGCAAAACTTTTTGTTTCTCTTCTTCTTCGACACCAACCTATTAAAGTTATAAAAAATTAATTTTAACATTCTCATGAACCTTGATAACCAATCAAAGTAACTAAAGCTTCACTTACCAGAAGTCATTAATCTCATTACGGCCCCCACAGCAATCAACAATAAAAGAGGAATCGTCAAGAAAGCCATGATGATGACCGAAGCACTGAATGATTCATCTTTTGCCAGTTTACTAGAAGGTGGATCTTCCATTAATTGGGCTGGTTTACTGGGGACGCTGGGATTCTCTGCATTAACTGGATAACTCTTGCTAGTATCCAGTACTCCAGAAGAAGGTGATTGTTCTGCCTTTCCAGATTTTCGACTCCTGGAAAACTTCCATACCTATAAAATCAAGTGAAAGTTAAGTTATACATATACACTTGTAGTAAATTAAGGTCAATTACTTTGTAGGGTTGTGAAATTTCCACAACATAAATGTCATTGCCATCTGGACTAACAGAGACATCGTGGGGGTTGCCAAACTTTGATCCTCCTGTTGGTTTAAATACTGATTGGATTTGACGAGTGTTCATTGGAATGACAAAGCCCTGAACTTCCTTTTGCGACGGACCATTCACTGCCATTAAATATCCCCCTGCAAAAAATAATCAAATCAAATAAATAAATACGTATCATCTAAGCTAGTCACGGAAGTTATTTACCATCCTTTTTAGAATATGCAACACTAAATAATCGACCACCGAATGCTGAAGACTCAATTTTAAACTCAAACGTTCCATCAGTATTAAAGCACTGAATCCGACCGTTCTCACGATCAGCAACACATAGCAAATGCTTATCTTCTGCCAGCTAAAACAAAAAATAATATTATTAATTAATTGAGTAATATTTTCGTTGTATTTGTATGCTAAATTTTAAACTTACTGCTAGAGCATGTGGAATCCTGAAAACAATTATAATAATTATAATAATTATAATTATAATAATTATTATTAATCACATATATGGTGTTATTACACGTCAAGAATTAATAGAAATTAAATTGACTTACTGGAAAGCATATGGAGGTGGGCTGCGATTGAAAAGACCCGAGAAAAAACTTGGTTGAAAAGCACGCCCCCACTGTAAAAAGTTGTAAAAGTTTGTAAAAAGTTGCGTAATAAAGCGAAAGATAAAGTAATTATTTATCATTCAATAAATAATCCGTCTTTACAACATACCCCAACTTGAGTTATGTTTAAAATTATCATTATTGCATACATACCTGTAGAATTTTTTGGCCTTGTGAATTGAACTTAATGATTCGACTGTTGCTGTAATATTAATTAAGGTGGGTATTATTACGAGTTTACTGGAAATGAATAAAACCCATTGTCCAACTAAACATACCAATAGCCATCGGCAACGAAGAAGTCTCCATTCGATAGTACAGCAACTGTAATTGTAAAATGACATCAATTATACAACAAATATTCTGTAAAGTAAAATACTCTTGGTATTAATATTCTGAAAGATATATTACCCGCAGCAGGTTTACAAAAATGGCTATCGTCATTACCAGGGACAAATTTTGTACCCAATGTCATAGACGGGCCAGTGGCACCTGGTTCAAACTAAAAACATACATCATTAATTTATTTTCTTATTTATCATTTTTAAGTAAATAGTTTCATTTAAGTCAGTCAGCTACCTTAAACACTTGATGCATTGCAACATCAGTGAGCCAAAAATTTCCGGTTTTGTCAACTGTCACGTCATGGGGCATGTAAAAGCTGTAACAATAATTGTGTATAATTTTAAAAGAAATTACATTTAATGTATGCACAATATTGTCATAAAACTATTACATATCCTTTCCCCATTTGTGTAAAATTTTCCCATTTGTTGGATGAATAATAAGAACCGTATCGACTTTGATGGGACCGAGATTTCTTTGTGTGTAATAATTTCTACTATCGAAAGTGTCGTAGCCCCTACCGTAAATTAAAATAACAAACATTATTAGATTATACTTTTATTAGATTTTGATTGCTATTACCAGGTTCGATCTCCACGATGGAACACAACAACATTTCCCTCAGTGTCAAAATCTACTCCCGTCGCTGAAAGTATGTTAGAGATAGATTACTAGAAGATTTATCACGATTAAGTTATAATTGAGAAAAACAATAAGTTTGGAACAAGTTTAGTCCAAAACTGGTAACGTTGCACTCACAAACATATCGTATATAAGATTTTCCCTGGTTAGTTTCTGCTTTCTTACCTTGTCCAAGCGTCACAGACGAATCAGGCCAGCCGGGGACGACTTTGTAATCAGAGTCGGGTAGTTTTCTTCCTCCATCTCGGTAATCGTCTGATGGATCCTCAGTTTCTTCAGCGTGGTCATAGGTTTGATGTGGTTCAGTCATGGCCCCGGGCCTTTTCTTTGTGTGGCTTTTACTGGGAGTAGTTGTCTGGCTTAGTGATAATCCATCCGCTAAAAGTTAATCGACAAAATTAGTTCGGTAAGAGTACCTTTAAGGTATTACCTGACATAAATATTTCATTATTATGAGGTCTTACATGAAGATTGGGAATTCTGATGGCTATGATGGGCATGTTCTTCTAATGTTTTATTCCTAGGAAGGGGAACGTCGGAATCTGTGTGTGTTTCATAAAAAATTCTATATAATTTTTCGTCTTATTCATATAAATCTGACATATTCACTATTTCGCTTCTTCTTTACCTGCAGGTAAATGAGCAGTAATTTCGGGCACAGCTTCATCTCCACACACAAGATAATGGTCTTCAGGATCTCTGGATTCGGTGTAGAACATCAAATACAAGTTGCACATTTCATTCCCCGCTGTTTGCCCAATAGACGTGGCTGAAATTTAAAAAGTACATGACACCTGAGGCTGACCACCTGTCAATAATGTAGTTAAAGACAAAAACATACCATTTTCGAAATTGGTCGTGGAATACGTGCATCGTGCAGCTAGGAAATCATTCGGATAAATTGTTAGGTTCTTGGTTATGGGATAGAACGCTTGGGGCCCTGTAACGGAAATCATTTAGTTTATAAAAGTCAATAAACGTCACGTATTTTGGCAAGTAAAAAACCTACACTGTGGATTTCCCTGCAAACATATTAATAAAATATGTTTAATTTAACACACGTACGATTAGGTTACGTTTTATACAATTTTGTAATTTTCAACAATTTTACCTTTCCTATCTGTTCAAATTGACCACTCTGATCCACTCGGTAGCCAGATATTACCACTGAAAATATAATTATGTACATACGAGACTTCCACTGTAGCAATGAAGTAAAACAAAACATACCCCCAAGTTTGTGAGCGTGCACACGGTACGCAAACGGATGAATTGGAGCAGGAGTTTGCAGAGGACAGTTCATATCCCCATGAATTTCTGTACAATAATGCAAATCAGCCAGTGGAATGACGATTTTAAAAGGTTTATAACAATTTTAATTTATCGTACTGTCTGTATGCGGAGGTATATCCAAGTAGGATCTGTAGAGGAGCAGTATTCCTGCAAGATATTTTGGTCTGAAAATTAACAAAAAAATTCATATTATTATTATAGCCGAGATGATTGAAATTAAATTTCCTTCGTACTCTTCGGCATCTACATGAACCCTGAAACCACTCGTATCCTTTGTCCCTTCAGGCAGTGGATGTGCGTAATGAACTTGTAAGACCAAATTCTTTATGTTGGATTCTGGACCTGCAAATAATTTGAGAAAGGTTGAGCCATGGATAATTTCTACAAATAAATTTTCCAGTCCTAAATCAAATATAATAAACTAATCAAAATATTACCTATCCTAAACCCAACATCTTTAGGCAACACGGTGGGTGCAGCGTTTTTAGCCCAGGCATAAATAATTCTCATATTTCTACATGCGCTGTAGTGATGGCCGCAATCCCTATAAATTTTCAAGAAATTGAGAATTTAGTTTATTAAGGTCCACATCGAATCAACCTATGTACTAATAGTTTATTATAATTATATATTGTGAACTTACCACCACTCTTGACCAGAAACAGTGTTGTCCAAGGCGTCGCAAGTGAACCTTACAGTAAAATTATAGCGATAATAAATAATCTGTAGTATTGTAATAAAGAATCCGAGTGAAATTACAATAGCATGTGGTGCGCCCGATCGGCGTCAGAATTGGGCTCAAACTTGTGAATGTACTGGGTTCCATAGCTTTCGATGTTGAGGGATGTACAGAGGTAATGATCATCCTACAGGAAAGTCAAATTAACACATTGAGAAAATTAACACGGAGAAAAAGGGTTTAATCCAAGCAAAATACAAATTAATAAGTAATTATGCGTTACCTGCGTGGGACGAACTCCGGGCATGGAGACATCTAGAACTGAGGGTGCTGTTGGCGAAACATTTTCTCGCAGGCAATTTGATATTTCAATATTTGTCAAAATACTGACAAACAAAATACAATTTCTCAGCATCGTGATGATGACTAGATGACGTCGTCCTCGAATTAACACAACGCACACAATAAGATATTCAAAAATTACATATGTCGGTGCACTGCACATACGGTAGCCTGGAAAAGTTTTAATTGTCTTTAACAATCATAAACGACCGCAATGCAATTATTAAATGTTGCTACTGTGCTGTTTGGTGGGTATTATTAAGAAAGACTGGGCAGCAATATTGAAAATTGCTACGGCCAACTTGACAGGATTTAAATAATCTCAATTAGTTTCAGTCAGTACCACAACATCACATGTGTATATTACACCAACGTTGATGATATAATGGTGCTATTACCAGCCTAATACTGGGCCAATTACAGCACATCCTTTTAATGTTTAATAAGATTATTAACTCTTTCTACCTAACATTCAACATTCAACGTGTTGATTTAATATTGACATTGGAATGAGTTGCATTGCATTGTCCATGTTAAATGTTAATCCACGTCACATCGCACAATAATTTCACCTGGCTTGGGTTAACCAACCAACTGGATACCTTTTTATTCTTGATTCGCACGTACTACTTGACGATCTACAGGTTTATTCACTTTTATTATAGAATAAATTGTACGTGAATAATCTTTTAAATGCACTAAATTCGTATCTGTGAATTTCTACGTTACTTTTAATGTGAAATTGTAGTACGTTCATATTATTTAACTATATATTTATAACTTTACAACAAATATTAACAGCTGGTTTACATTTCCTTGACCAACATTATGAAATGTGCTAAAACTAGTACTATAGTCTACGTGATAGAGATTTCTTGTGCTCTGATTTCCCTTGCTTAAATTGAAGTTCCCCATACATCCATCCATATGTGTATAAAATCAACTTGTTCAACGTGCTTATGGCGCAGCTATGAAGGCTTTTTGAAAATTTCTTCGTCTCAAAATACTCTGACTCATATGAAATTATGAAGGCTACAGCAATATATGTACAAATGGGTTAAAAAAATGGATAAAAGAAGTAGTGGCGTGTAGTTTCTGTATCACATTCCCCACATATTGATCAGTCATATATTCAATAACCATAATGTAAATAAGTAATGATAATGATACATGATATGCTGATGAGATTTTGTACAGTAGTGCCAACAATTCGAAGTGTATGCAATATGTGATCTAGTACAATGCAAATTTACTACTTGGATAATAATACTGTAGCTGTTTTGAAACGTGTAGTATAGCTCGGAGTACATGTATGCAATCGTGCAGTATTATGATCGTCTCACCGTTTTGAGACGACTTGGAAAATTGAGACGGCTCCCTCTCCATCCATCCAGCCAGATCATATCCAGATCAACAAAGTAATAGATGCATCATGCAAAGAGCTCGTTATGCAATAAAGTCAAAATCCGGTTCCAGGGAAATGCATTGGGGGATTGACGGGGAAAAGTGCCCTCGAATTTACCTTGCAGGAGGGATTTTGTTCCTACGGCAGCGGCAGTGTGCAACAAAGGAGAGCGAAATAGTGCCACTCTTCTACACAACAGACCCTTGTTGTTCCTAGCCGCGAGTGCCAGCTTATTACTCTTGTCCAGTTCTCCATAATTTTCCACTACTCACCAGCAAAAAAGAAGGTCAGTTTCTAATTCTACTTCCGTTTCAATTCCGTGGTGTGCGACTGATCTCAAGATACTCAGAGTTAAAGTAAAATATTGGTTAAAAAGCAATCACATTTGTCTTATTTGTACATCAATAATGCTCGTAAACAATATTTCAATATTAAAATATTGCTTCTTTTCTCGACAGATTTACAAACCACCTCTTCTAATTCGTTATGGATGCCAAGAATGAAAGGGGGGCTGGAGATGCTGGTAATAATGGGCTGGATCTAAACGTTTGTGCCTCGGGTATATAATTAATATAATTAAATACACATTTCAATGAATTGTTAAATTGAATAAGAATTATTATTTCACAGAGGCTTCCAAGGGTGGATTGAAGTTTGAAGTGGTATTATCTCAAGCTACGGTTCCCACGCCGCCCAGATCCATGTCGCCGACCCATCAAAGCTCAAGACCTCTTGTGTCAGTTGAGAAAATTCAGCAAAAGCTAGAATTGGCAGCTGAGCGACGGCAGTCACTTGAATCAGAAAAGCTGGCGAGCTTGCAAGAAAAATGGAAGAAAATTGATGAAGCTGCAAAAAAGAGAGCTGAAGAAGAACTCAATTTCATCAACCATGCAAAAGGAAATTTGGAGCAAAAAATGGAAGCTGTGACGGGAAACCGAGAAACCATTATGACGGATTTGAAAGTTAAACTGAGCAACCATGTAAGTGTATAATATTCCAGTTTAGTTAATGACTTGTCAAATTCTTCGTATACATACTGTTTTATTCACTACATAGAACACAAACCATTTGCAAGAAGTTCGACAAAATTTGGAAAGCAGCGTCTCGGAATTTGAAGGAAAAGTGAAAGAAGATCTCGACAAGAAACTTGAGGTTGCAGAACAAAACCGTGAGAAAGTAATCCAGACAAAATTGGAGTCTTTAAAGAAGCATGTAAGTTTTTATAGTTGACCTTAAATTTAGCTAGAGTTATGTAAATTGTTACTAATTTCAGGAAGAGAAAGTCGAACAAATTCGAAGTCTTAAGAAAAATTCTAGCATGCCAGAAGACGAATCCAATGAAAATGCCGAAAACGTCGTGGTCACTGATTGAAACATGTACTGCTTTGACAAAAAAGTCTGCGTTTCCTTCTTATGTGCTTTATTTCATACATTTTAACAATATCTAATTTCGTATTTAATGGTAATGCCTTTTTGCATACCATTGTAGCTTATGCCAATGTTCCATGATGCAAACAAAATCTGTTGTAATAAGACGATTAGGAATTAAGTATTCAGCGTATAATAAATTTGTCTAATCTAATTTGCTTAGAAAACGTTAATATTTACCTACACATCTCGTTTTACTCTATTCTACATTAATGCTAGCTTAAATTACATATTCAAACATCTAAATACAACCCCAGTTGTGAAGACTCCCTGCATAACTTTGATGCTAGTACATGTATAATATTGTATGCATTTCATTGACTGTCGCGAATAAGGTGAATGTAATAATGTATGTGCATACATACTAGCTTATGTGTAACATTTGTATGTTTGGCAACACAAGTTGCCCATTATTTAAGATTTTTGTCCAAGTATCGACAAACATCTGCATTTCCAATGAATCTCAGTGTACACAATGATATTGGTTAAATTTGATTTATATAGTACGAAACAAGTCAGCCAAGTAATAGTTTGTCTTACTGCTAATTAGGCTAATGTACATAGTTTTGCGACAAAATGTGGTTTGCTCAATTAATATGCACACTTATAAAAATAGATTATAAATTAAGACCAAAAATGTTCAGCATGGTTCAGTATAGACTAGAGTAATAATTCCGTATCAAATCAAGAAATAAAAATGCGATTACTTGGTTGATCCATAAAACCCCTAACGTAATGTGTCGCCAAGTTGTAGTTTCATGCAAAATTTTCCGGTTTGACTGGATTATATCATTGCATATTGAACCCACCATGATGACACTAGCGAATTTATACGATCCTAATACGAAGGTAAGGGAAAGGATGAAGTAAAAGTTGTGGGCATGTGTAAATCTTTGCCGGAAGGCAACAAGTGAGAGAGAGAGATTCAATTTCTATACAACTTGTTGCAAGCAACGTCAAAATCTTGGCTACATATATGTTGGTGTAACATATGTGGTACGTAAAATCAATTCGGTTGGACTTATTCTCACAGAAAATTAATGAAAATCCAATGGAAGGCTGATAACGACTAATTAGTGTAAATATTTAAAAATAATAATGTGAAGGACTGAGATCCCATAATTAACGGTGTTCATTGAGATTGAATCTTTAACATTTTCTCTTTACTCGACTTACGACTTGCGTTAAGAGTACAAGAGTAGATTGGCCACAAACTAAAATGATTTTAAAAAGTATAGTGTTTGGGGTTTTAATTCATGCAGTCCTATTTGCGGATGCAGTTTTCGAGAATGCACCAGGGATTGCTATGGATTATAAAATTCACATTGATGCAGGAAAGGAAGATTGCTATTATCAATACGTTCATCCAGGCTCAACTTTATACGTCGCCTTCCAAGTTTTGCGAGGTGGCGACGGTCAAGCTGGTAATAAATTATTAAACTACTATCAATCAATATATGCAAAAATTTGTAACAATAAATGAATCTAATACTCCTTAAGGACTCTGAAAGTATAATTTCAAATTTGCCGTATTTAAAAGACAGTGTTACAACTTTATTCGAAATGCGAAAGCTAGAGTAAATTCTTGTCTCAGCTAATTTCATACATAGATGAGTACATATCTTTATGTCGCAGAAATCAATAACTATTAATGCATATGCACAGGGTTCGCTGTCAGACATCCCAATGGAAATATCGTGCATCCATATGCCTGGAAAGCCCAGTCAGACTACCAGGAAACTTCTTCAGCAGGTGGATATTATGGCATCTGCGTGGATAATCAGTTTTCTAGATTCGCGTCTAAACTGGTCAACTTGTACCTAACTACGTTCCGGTGAGTAGATATTTCTAACCAAGCCAGGTTTCATGCTGCATATTTTTATTCTTAAATGAATGTGTTTTTGACGGACGCTAAACAGATATGATGAATGGGAAAAGTATACTCAAGAGCTGGAAGCCATGGATCTTCACGTTACAAATTTTACTACGATAATTTCAAGTAAGATTTACTCATTTTTGTCATACTATACTACTAAACTCAAGTCAATAGTAATCGCCGCAAGAAATTATCATTATGTGTGTATTATTTTTGTTCCATGTAAAGATGTTGATCAACGTGTTGGATCAGTTTTGCAAATGCTGCACAACACTAGAGCTCGAGAAGCTAGAGATTTTGCCCTCTTGGAAGACAACAGCTCATATGTTACGTTTTGGTCGGTGCTTCAGTGTTTAATTATTTTTGCAACAACCGCAGTCCAGGTATTTTTTGTGAGAAAGCTATTCGACGGGCCAACATCGTCCGTGAAAGGGGGGAAAGTCAGAGCATAAATTATCGACTGTTTTTTATTTAACTTTTCAATGCGTCAACGGTTTCATTTTAATGCATGACAAGATATGTATAATGTATATCTAAGTGAATCTAAGTGGTGCTAAATTAATATTTAGACGGAAAATTTTAATACGCATTTTTAAGTTTTTCTGCTGCTTTCAAAAAACTACAATTCTGTTCCGATTACACACATATTACGTGACGTGCATAATATATATGCGAAACTATTTCTTCTGCATGTATTTTATTTTATTTGCTTCAGATTATACCACAAGTTTTACAAAAATAAATATATGTCTCAACAATATTATGATGTCAACAAGAGGTTTATTAGACCATCTTACCAATTGAACTTTGGATAACCTTGTGCGCCCGCGTATGTCCAAGGAGCCCATATTTTCTTTGTTCTGAGTGAAAAGTACCCATTAGAGTTATCTATTATATAGAATCTCGTAATTTAGAATGTTTTATACAAACCTTGCACATGAAGGTTTGTCACCTCTGGTGGGATACGCTGCAGACGTGCCGATCATCAACGCCAGTAACATGACGAGGAAAAAATTTCCAAGCTAGAAAATTAAATAAGTTTTAGGTATTTAAGTTATAAATTTCTGTTATATCGATATAACATACCTTCATATTTAAAGAAAACGTTTTGCTGAAGAATTGTCGTTTGAAAATCCTCAAATTCTACACTTTTCGATGAACAATTGGCAAATAAATTGTATATATACGTGTTTTGAAATAGGTCAGCAAACATTAATTAGCCTGATTTTCCCAATGAATCATAGGTCATTTGACTATGTACATTAGGCAAGTGGCTAACATTTTTGCCAGTTCACTCATTATAATGAATGGTAACATTTTTTTTACCTTGATTATGAATCTTAGATTCATACATAAATAAACTATGTGATACTATATATTGAGAGCATTTCGTTTTCCATGTCGAGCGATGAGATGATAAGACATCTTACAATAGCATAATACTTTATGTGGGTAATTAGCAAGTCGCTTTAAGAACAATCAGCTCCCGAACTGCCTAACGTGTAGATAATTGTAATGGGAAAGTTTTAGGTATTTTACCTAAAAAACAAACGATTTCAATCTCGGAATATAAGAATATATAGTTGAGAAGTTTGTGGGTCAATGGTTTCCTTCGAACGGACTACGACGGAGCGATGATACACGTACTATGCATACGCAATGCTTGCTATTTTGGAATTTTTCGTCTTCTCATCGCAAACATCAAAATAAAAATATTCCATAAATTTTTTAACTCATCAGTGGTAACTTCAATTGTATTGTGCTCATTTGATATACATGTATATCAAACGTGTTTGTATGTATGAATTTTCCAGGATACAATACAAAACGCGAATTGTATCACGTGATACTTTCTAATAAAAAATAAAATGCGACTGTCCTTAGTAAGGCCCTTACACATATGTATAAATATCTGTAATCTGCACGCATATTATTCTACTGTCAAACTAGACAGACATATTTGTATTGCATTTGTCCGCCTACTACCCAGTGGGCAGTAGTGCCCCCACTCGAAGACTATTCTAAGAAAACATTAAGAATCAATACTTCTCATGTATTTGAGCAATAATGGATTGAGCACTTAAACTAATAGATCTGATCTTTTTAACGCCACGAGCAATAACTATTTATTTTCGCTCGCGTCTTTTTGTATCGCACATACTTCCACTTCACTTCGGTATCTGATGATCTTTCAGCTTTCATGACTAACAGTAACAAAACGAAAGATCTGCAGGATTTCCAACAGGGTGATGAAGGATGGCAAGGCAAACCTCTTCTACAAAAAATATAATCTTCTGGGGCGTTTTATATAAAAACTTGGCTTGCGATCAAAGTAATTGCCAGTTGTGATAAGTTGGATGACAAGTACGACACAATATGAAGGGGGCCTTTATTTTGTTGGGGACCCTTATCTTGAGCCTCATTTCTGCTTGTCAATGCCAGGTGAGATAATTAGTGTGCAAAATATTATTTTAGCGACTGCTTATACTAATACTTTATAATATTTGCATGTTTATACAGATAACCTTTTCTCGATCATGGGTGAGATTTATCTGTAAAACACGTCGGGACTTCGTATTATATTTCAGGTTTACAGATAACTTTTTTTAACAGGTCCGAGGAAAGCTTCCTGGCGAAAAGAAAATGGAAGGTGGTGATTACGACGAGGTTAAGGAAATCCCATCATCCTTCCTACGACAAGCAAAAGCTCCAATTGATTACTTACGCATTAACTCAAAGAATGAGGTACATTGCATACATATTTACTTACTAATACATGAGTATGCATATGTACATGTATATGTATGGGCATACTCTAAAAATAAGATATCACATAAATATTACATTTATAACTATCAAGTAATTAATGAATATACAATTTGGTAATAGATTCCATACTCTCGAGATCCCAAGGCTTTGCGTGGTTTAAGGACAAAACTTTTACATGATATTTTCTTAAGACTTCGGCCAGCTATTTAAAAAGAAAGTTGACAATATCCCACGCAGGAAGGACTAGTATTTCCAGATACTAACGAATCATTTAAGTAATTGCAACATTGGAATAAAAGTTTATCATACTAACACGTATTTAGTAAATTCAGTGAATATGATAAATATACATATTTAAATATTTAGTTACTTTCACTCTTTACCTAATATACATTATCCATGCGTTCACTGGTATGCATGTAAATATGAATAAAGTAATTCTTTCAGAAGGTAATACATACATACATAGCTTCAAATCATTCAAGAACATTTTCCACCTAGAATTTATTTAGATTTACGAGGACAAATTTCTCGACACTGATGGTCGTAACTGATATGATTGAGAGATAAGTCCAAAATACATAATTTTGGTGGCGTCGCCTCTCCTCAACTACTCATTACTTTACAGCTCATTCATTATTACCTGAATAATGAATGAACACTTCACTCAATGTCGTAATGATTATAACTATAATTATATTACAGATATTGTATAAATTCTAAAGGGATTCTGTAGTAAAGCATCTTAAAATAAAAATAGTAATACAGACACTAGGATAATGATGTCAAAATTGTACTCAATCTTATTTCATTATCTGACCACACATTTAACGTCTTATTAGATCGAACGAGGATCATTATTATTGGTACCTTCTCTCCAGTTTGAGGTGAAAGTCATTATGTAGCATGTTGTTGGTATCATTTTCTGAGATAAGTACTGTTTATCTGACAGATTTACAATGTTATTAGGGGTAATAAGCAACAACTTTCATTTTCACCTGAAGAAATAGGTACATTACCTAGTTTAACATACCAATTATTTTCAATACAGTGTTCACCATATAGTAAATGGTAATTATTTTTAATAACGTTCATAGTAAGTGCACCCACTTCATGTCCAAAATTTCTAAGTCTTCTGTGTGTATAGGATATATGTCATCAATAAAATCTATGAAGTTAAACCAATTTCTTTTATTTAAATTTTTTGATAAAATTCATTTTGAAAGGTGTCTTGCTTTCATTCAATGACCAGCCGATTAATATATTTGATGATATGAAAAGTGAAATATGCATCTACATCTCTACCTCGCTTTCTTTATCTGCACATTTCGGATCGATTGATGTATGTATGAGGATCAAATGCAAATGCAGACTATACTACAGTTTGTATAGAACACGTATTCATGCAATGCATAAAGGTAGTTTTTATATTACAAGGGGCGATTCCTTATAACTACGTACATGTGTATCTTTTTCAAATTGTGACTCACAATTTGTGAGTGAACTTCGTTTTTAGCAAAGTTTTTAAAACAGAGCGTTCAGAAGTATGACGTTGGCCTCAGCGCCTAGCACCTCAGGCCACAGCACCTAGCGCCTACTAAGTAGGCCACAGCGCCTACACTCAGCGCCTATGGGGTAAACTGAGATAGTCAGAGAAACATCGGTATAAAACAAGGGAAAGGACCCCTCTTCGATGGGGGAATGTGATACACCAAAATGTCGGGTTTTTCATGCTGATCACGAATATATAAATTTTTTGACCGGCAAATGTAAGGTCACAAGAAGCCAACATTTTTGGAAGTTTCAGAGAATTCCAAGTTGTCTCACTTTCCCCCACGGAGGGAAATTTTTTGGGGTGAAATGAGATCTTTAGGGCAAGATAACACTTTTAGATTTTGTCGTAGAATATTGAACGCAAATTATTTTGCCGCAAAGAGGCAAATTTATTGAGCATTGCTAGAATATTGGGGAAAAGTGTGTCAACTATTATCGTAATTATGCCCCATATTGGGGTATTGTTCGTAGTAAGCGAGCGAAGCGAGAAGGTTAGGTTAGTTAAACTAGGTACGCGGAAAGCGTTGCTATTCTAGCTAGCACTCCTACCTAGCAGTCCTAGCTAGCATTCTTAGTTAGCAATCCTAGCTGGCAATCCTAGCTAGCAGTCCTAGCTGGCAATCCTAGCTAGCAATCCTAGCTAGCAGTCCTAGCTGGCAATCCTAGCAGTCCTAGCTGGCAATCCTACCTAGCAATCCTAGCTAGCAGTCCTAGCTGGCAATCCTAGCAGTCCTAGCTGGCAATCCTAGCTGGCAATCCTAGCAGTCCTAGCTGGCAATCCTAGCTAGCAGTCCTAGCTAGCAATCCTAGCTAGCAGTCCTAGCTGGCAATCCTAGTTAGCAGTCCTAGCTGGCAATCCTAGTTAACAGAAGAACTAGCTAGGAGAGCTAGCTAGAAGAACTAGCTAGGAGAGCTAGCTAGAAGAACTAGCTAGAAGAACTAGCTAGGAGAGCTAGCTAGAAGAACTAGCTAGGAGAGCTAGCTAGAAGAACTAGCTAGGAGAGCTAGCTAGAAGAACTAGCTATGAGAGCTAGCTAGAAGAACTAGCTAGGAGAGCTAGCTAGAAGAACTAGCTAGGAGAGCTAGCTAGAAGAACTAGCTAGGAGAACTAGCTAGGAGAGCTAGCTAGGAGAGCTAGGTAGAAGAACTAGCTAGGAGAGCTAGCTAGGAGAACTAGCTAGAAAAACTAGTTAGTAGTAGCTAGAAACTAGAAATCTCAGCTTACCCCAGACATCTAACTTTACCCCAAAAAAGTCATCCCCGTATTTCAGCTATATATGACATTTTCTGTAATTTTGCCAGTCTCGTATTGATGTTTCTCTGACTTTCTCAATTTACCCCATAGGCGCTGAGTGTAGGCGCTGTGGCCAGCTTAGTAGGCGCTAGGCGCTACGGCCTACTTATTTAGGCGTTAGGCGCTGTGGCCCACTTATTTAGGGGCTAGGCGTTGTGGCCAACTAAGTAGGCGCTAGGTGCTGTGGCCTGAGGTGCTAGGCGCTGAGGCCCGCCACATTTCAGAAGTCAATGTAACCCGAAGTGGATTTACAGCCGGCAGATTTGATCTCAATCTCAACTCACAACAATAAAATTCTTGTATCACGTTTTAGGTGCGTATGTACATCAGATGACCATCGACGGCATTGGTTACTAAAAAAATTAATTGACTTGCTATATTGAACTTGAATTGGTGTGACCCTTTTAGCGAAAAGTGCTACAAATTGTCCAGTAAAGCCAAATCTTCAAAGCAAATCCATGCCTTTCAGGTATACTTAAAGAATGGATTAACTCGGAACTCGGTAGTGACAATGGATTTCATTCAAACTTTCAATTTGGATGAACAACTAAATGATCCTTTGGATGTTCACGTAAGATGGAAAACATAAATCTTTACTGTGTAAATTCAATCTGGCTATCTTCAAACCAAAACGATTCCAATCATTGTTTATTCATAAACAATATATATTTGTTTTCATTTAGCATTCCTCATGTTTTTATTGTAACGGATACTACGGACCGAACTTTGGGGAGCCAGTGTGTGCTACGTGCCACGAGTTTTTATTTTCTGAAGATTTAGAACTTTTTCAAAGAACTGTGAGATGGCCGGGTTCGTGGTTTGGCGAGGTATGTAAAAACAATCATCCATCAAACAATCATCCACCATCCGAGAAAGTCCGCTTGGCTTTAAATATTGATGAGAGAATTGTAAGTAATATAAAATATCATTCATGTTTAGAAAGATGATGGTGATTCCGGAAATGATGAACCGTCAGAAGAAGCTGCTGGACCTTCGAATCGAGCTGCCAACAACGTAGGTGGCGGTGATCCATATCAAGCTGCCAGTCCCCCACTTTCACCTGCAGAAGAAGACGAGGAAATGGAACTGGCAGTTGCAGATCCTGTTCTTCTTGAACCTCCTGAGCCCGGCCAACAAAATCCGGATTCTGATGAACCCATGGCGTTTGTTCAAATGCGTCATTTTTTTCCTGGAATTCGTGTCTCATCACGACTTTCACCACCTTCTCGCCCACAAGATAGACTTAACAACCAAATAGATCGCCTTACCTTACCGAGACCTTTGTATGAAACTATTCCAACCTCCGAAGACATGTCCCTGAGAATACCACCAGAAAGTAATGAAAACACGAATGATTGTATTATGTATGTACCTATGCTCGAACATGCTTGTACTAATAGTATACCTTTAAAATAATTTTTTGGGCAGTTTGGGCAGTAATTTTTAGAAAATTGGACGACATCTCATTATTGCTGTAAATTTTCAATTATTTTAATTATTATTTATATTTACTATTATTTATAATTATTATTCCTCATAGTGCTTCTAAAGTGAGTAGAAAATGGAAAGCAATTGTGCTGGATCAAAACCCTAATTCAAAATGGAAAGAATATGTTGAGCTCAGGTAATATCCGGCTAAATATTTGCCAATTTGACTTTAAGATTGATGAAAATGTTGAAATTTGCTCAGGTGGCCATTGTTCCATCCAATTTATATTGTAACAGACTGGTATGCTGTTTACTGTGACTTGTAAGTAATTATAAAAGTATTTTATCTACACTTCAAATTCCGTATTTATACCAATCAAGTTTTGGGTTATTAAGATTAATAGATTGATCGCTAACTTTCTTGTTGTAGCATCGATAGTGTTCCGTGCAAGTTGTGTTTCATCAATCTGGCACTACATCTTCCCTTTGATGATTTTCAACCTGTCCGAAGTCTTCGATCTGTAAGTGTCTCAAGCTGCTTCAATCCAGCCGGCTATATACTAATTCCTAAACATGTAATTTAGGTCCGCCTGCATAAAGAATTAAAGTGTAAGTCTTGTGATTTTTCTTGTTGAAATACATGACTTTTATCCATGCACATCTGTATAAACTCACTAGATAAATGAAATGTATCTTTATGAAGAGATTATTAACAAATAATTTAATTGTATATTAATCTAAAGGGCTTCGCGTTGATCATCCTGAGGGAATCGAAGCTATTCCCCTTGATGAGTTAAATTACAACTGGCTCGGTACGTAACAAAACTTATCTGCACTATTGTAAAACCAGTAACACAAACTGTTATGTTGATAATCGGTTCAGCACGAATAAGTGGACCTCCCCAAAGCCCGTATCAAGGAGCAGTATTCTACTTGAATCTAAAAGTGCCTCATGAGTAAGACTGATGTCAATATCAAGTTATCCACGGTGTATGTAAGTATATTTAACTCATGGTTCTCTCTGTTATTTTCAGCTACCCTTTAAAACCTCCTGTTGTCAGATTTCTAACAAGAATTCTGCATCCTAATGTAAGTAATCAATTGAGCTACTACTATACTAACTAATTTGGCCTATGTAGTACGCAGTATCTACATTACAACTGAATGTCTCTTAGGTCTCTCGCCACGGGGATATAGGAATAGACTGTATTCTTCACAATTGGACCTTAGCCTTGACAATACCACAGATCCTTCTCTCCGTGCAAAGCTTACTTACAGATCCATATCTCCCAACAAACATGGAGCCAGAAATTGCCAATTTATATTCTAATGATAGACCCACCTTTGATAAAATTGCCCGAATTTATGCGTGGAAATATGCAATGCATGATGTGTTGGTTCATTGACTTGAACCGGATTTGCATAATATGTATGCAATACAAAACTTATGCACTGCTACCTGCACACATTATCATGTTTGTATCCTCATTGTATACTTTGTTCATTTTTGGTGCATACATCTTGCGATTAATAAAGCAATTAAAATAAATCTACAATTTACATATTTTTCTTACCTAACATTAATTTAATAACCAAAGCCAGAGTTAAAACCGGAACATTTAAGACAGGCACATCTTGGACTGTGCTCTTGTTAGTTAAACATTTGTCAATACTAGATATTTATTTTTTATTTATATTATTTTGTCAGTTCAGTTGAATTATTTCTCGATAGTATTTTTGATCTGGTGTTGATCTTAATATTTCTGGAAGTGCCCACGTTTAAATATTACAGAGATTTTATCACAACATCTAATTAGTAATTACACCTGTGTACATATGTATTGTACAGTCAAGTTATCTTTATTTCAGCCTTTATTACTTGTAAGTTTTATTGCACCATTCAATTGACTTTTGAACAGTAGCATAATCCGAGGGAGAAATTCTTGGTCTGCTCGTGGTATTTAAAGCGGCTGGTGTCCGTGCCCCTCTTTTACTAGTCAACCTGTTGAACCGTACATCCGGGGACGTGGGATTTTTCTGAGACTCGTTCTTCTATGAGAAATATTTGGAGATGATAATTACTATATGATCAATACCACTAATTCATGCCCTACTACTTTGTAATTTATTTTCAACGCACCCCAAATTTACGTTGCAATTGTTTCGTTGATGGAGACGAAAGACTTTGTTGGCATATATCCAACGCAATTGGTTTTTCAGAGGGTGCTGATGAAGTATACTTTTGGCTCTGAATAAGGCTGTTTGTCACCATGTCATAATTATCCCATTCCAGATCATTACAAGGGCTCCAATTTCCCTGATGCGTTCTAGAATTTGATTTGCTATCCGGGTTAAAATCTTCGCTCGACCTTGCTGTCCAGCCATGAATTCTAGCAGAATTTTTGGAAAGTTCTTGAGCACTGACCATTATTAAATCAACGTTGTCGTCCCCGTCACCAATATCATCATGAGTTGATGTGCGCTCGTTTTCTTCCAAAATCTGGACATCATTATTATTTGCATTAATAGCACAATCTAAATTTTCTACTTCCTCGACCTTGCAGATATTTACGACAGTAATAGACGGCTCTAACATATTTTCGATTGGGGAGATGACCGTACATTCATTCTTGGGATGGTCCAAGATTTTCTGAATATTCGTTTCCGAACTCATCCCACCTCTTACTAAAAATGGCAGTCTTTTATTAATGGGCTCCAAAAAATTTTTAGTTGGGAAAATCGTCTGATCCATAAAACCCATGGAGGTTCCAACATTATATAAACCTTAATTTAATTACTGCAATTATACACCCGTTTCATGATATTTTTGTGGAAATAACTATGAGCGTACTTACAATGGTCAACTGCTTCTGCAGCATTTGCAAGCTTGTTCTTGACAGTGGCGAAAAGATTCCATTCTGATTCGGATGCAGAAGAAGGACATGTACATTTCTTGGAACTCTTTAATCGCTTTATGTGTTCGACTACATGACGAATGTATGCATTAAATAGCTCCTCGGATAACCAGGACTGGTAATTTTCTTCCATCAAAATCAAAACGAAACATTCAAAACCTGGTAACCTATGTAGAACGTGCATAGGAAAAGTCACTTCATAAAAATTACATATATTGCTCGAGTTTATCCATGCATGTTCGCTTCAATAAATACGCAACTTACGTATATTCAACGGAATTTTTATCTGTTTTTCTTACCGTTTTGAAATGATATTGATTAGCTTTTCAGACTTGAGACAATTGGTATTAACCAGCAAAATGTCGTAATACTCATTTTCAGTAATTACATTCCGTGCTACTAATCGACTACTTATCTCATGAATCGGCGTTTGAGAGATTTGTGGATGAAATGCAACCAGAACTTCGTGCACTTTGCAGAAATATTCTGGTAAAAAGTGTGGGCACAACGACATTGATAACAAAATTGATTTTAAATGAAGTCTTTAAATACAATTATTTTTACGACACGTTTATGATATTATTTTTCTGCGTGATAGATGATCTCGGTTAGAGAACTGAGACTACTGCTGCACTGGGATTGTATGTATCCGCTTTAAAATGCATCCAATATTTTATGTTGATAACGATCAATTAGCAAGTACTTAGTATGAGGCAAATCGAACGATGTCCATGTGCATGATCTTTGAACTCAATAACCATAAAACAAGATAAGCTTTTTATGGGATCAGCAAACAATGAATCCAACCGAATTAATTTACAACTTAGTTTGTATGATAGATGAATTTTAACAAGACAATACCATATTCCACTAGTTAGCAGAAATTAAGTACGCAATCTTGTGCATCATATGCATGCTCCTACATAAATACGTCCCCATTATATCAGAATAGTTTTTAAGTTTTTTTATTAGCAACTTATGCAAGTATAAATTATTAATCATACTTCTCCGAATATGTCACTAATTAGAAACACAAGTTGATGTTGTACAATCGATTTTGAAATGCATAATAGATTTAGTACTGAATTAAATGAGTAAAATAACAGAAAGTAAAATAACCAACTACAAATAAAAATACTACAATATCGTTTATACACGCATCATCATTGCGAACATAAAGTGTACTTTAACTGAACTTACATTCTGACAGAGATGAAAAATGCAAAGTTGACTGAAACCGTGTAGTTGAATAAGAAAACACACAATATATAGTATAAAACTAAAACAACTGGCATGAGATATGGTTTTATCGCGTTTAATCGCTGCGGGATCCAGACCTGTCTCGACGTCGTGGAGAGAATGAACGCGAACGTCGTGGACTTCGACTGAAAGATCTGCCTCCTCTTCGACCTCCTCGAGGAGGAGGAGACCGCGATCTGCTCCTATATCTTCCACCACCTCCTCCTCCGCCACTGCTTCCACGTGGTGGGGGACGACGATCTCGACTTCGCCCTGTTGACATTTCAACTCGTACTCGGCATCCTGGAAATGAAAGTAATTCAATGATCAGTCAACTCAAAGACAAATTTTACTCTTTAATAAGTTACGATTGCATTAAATAAATACACCACACACATACCTCCGATTCGAGTGCCATCCAAGTTTCTCACTGCATCCTCAGCATCTAGTTTATGTAAAATTCACTTACGGCGAGCCATCAAGAACAAAAAGTAATGAAAAATGACCAAATAGCTTACCCTTACCTCTTGGATCCTGAAATTCAACCACTTTATATTAACTATTTGATATTTGTTGACATATTAATAAAGGCTTACTTGAAATTCAATAAACGCGAACCCTGGAGGGTTTCGAGCGACCCAGACGTTCTTGAGAGGACCATAGTGAGAGAAAATGGCTTCCAATTCTGTTTTCGACGCATTGTTCCCCAAGTTTCCAACGTAAACCTTGCATCGCACATCCCATTCTTGATGTCTTGACATATTTGTCTTTGTCCTATTGTGTTTTATATGCAAAGAAAAAATATAACAAGATTAATTAATTTCAAACTTATATTAATACTCGTTATATTGCGGTTATTTTTATTTGAATAATAATGATCATTATTCTCCTATTATCACGCCACCCAACTTCCCACCAGAAAGCAAAAACTATTTTTCAGCGATATATATTATCAACTCGATATTATAAAAAAAGAAAACGAAAACTAAATTAAATATACTAACCATCAGGAAGCAAGAGAGAGACGCTGGTAAGACAGATGGTTTAATTGCGGTATGATGAATGTCGGTTGATTGTAACATTTTTAAACGAATACGACTACAAACGACAAATGCACAACAATAGGTGAACAATGCGTAGGTCGGCAGACCAACGCATGAGCTATCAGGAGGTGGGAGGAATGTGTCGGCGCCTACAACTTGATTGATTGATTGATAAAAGAAGGGCGGATTGGAGGTGATTTGCAAGTAATGAGATGGTGGCGAGCTTAATGCCGATGAGTCTACAAAGGCGAGGAGGATGCGACGAGATTCGACGCCATGTAGTAGTCGAAGTAGTAGCAGTGGTGTAGATAGGTGGGTTCTAGAGCTGCAAAAAACTGCAGTACAGTGATGATGACACGACGATGTCAGGGGTGCTCGGCGGCTTGGTAGAGTTTCGTGTAGCAGTGGGAGGAGGAGGCAGAAGTGGTTTTAGAGTGGATGGAGTGAGGAGGGAGAATCTACTATCAACCAATTTTCTGTATACTGGTGGGTGGGTACTGAGTGGAGTCGTAGGTCTGTTGTGCTGGGTGGGAGGACTTTTGTAAGAGACTGCCAGTCGTCAGTAGGTGACGCGGAGATACTCTGAACAAATAATCAATACTTAATCACCTCATAAATAATTAACAAATTAAAACAAACTATATTCCTCACTCCCACTCCGGACTCCGGAGTCCGGAGTCGTCCTTATTTCCTATCTACTGCATAATTCTATTGTTTATACTTATCAGGGAAACTTGATTTCGAAGTAGTCCATTCAGTCGGAATTAAAATAATGTAAAAACCTAGCAGAACATGAAATAATTAATAAATAATTAAGCTGGCTCTAATTTTTGATTGAATCAAAAATTGTGTACCAATTAAATCAAATAATACATTATTGATATATTATGCGTCTATTCTTCCTTCGTTTGTGCTCAACATGGCCGTATCACGTGAGTATATTCCAAAGTATTACAGATAAAAATTGTACAAGACCCTTGAATTAATTGTTCATCATGAACTGTTCATGTCGAAACAACAAACGATTTTGGTAAAACATGTTACGAAATTCTCAAGCAAAAACTTACCCAACTAGCTAATTCAAGTCGTCTTATGGGAGTGAGTACGATCCCCCAAGTCTCTTTGGACACAAGATTAGTATTAAATTGTTCAGAAGTATACAAATACTTGGTTTCCTTAAATAAGAACAATAGCGAGGTGCTCTGACAATTTAGATGGAGGAGAATGAACGAGAAACCGGCGCTTCATTCGTTCATATCCATGTCTGGCAGAGGGCACCATCGGCATTCTCGCATGAGAGTGAATAGCTTCTACTTACTTCAAAATTAATTCAGAGACGATGACACAGTAAGATATCAATTGCATCGATTTATTTTTTCAAAGTTTTTATTCCGTACTATTTAAACACTAGTCTGAAGGAACAAGGCCACAAGGCCGTTTAAAAATATTCTCATTGCTGTGAGTCCACTTTGTGGCGACTAGAAATAAACATTGAGAATAATTAGTTACATCATAAAAGTATTATTTCGTTGCTCGATGAAGGAAACGTATGTATCAGTCAAATTAATGTAAACTTCTTTCATCTCCTGAAGTATTGCTTGTGCAATAATTTGTAAAATGCTGTTGCTCAACTTAAAATTCGGACCGTCTAATAAATATGTGCAAAAAACTTCTGCCTCGAACTTGGCATGAAGAGCTGGAACGCTTTTCTACATACTTACTCACAGTTGCCTAATTTTCAGGCATATAATCTTGTACTAGTTTAGTAAGATTGATAATACAATTTTTCCTATTGTAGTAATTGAATACAATTACTTTGACATGTCTTGCAATTTACAATTTCTTGCACCCCGCATTTCAAAAAAATAATTCCTTTCGAACAAAAATCGACCAGAGTTTACGTATTTTACAAACTTACTCCATTTATGACCACTTATCAACGGACAAGCACCATGAAGTGTCCACTTATCCACTGGACCGTTAGGCGTATTTGTATACCACAAAACTGCAGAACCTTTCACAGGTTTCACTGCAAATCCTAGTTTCGGAAATGTTGTGAGTCCAGCAACTGACACGTCATTTAACTATGTGCAAGATCATGGGTCATTTTATTAATTATTGAAACTACTTTGTGTTACTTGTTTGCTAGTATGAATGCACACTCACGTAGATGAGAAATGTAGTGACCCTGTCACCCTTTGGGTCAGGGTTGGGATCATCTGGACCTTTCTGAAAATAAAATAACGTAAACACTCAACCGAAAAAATATTAGTCGGGTCTGCGGGGAGATAAGCGAAATTAATTTCAACTGTAAATACATACTGAGTCAAAATGTAGTTCAACGTGACCTCCAAATGCATAAGCCGCAACTTGTAAAGCCTATATTCACAGATGAAGCATATTTTGCATTGGAATCATTATTCATTACATTAGTTTAATAAATATCATTGTTCATAATTATAATGCCTCTGCAGCCTTCATTCCCACAACATTGAGACCCGTGATGAGTTCAATTCTTCGAGAAATCGGCACTTGAGGGATATCTTGATCCTTGAACCATGAATATGCTGCTGTTCGAGGGGTAGCATTGGGACCAGTGGGGGCACGTTCTAAGGCTGAGAATGCTATCGCCTTGAGGTGTGATATCCATTTGTCAGGCAAAATGTCATAGATCTGAATAATTTCAGGGTTGCTGTTAACTTGCTCAATTTTTAGAGGCCGGATTCTCCAATATTCTCCAATTCTGTTCGAGTCTTGCCAGCATTTCAACTTTGCAAGCTCTCTTCTGGACTGTAATACGTACATATAGACAATTTTTGGGAGTCAAAAGGTGTACTTTTTGTAATATATGTAGATTTGATTTATGTATACTACCTGAAAGTTTTGTCCATTGCACAGAGCAATGTGTTTGGCATAAATGGATTGATAATATTCTGGGTCATCTTCGTCCAGGTGTAGACCGGATAATTCGTTGACCATTTGAGTTCGCAGTGTCATCGGCCTTGGACCGCTTGCTGTCCGAATTCGCTTAGCAAAAATATACTCGTGTCCCTCATCGTAAAGTTGTTGATATTCTCGATTATGCTAAAAATTATAAGACGGAACTTTTTTCAATTCAGGATTTTTATCGCGAAAACACATGCATTACGAACTTCAGCAATAGTTTCTAATATATCTTGGTCTATACTGGAGGCGTTGAAGGCCGTATGCTCTTCCTGAAAATCACGTTCAAATCTTGATTTTGTAACATCAAACCACTCAAGCGCTAACGTGTAATATTTTAGCTTTTGGGCAGTTTTGGAAATTCGGTAACAATGCTCAGTCGTCAGTTTTACAGCCGTGTTCAATAATACTCCCGGTATTTTCCCTTCCGCTATCTACAAACATTATAATGCATTATCATGCGCCATAAATAGTTTATTAAACAAGTTCTAAACAAACAATTCCTCACATCGCTGGATCTCAAGTCATACATGAATTGCATTCTTAAAACTGATATTATTGCATCTTCCACATCTGCAAACTTTGGAAACCCGTGAACTCCTTCAGCTTCATGAACAATTGCGGACGACACTAATTGTAAGTAATAATGATTTAATAATATTACTGCTCAAGTATGTAAAAATATAAAATTTTAGCATATAATACTAAACCTTGTTCTGCATTCTCTGCTATATGTTTCCCAATCTCGTTAAATTCGTTTGCATATCGATTCAACATTCGGAAGGCTAGGATTGGATGTTGCGAGATAATGCTGTCTCTCTCTTTATTACGAACACTCTCCCCTAAAAATGATGTTCCCAATATCGTCGATTTCTCATAGTCTCGGGTGTACCTGCATATTAGGGAAATATCGAGACAAATGAACTATGGACATATGTATATTTTATTAACTCAATACAATTCGCATATGAAAAATTGATATCCAACACCAACTTTTTAACAAGTGCCAATCTATGCTCCAATTCTTGTTCGTATTTTTTCATGGCATTATAAACTTTGCGTTCTTGCTGGGATAGGTATTGCAGATATGTCGGAGATAAGGCGTAAGGAGCTGGTTGACTGGATGCGATACTTACTGGACCAAGTACTGCAATACCTTGACTAGTGAGGCAAAGTAGTGTCGCAAATAACCACGGTGAGGCAAACGGATTTTCCATAATATTTACTAATTTCCAATCTAAATAAGATGATCCACGACTATCTATACTTCTCGACTGTCTACTCCCACATGTTTAAAATTTCCACCTGTCAAGAACCTAAAACTGTCTTCCAGTATGCATGTATGTAAAAGGAAATCACTGAACCTGGAAGAAACCGGTTGTTGCATGAAATAGGCACAAAAAACGGATTCACTTGCTGGCTAACTAAGATTCAGAGATTGAAGAAAATGCAAGAAAAATAAGCTTGGCAATGTAATCACATAAACATATATAGGCGTATATTTGGTTTTATTTCTCGGACGATGAATATCCATTTGGTTTGCACATACATGCATGTATAAAGCACATAAGCTTGTCAAAATGATTAGAACAATAGTAGCACTTGATATCCACTCATATGACGACATAGCCAGCTTCACTTCTTGATTCTGGAAGATTTAGATTTTGACATTCTTCCCAAGTATCCGACAGTGGGTCGTACACTTCAACAGAGGCGAGCGTTACCTGTTGCAAATAATTAATTTACAAATATCAATATCTCAACTAAACTTACACATTATTATAGAAATTCGTTAAAATATTATTATCGCGCGTCATAAATATAATTAACATCAGACCTGCGCCCTGAAGAAGTTATGTTCTAATTGTTTGTCTCCTCCGATGACATAGATTTTCCCATCCACAGAACCCACTGCTGGATTTGCTCGTGGAAATTTTAGACTAGCAACTTCGACCCATTTATCTTCTTCAAATATGTACTTTTCAACAGACCTCAACACTTCTGCATGCTTACTACTTCCCCCAATTGAATATAAATGTCCATCGAGTACGGTCAATCCTGATAATATTATGAATTTGTGACATTTTGTTCATGATGTATTATATATTATTTATTATATGTTTCGTTTGTACCCATTTGCGAACGAGGAACTTTCATTGGGCTCAGCATTTCCTGTGTAAAATTGTTTTATATAATTTCAGAATAAGTATCGTCTAAAAGAAGAAAAAAAATAGATCACCTACCCATTCAGATGTTACTGGGTTGTAAGACAACAATTCTTTCAAGTGCCTGGTTTGGTGAGTACAACCCCCGACTACGTAAATTAATCTATGATCAACAATGTTCATATAATTAACTTTTGCAAGCTTTTTACAACTGTTTTCACAATAAAATGTTACCCCTCGTGCGTGCATATTCCCATGCTAAACTTTGGCTCTTCCATGTTTCCAATTAATTTCCCTATTCAATAAAATAGTTTAATCATTGACTGCATAACTAGAAGAAAGCGGGTTTGGAATTCTATACTACATCAAATACATACATTCGTTAGACTGTGGATCGTAGCGTTCAATACTTCCTCCGATATCCTCTCCTACCCATCCACCAAAGGCATACAAATGGTTTTCAAAACCACTTAAGCCAAAAGCGCATCTCGGAACCACCATTGGTTCGATTGGTGTCCATGAATCTTCTTGAGGATTGTAAACCTGCAGATTTATTTACATAGGTTTATGTAATATGTTTTGTGATATATATTTTATTATAATGCACATATTCATTCACAAATACAGTCGTCACGAATCTTTGTGCTTATTAAGAATTTCCAAAATATTATTGTATTAATACCTCGCCATTGGCCAAGATTTTGGATTCTTGTTCACCTACACATTGAATAAAGCATAAATTATAATTAACCAGATTACTCCGAGGTACATGAATGTTTTGTACCGCACAAAGTTCTGAAAGACTAGGAATTTACAGTCCGACCGCATGCATTTCGTGATTCGGCATTCATTACGAGTTTTCTTACGATACGTTAGCAAAAAACAAAAGTTCGCAAGTTGGCAAACAAATTTGACTTGAAATTTATTTGCGAACTTGCGCATCTTCAAGGGGTTTGGTAATCATTTTAGATTTTGGGTAACTAACTTAATTTGGTAATCAACTGGTTTGAGTAAAATCCAACTAAATAAAATTTAAAAACATATATTCTTCTTACCACCAACGACATAAATTAATCCTTCTAAGGCAGCAACGCCAGGCAGAATTCTTTCGATATCCATCGGGGACATTGTGGTCCATGTTTTTCTGAACACAGAATATAAAACTGTAAAACCTCGTCAATTAAATTAGAAAAAAAATCAAGATTTGAATAGGTTAATATGTTATTTGTAAACTCACTGGAAGGTGTCCAAGCAGATAACACTGTCCAGCGTCCTAATGATATTATCAGTATCTTTGTAAATACATAAACAAGACAAAATATTAAATGTGATTGGCATACGTCTCGGAAAGTTGCTTCCACCCTGACCCTAAAGCCCTTTGCGAACCTATTGAAAACCATTTTAAGTCATTTTGAATCATTCAATATTATGAGAGTGTATGTATCATATATGAATTTTCACCTCCAATGACGTATACATGTTTTTTTGCATTACGACGGGGCTGCGCCGTCAGAGTAACTAAATATCCACGTTTTCCTGATAAATCTTTTTGTAGGCATCGAAGAGCGCATTGTAAACTAGGGTCGGTTTGTTTTTCCGTGAAGGTTTGCAAAAGTGTTGACGGAATCAAAGGCAAACGGACTTTGCTAAGAATCTCAAATACATGATGTTTTCGATCTTGTAAGTCATAAATAAGCCACTTGACTGCTGCAGACAGGATCTAAACAAAATATTTTTTTAAATTATAAAATGCAAAATCAATCCACTTTGGTCCAATGTTATATATTGCATGCAAAAATTTAACCAAAAATACCTGAAACTCTGAGTCAATTGTCAGCTCCTCACTCTCGATAAATTGTAATACTACGTTTTTTGGTGCTAAAACAATGAAAATGTAACATTAAAAGGAACATCAAGTATAAAATTCATCAAGATGAATTATTAATAATAATAATTTCTAACCTTCAAAAAATTCTTCTTGTTCACAAACTTCAGGGAAATGGCGATAAATATAAGACAAGGCAAAATTGGACAATGCAGCCAATTGTAGACTTTCTGCAAATCTGGAATTCAACATAATCTTAGTTATTTCGTATAGAAAAATACTTCATATATCGTCCAGCATGTATTGTTGATAATACCGAAAAATTCCAATTGAATTTGTGGGGTGAAGCTCATTCTTAAGATAATCTGTGCAAGACTCTACTACTTCAGAAAGGCCTGAATATAAAATAACACGATTAAACAGAGGTATTTAATGATAAGAATAAGCATACATACCAATCATATCCGCTGCTGATAAAACTTCTTGAACAGTTGTCGCTGCAAGGCATATTTCACCTATTTTTTGCAAAAAAAACTTGAAAATCAGTAATAATACGTCATTTACTAATATTGTTGCTCTGACCTGTATAAATAAAGTTCAGTAGATTAGAAAATGTTGCGGAAGACATGTTTCTTAGTTCAATTTGTTGCATTTCTTTTTCAGCCATTCCCACTGTAACAGCAATAATTTAGAAATAAATACGTTTAAACTTCAATAAAGTGAGAGCAAGTGATCGAGGTTAATCACTGGTTAATGCATGTATTTCGTACCTGTGAACATGGCTCGGAAATACGTACTACTTGAGGCAAGAACACTGCGATGCGCCTGAAAGACAAAAATTTAGTACATTTACGTAATCACGTATTTATATTTGTCATTTTATTTTATTTTCACCTTAAAGACTTTCCCCTCACAGCAAATTTCAACCCCGTCCCCGAAAAATGTCTCTGACTGCCAGAGATCGTATAAATTTGACAATATCTTGGAAGAGTACGAGGAAGAAGATTTGAAAATCTTGCACGACATTTTCGAAAATTTTAATAAATGCTTGTTTGAGTTTATGAATCTCAAATACGTGTGGCTTAATAGGCGTAACAAAAAGGTATTGTTACACAGATAAGGCTTTTGTAGAAGAGTTGAACAGTTGTATTTAATGTAAAAATTGAGATATCATTATACTGCTAAAATGAGACCTTTCTTTCTCCAATGAGTTTCTCTGCTGAATATAGCCGAGTATTCAATGAAAATACATATTTGAAGTAATACTTTGAGTAATTAATACTTTACAAATCGAAATATATAGCTAAATAATACTAATCAGGCTGTTGTTTAGTGCTCTCATAACCCAGTTTTACTTGAGAGCTTTTATGAGAGTAGTACATAGATATAAGAAGAGAGGAAAAGAGTTGGTTTTGAGGATTGGAGCGACTTCTCTCTCTTTTTACAGGACGGATCTAACGGAAACTCACAGAAATCATGCATTTACGTCAGAGCTCATTTATTGATTAGCCACATTTCCCTGAATTACATTTCTGGAGTCACGTCCTCAACATTTCTGAAGAGTGATTTTGACTCAATTTTAAGATCATAATAAAGACATGTCCAACAAAATATATTATGACACGAATTTATTCAACAATGCATACCAGTTTGCTTCTCAGCATATTCTAACATAGGGAAATGTTCAATCACTGTTTTTAAGATTTTGTCTTCAACGAGTGGCTGCTCACCGTCGACATTCAGCTCCAGAAATTTAGGACCAGCTATCTTCCGGTAAATTTCAGTCAAACTGAATAAACAAACCAATACAAATGAAATAATTAATTTCTGACAGCCTGACCAAATTCACTATGCATATGTGTTGAGTAGGTCATTCCCCCGAGGGTATTATGCATATGAAATTGTATGTACCTATTACGAAATGATTCGTTGTCTGCTAGTGTTTGTTCTTCTGCAGTGTTGGTAAAATCTTTACGATTAGTATGACGTCTAATTCGCTCTTGTTCAGATACTTGAAGAAAAATTACAAGGTCTGGTTTCAGGAGATCATCTGGCCAAATAAAATCTTCCGACTTTGGCTGTTCTCCCAAAGTTTTTATTTGATGAGCCATTGCATACGCAGCTGTACTGTGCCAAAATCTTAATTACAAAATAAATGTTAAACAAATATTGCATTAAACCTCATCTGCACAAAGAAGCTATCTATAGATAAATGTATGTACATGCCTATCCATCACAACAGGTCCTTTACAATCAACTACATCTTGAGCAGCCAAGTAATTTCCGAGAGAATAATACGCTCGTCGAAGACTTTCCGGCTGGTTATCAAAAAATGGTCGGGCTTGCTGGAATTCAGGAAGTTTCGGTGGAGTCGATATCTGTTTCATATTCAGTTTGCTTGCCAAACACTTTGTCAACGTGGTTTTTCCTGTTTTATAAAATATATAAAGCTGATGGGTACTCATTACAAAAATATGGTTACATTTGTATAAATATTACCTGTGCCATCCATCCCCTCAATCACAATGAATGGACACGAACGGTCTCTGAATGATGTGGCGATGCTTTCTCCAGCAGATTTGTCCAGCAGTCCACGATTAATGCAAAGTGCAGTCAAATGCTTTATTTCTGGCGATAGCTATTAAGTAATTGTATCAAAATCATTTGAAATTTGCTATAAATTTGTGTTTTTCTTTAGCATAAAATGTATGCTGTAAATCAAAGTGAATGTGTCACCGAATAGAGCCCCAAAGCTTCCCATACTTGTCCAAGACTCCGGTAAACCACATTTGCTAAGGGTTTGTTTGGGCCAGCCATGATATTACTGGCGTCAATTGAATTTTATATTTCAGCTAAATTTTGTTTGGAAGTTTGTTTATTCCTGATTTCATGTAAATAAATATGTATGAATGATGCAAGAAAAAAGTGCACGTGTGGGACTCTCCCGCTCCGCTCCTCTCTCCTTTCTCTCCATGAAATTAGTGCTGCAATTCCACCTCACTTTTCATTATCTTTGTCTTATCCTTAGGTTATCTTTTGGTAAGGTTTCACTGCATGACGGAGACAAGCTACACTGAAAGAGTTTGACATGTACATAATACTTTTCAGCGTTGCGCATGCAATGTGTACATATATGTACATACATATGTACATATATGTATCACGAGGTGACGTATGAGGAGAAATCAGGGGTGAGTGAAAGAAAGTGTTGCAAACTTTCTCTCCTTTTCTCTGCCCGAAAAGAAAGTCACATTGGACACCTAATTACGCAGCCTTGTTGTCACATGTACAGTCCAATCCGTCCAGCTGTTCCCTTCTTTTCTTCAAATCAGTGCAAAAATAGGTCATTTTCCATAATCTACATCCTACTTCAAAATCAATAGTGGCCAAAAAATGATTAGTGGAGGAAATATTGGAGGAGACACGGAGGAAGATGATAATTTACTCACTACTTCGTCATTCCGGAACGAGACCCCGACCTGCTGCATCCCTCAGCCTCAAGGAATAAGAATCATTGGGGTCATTTCTTGCGTATGAATTTGTAACTTGAGAAGTAGGTAGATGGGATGTAACTAATCAGTCTGTTAATGGTGACAGGTGTCTGGTTTGTTCATCACTTGCCTCACTTTCCTGTGCATGCATTTGCATGGAAAAGATGAGGAGGGTCTTGGTAAGGTCGACCCCACTCGTTACCTACTCTTTACCGGTCTCAGCTCTGCTCTGGTCTCAATTTGGCTTTTATGCAAAGAGGTAAATATATAATATTGTATACACTTACAGTAGGGTCAGGCGCTTACAATATAACGATTTTGGCCTTGAATAACCCCGGAACGGTTTGTCGCAGCGGGTCAAAATTTTGAACAGACGAGCATGTTATCCTCAGATAGCCGTGTGCAAAAATTCAACTCTCTACTTTCAAAAATGCCTCCCCCACAGCCCCCAGAAGGTGAGACAGTCATTTCAACTCGTTTCAAACTCCGTCTAAAAAATTCGGTCTCCGCAGAAAAAATATTCTTTTCAAGTATTCGAACCCAAATAAGTCCATTTGACTTATATCAGGAGATTTTACAGGTATTTCACTATTCGAAATGATTTTTATCCCCATTCTAGGTTCAAGGTCGTTTGCATTATCTTGAGTCAACGTTGTCGTTTTCGAAGTCGCTGAGTCATGATGAAAAATCACCTTATTTATTTTTTTACCGTGCAATTTAGGAAAATGTTATTCTAAAAGTGGTTTCAATACACGGTCCACATCATACTTTGCAGATATCTTCACTTTTTGAGGGACTTTGATAAGTGGGAGGATACCAGGACCCGACATTGCACCCACCAGCATAAACTGTTATAAAAAGTTCTCCTTACGCGGAAGCACCAAATTGCGTGAATTGTTTTCGGAATTTGTCGTGTAGTAAGCTCTTCGAACCCAATTAGTAACTTGTAGGGAAAATAGTTCTTCGTCAATTGTCACCAATAACTCACTCCAATTCCTCAACAGAAAATTTAAATAAATTTTTTTGAAAACATCGGCGAAAATTTTTTTGGAACAAGTTGAAATGACTGTCTCAGCTTCTGGGGACTGTGGGGGAGGCATTTTTCAAAGTAGAGAGTTGAAATTTTGCATACACCCATCTGAGGATAACATGCTCGTCTGTTCAAAATTTTGACCCGCTACGACAAACCGTTCCGGGGTTATTCAAGGCCAAAATCGTTATATCTTACGCGCCTGACCCTGTATTTAAGTTATCAAGTTAAAGTGACTAGCTGCATAATATGGACTAACTTCATTTAATTACAGGGCAGTCATACGGCGACAAAAATCTGGACTCTAGTTCACATGCTTTGTGCGATGGTTTCAATCATTATGTTCAGCAAACTGTTGGCTGAAACCAATTTTGATCGATTGATGCAAGTTCTTTTATCCTTGGCTGGACTCAATTTATGCATTGTCATATTCAGTATTTTGGTCATGATTGAATTTATTTTGCATCCAAGTACGCCAAAAGATTTTTGAGTTATACATATTTACACTTGCTACGGATTATGGCATATATGTAAGTATGTAACACATATCTATGTATGTAGCTACAATGATAAAATTTTTATTTCGACATAATCCCCCAAGGTTTAGACTTTAAAACTTCGATCACAAAGGTCAAAAGTATAGCCGACAGTATGACAGGTTGGCCAAACTGTTTATATGCAAATGTATATTTCAGTTTTCGATTTTTCGCAGCGCTTTTAGACCTTAAACCTGTCCTTGGCGAAAAAATATCATGGCCAAGCAAATCAAAAAAATCGTACACGGCCAAACGGGAACTCAATTTTCTTCTAGGGACAAGTCGCATCGGCATCCGATAAAAAATACTGCAAAGTAAAAAAAATATATTCACGAAGTTTTTTGGCCGCCTCAAATTTTTTCAGACATAATTGTCCCCTTTTACCTGTCTAAGACATTAACAATCGTCAACGAGGATTTTGTCGGCAGATAAGTACTTTTGACCTTTGTGATCAAAGTTTTAAGTTTACACTTGTGGGATCATGCCGAAATTTACAGTAACTCATACTAATTACTAATACTTATTTAAGTTGACTGAAAAAATAAATGCACTCATGAAATATAAGTAATCGCAATTTATCTAATTTCTTACGCTGAGATGTCTAATATAATTCACGTGAAAGTGACATCACCCGTAGTAGAATTTGATGCATTACATGAGTGTGATGATGGTGTAAACGTGCCGGAAATGCGAGACTATGTATGGATCATCATTTCCAGAGTATTTATGTACATCCAAGTCGTCGCATCACTGCACTGGACGAGAGACGTGTAATAAACCAGAACAATTTTGTTATGCATCATTACCTATTTCACCCCCGTATTAGCGTGCTTACCGCCTGCATACAGTTTTAACCTGTACTTATCTGATACATTTTGGTGACTATTTTAATTCTCCCAATGCCTCGACCACAACTGCATTACAATCATGCAAAATCTTCCAATGCTGGATGTATGTGTATGCAATACACGGGATGTGATGCATAATTCTGTATATGTATCTATGTCATGATATATTGTAACACAAATTCGGGTGTGTTAACAACATATCGTTCATAAGGAATGGGAAATGGTATGTATCATATTAAGCTGGGTGTAGCAAATCGTTAACTTTGGTGGTGACGAATAATCACTGTTTGTGAACTACAATGACGATTTGTTTGACTTAGGCCCACAAAAGTAAGTTGCTTTTCTACCACCATTATTACCTCACGGACTGAACTGTCATACGAGCAATTCCTAAATAATTCCACATCGATCATAACACGGTTTACTTACACAGGTTATTTTGAAGATACATATACTAATAGATAGTTTGTTCTTCAAAGATTGAGGAACATTATTTCGTCGGTAAGTAACAATACTACAATTATTTTCAGCCAATCAGGCAATCACTTATCAAATATCTACACTAGTGGGTGCATCGAAACGATGTCGTCAGTCGATGTCTAAAGACTTTCAATTATTGTTATTCTTCCCGACGCATGCACTATAATTAGTTACTACGAATTACATTGATTTATGTGTATGGGTTAGAAGTCTATGAAGAGCTCGTCATTAGGATGATACTACTTCAACTATGTACATATGTATGTATGTAGCTTATGGTAAGGTGATTCAAGTTTTGATTTGCGGTCAAAGCTGACCTAGACAAGAAATTGGAAGGGCCTTTGGAAGGCACTTTGAACATTGAGACCTTAATTTTGATGTCGGGGACACATTTACAAAGTTATCGAATACGAATTATGCTTCCTCTGTGTATTTTGTTCTCGCTAATACACATTTTGCTCCCAGTGTTGCAATGACTTGATAAAATTCATGCAATATGCTTATAATTTGTAAAATATAGCTAAAGATATCCCACAAGGGTTTTTGCCATTCGAGTTTGTGCATTCACCATGAAAGCCTATAATGAATACAAACACTTGCATTGAGATTATAATTGGGGAAAAGACAGATCACTTATGCATGTGCATCGGATTAAACTTGGAATGGGTTTGGGAGAATTATTGCAAGTGGGAAAAGGAGGTGAACACCATCTCAACTCTCAAAGAAATGATCTCGGAAGAATTATGTATGGTTGGTTTTAAAAATATATTAGTGTATCTTGTGCTCAGATAGTTGGCATTTCTTTAGGAACCCTTCCTTAGTATGTTTCGGTATGTGCACACGTAACTATGAATCAGTATTTATTATACCTGCGGTTGGTTCCGTTGCATATTATTCATGGTTTACCATCATCAATGGTTTTACCCTTGTTATTACATTATTATATTGTGGAACCCCAAGCAAGTGAGGTTTACAGGGCTACTCACGATCTCAGACTTGAAGATGACTTTCTCATAGCACAGAGCCCATAGTCAAGCTGGATTCCTATTGTTGAAGCATTCACCATTTTTTGCCAAGTCACACAAGGAGGAACTCTGCTTCGCATCCAACGTATTACTTTAGTTGTATGTTGTGAGATAGATAGTTTTAATTCATTTTGCTCTGCACATCTCTCTCAAAGAAATGCAACAGGTCCGGTTTGTTAAAGAACGTCTTCAGCATGAAGCAGAGATGATGCTTCATCCTTTTCATCCCATGATTTCATTCCTTTGGCTGATTGTTGGGGGAGGTGGATATACATACATTCCTACTTCTATCATACACATGCATAGATGATATAGTAGTCAGTTGATCATTCAGCGTTTAAAAACCATTTGCAATTCTTTCAGCTTGTTAGAAACCTTTCTGTCAAGAAATGTCGACACTCGTTGGGAATACATCTAGTTCTTGTTGTTGTGAATAACATTCTTGAGTTTAAGTTTAAAATAGTCCATCCAGAGTTAATGACAATTGCAGAAGAAGGGGGAGAAAATAAGTCCCTGATTTTTCTTACCTACACAAATACTTCTGTGGTGAACTACTGCTTGAAGGATAGCAAGTGGACATTCAAATCGTAGTAAGTCAAAATCTGAGTCTTGTTTATTCACTTTACTGCAGTAAAAAAGTATGTGGTGGAATATTACTAACTAATGGCTTGCAAACTGAGCTTTTACTTACAAATCTAATCGACACACTCCTTACATGCATGCACTGAGATTTATCTAGTTTGTTATGACTAGGGAACATGTTGCGAGTACGTTTGTGGAATAAGATTTAAGATGCCGATTTCTAATTCATTCATCAGACTTGGAAGAAAGTAAAGCTAATCCCAAGTGTAATACACAGACGGAAGGAATGTGCAATTGAATGCACTAAATACTACATACTACGTGTTTTTAGTGGCGACTAGTTGAGTGGAAATCCTCTTCCGTTAAAGATAGTGAGTGACATTATTGTTGTAAAGGAATGAAGGAGCTCATGGTATAATATCTGTACATTAGTCATTGTGAAGTTTTTGGTGTACATATATCTCACATTGACTGAGTTAATACACCTTTGTTAATAGGAGCATATGGCATAGTCATCGTATGCATATTATGATATACATTAAACGGATCCAAGAAAACGGCATGAATAACACATGTACATTCGTATTCGTCATTCATTGGATAAAAGGATGACGGTGAAGTCATCATACTTGATTGAAATTGTGCATTTTCTTGTGTTCCGTGCCTGAGCTACATACGTTAAGTATTTGTATTTATCATAAATACTGGCACTATTAAAAGTTTTTGCGCTGTTGAAAGTCATTGATGAGATTATCCGGAATAACGTGTGATTTAAAGCTGAATATTTGTGATTAGGCGAAACTCTGTGACCTGAGAAGTCACGGAAATGCTCCGTCACGGGCACCACGAGAACGAGATGGTGCACACAATTGGAGGCGTGCAACTGAAATGGGATGCAAAGGATCTGGAAATTAAAACCCGTTCCGTGGAAATGGCTTTGCAACCCTTGGTCATGAAGGTAACTTTTATACCCACACACCGTTTAAGTATGTACTAAATGAGGAATCAATCATTTGTGAATTAATCATCGTACAGGTCACCACTCTAGTCAACACGGATTCTTCGAGGAAAAAGGGTCGTTCCAAGGTAATTGTTGAGAATAGTCTCACAACTCACCAGTTGTCAGTGTAAAAATCCATTCAAGTTATAAAGGTGTTTAATATTAGAATGAATAATTTAACAGAGGGCTCACGTGCTAGTAGCATTGGTGGAAAAGGCCACGGACAACTTTATCAAAAATGGGGAACTGATTGCAAATGAGAATCCTGACATCAAGAAGGAAATGATGATGGCCGTCGACGAGGTTCGAAACAGTGGGAATAAAATGACGGAGACATCCAGAGAGTTTGCCGAAGATCCATGTTCGTCTCAAAAACGAGGAAATATGGTGCGTCCCGTAATGGACCTTACATTCTCAAACTTTAAAAAACAAAATTTTTCGTGTTCTTAACTAGGTGCGTTCTGCCAGAGCGTTGCTTTTGGCCGTGACACGCCTCCTCATTCTTGCAGACATGGTGGATGTCCACCTCCTTTTAAAATCCTTGCGAATTGTAGAGGTATTTTATATTAGGATCTATTTTAATGGAGATGGATGATTTAAGGATGGTACTCGATCTTTACTTCAGGATGATTTGGAACGGTTGAAAAATGCTTCCAATCAAGCGGAACTTATGGATGGGTTGAGAGACTTTGGACGAAATGCAACTGGTCTTTTGCGAGAGGCAGCTAGACGACAGCAGGAACTTCGAGACCCTCAGCAAAGGGACGACCTGGCTGCGGCCCGAGCACTTTTAAAAAAGCATTCTACAATGTTGATGAGTAAGCAGGCATAAATATATATAAATCTCAAGCTATTGTTAGTACTGCGCTTTTGCTAATAGTATTATTTTCATGGTACAGCCGCATCCAAGGTCTATTTACGGCATCCAGAACTTGCAGGTAAGGAGTTTTACAGTCATCGTTTTTCCATTTACTCAAATTATTTAAAAGGTGTGCATGTCATGGCTTCTAGGTTTTTTATAATATAAATTCTCTTAACTTGCAGCTGCTAAAGCTAACCGAGATTTTGTATTGCGTCAAGTTTGTGAAGCCGTGAATACAATATCAGGTAAATATGTACATATATATATTTGATGCATGCATGCAATATCAAAAACCAAAGGACAGATTGCTACGAAGGGTATTTTGGTGCCAAAATTAATTTCTCTTAATTAATTGAACAATTAATCAGATATTGCCAAAGGACAAGGGAATGCATCCACTCAAACGCAACAAAGTTATGGACCTGGAGAGCTGGCCGCTGCATTGAATGACCTCGATGTATGAACGTAAAATATTTTTAGAACTTCATATACAGTAAATATTTTCTCTTACGTTGCGTATGGTTATGGTCACCCTAGAAAAATATATATATGAACCCGTTGGAGTATAACGAACGCCGGTAAATAGATTACATTGCCTAATAATTTACCCTCCTTGTGGCATGTAGTGTTAATCAAATATATCTACAGGACAAGGCAAACTTTGGAAGAACAGTTGGAATCGATCATTAGTGGGGCTGCCTTAATGGCAGATAGTTCTTCGACCAGGGATGACCGTAGGGAAAGGATTATTGCAGAGTGCAATGCCGTGCGTCAAGCCTTACAAGATTTACTTTCAGAGTATATGGCAAACGTGAGTTTACAAAATATTTTTCAGTCAGTATTTCAGCATTATTTATTTATGAACACCCATTTCATACTTGTTTTAGACCGGAAAGAAAGACAGAAGTGACGACTTAGAACGTGCAGCCGAACACATGAACAAGAAAACAAAGGATTTGCGGCGTCAGTTACGAAAAGCGGTCGTGGATCATGTATGCGATAGGTACACTAACGTTTATCTAATCTACATATTATTTAACAAAATGCTAAAAATATAATAATTTTAAATATTTAATTTCTTGGCTCTAGTTTTCTGGATACCAACACACCTCTTCACATTCTTATCGAAGCAGGTAAGCAGATTCATATGCAATTCATATGACAGACTGATAAAACTTACACACATTTATATGATGTTCTGTGTACAACCACGTACTAATTATTTGCTTGAATCTAATAAATTCGTGTGATTTCGCGTTCCTCAATTTACAGCAAAGGCAGGAAATGAAAAGGAAGTCGAGGAATATGCCCAAGTTTTTAGTGAACATGCTCGGAAGCTAGTTGAGGTATTATATAATTAATAGCTTTATTTCGCAATTTGAAATATTAATTGTATATTTACAATTTAGGTTGCCAATCTTTGCTGCAGTATGTCTGACAAGGAGGATGGGGTCAAAATGGTGCGTATTGTTGGAATAATTATTAGAATAATAATTTTAGAAATATTTTCATTTCGAGCATCATGATATCTATGTCGCACCTTCATGCAGCAATTTTCATTAATTGATTTTTCATTGTTGAATCTTCAGGTGCGTCACGCGGCATCTCAGATTGAAAGTCTGTGCCCCCAAGTTATCAATGCAGCAAAAATTCTCGCAGCACGTCCAAAGTCGAAGGTAAGATAAGTGGATCCTTTCAAATATTTCAAGAATTAATCATTTCAATTTGGTCATCATAGCCGGCTCTGGATAATATGGAAACTTTTCGGCGTACATGGGAAAACCAGACTCGAATTTTAACAGAAGCTGTAGATGACATCGTAATTATCGACGATTTACTTGCCGTAACTGGTACGCATGCATAAATTAAAAAATGTGTTAACATTGAATGCACATGAAGAATGATGAAACAAATCTTATCGTTCAGAAAACCATATATTGGAAGACGTAAACAAATGTATTGCGGCTGTACAAGAACAAGATCCTGAAACTCTTGACAGGACAGCAGGGGCAATTCAAGGACGGATCTCAAGAGTTACCGATGTCGTTACGTCAGGTATATAATTAATCTTGAAAGGCGGCTATTGATCTAAGGCTTTGTAAATAAATGCCATCTCCGAAGTACCCAAGTCCATTCTAAACTTTGACCCTTCAATCTTATGTGGCATTATTCGTTCCATTTAGTCCTGAAATGACATGAATGTGTTTTTTCTTAGAAATGAATGAATACGAACCTGGCCATTATACAGATTATGTTTTGGATGCTGTTAAAGATTTACGAGAACAAGGTAAAGGCAAATGAACCTTGCTATGAAATATTGAGATACTATAATATTATAATTTTATGTGGTTTTAATTTTCAGTGATGCCAAACTTCGTCACAAAGGTAAGTGCATAAGTTATAATTTCTGTATAAAGCCTGCACCATATATTTTAGCATTACAGTCCCTTTAGAATCTATTTACAATCTAAAAAACAATTTACATCATCTCATTTATATAATATTTAGGTAGAAGTTGCGGTGGACGCACTATCTTCTAACCCAGCCAAGGATGTTGACGAAAATGAGGTGATGAAAATAAGACAAGCTAGGCTATGCACAAAATGTGGCATGTGTGTTGTATGAATTGATGAATATAAACCAATTATTTTTTCAGTTTATTGATGCTTCAAGCAGAGTTTATGATGGCATTAGAGAAATTCGGCGAGCAGTATTGTTGAACAGGGTGATTATTATGTCACATCCTTATACATATAAAGATTTTGTTCCATGTTTTCTTAAACTATGTATTATCTGTGCATTATTTAATATGCATTTCTTTCTTGCAGGATGATGACGAATTAGATCCAGAGGACGTAGTTATCGATGAACGAACTGAGACAGGAAGCAAAAGTATAAAAAGCTCAATGCAATTAACAATATTGAGAAGCAATTATATATTAAAATTACAAGTGCCTTTGTTTAATAAATTATAGTTAGTGGGGTGACAGGGAGCCAAATTGTGGATGAACGTCTGCAACGCAGGGTAGATAAATATTTTTAAACTGTTTATGTGCCTAGAAAACCTGAAGAAATATTGCCCCACCACTAATGCCAGAAATATTTGATTTACAGGAATTATTGGAAAAGCTGCCTGAAGAAGAAAAGAAAAAGATTGTTCAACAAGTTGAAAGTTTCCGGAATGAAAAACAAAAGTTTGACCGTGAAGTTACAAAATGGGATGACAGTGGCAATGATATTATCGTTCTGGCAAAGCATATGTGTGTCATCATGATGGAAATGACAGACTTCACCTGGTAGTCAACCAATTATGCAATCAATCAATAAGTAATTTCAAAAAGACAAAATACTTTGTAATAATTAACATTTTGCATGACAGGGGACGAGGTCCACTGAAAACTACAATGGGTATGCATGAAACCTTTTATAAACTTGCAATGCTATTATATAATTTTTATATATTTTTAATTTATTCATTAAAATATGCTCACTTTGCTACAGATGTTATCAATGCCGCAAAAAAGATTTCCGAGTTGGGTACAAAGCTTGATAAATACGCCAGACAGATTGGAGATCATTGTCCAGAGTCCTCCACCAAGAACGATTTATTGGCTTACCTTGGTCAAATTGCATTGTACTGTCACCAGTTGAACATTACGTCCAAGGTTAAAGCTGACGTACAGAATATTTCTGGAGATTTAGTGCTGTCCGGGGTATACGCATTTTTCCGAATAATTTTAATTTTCATGTCAATGGAAATAGAAATTATTAATCAATTTAAAACCATTAGCTGGACTCTGCAACTTCATTAATTCAAGCTGCAAAGAACTTGATGACCGCCGTGGTTGCGACCGTTAAATGTTCATATGTCGCGTCCGCAAAGTTTTCAAAGAATGATGCTCCAATCGGAGGACGTGCAACGAACTTCATTTGGAAGATGAAACCTCCAGAGAAGAAACCACTCGTTCGGAAAGAAAGACCTGAGGAAATTCGTGCCATTGTCAGGCGTGGAAGCCAAAAGCGGTCCAATCCGATCCTCGCTCTGAGTGAGTTCCAGAGGCCCACAGAGGATGTTTAAATTGATGTTTAATCATCAATAAATCATGATACAAATATCATGAAATGTGCCACATACCAATGTGCAACGAATAATAGCAATATTCCATCATTCCTATATACATATGATAATCAATCTTTATTCTTTAACAACGGTGCAAAAAATGAGTGCTGTGCCTTATGTGCGACATGTGAAATTAATTATATCAATACCCTCCATATTTTACACATTTCCAGTTTGGTAGACATAATTTTATCAAAATGAGGACATTATTTATGACAGAATTTACAATTTTGTATTTGTACTTATATATTTAAATAGGTATATGTAGCATATGTAGGTTATTTATCTGCAAATATTCCTGTTTATTACATTTGGAGAAATAAAACCTGTTTCGTGGTTTTTGGACAAATATTATATGTAAGGATTGAATTTTCACCATACGTCGATAAATTACTCCTTCACCAACTAGAGCATAAGTATGTACATATGCAAACGTGCATATGTCTCTAAAATTTGGGACATTTATAAATTTTGATATTTAAGGAAACCCATTCTCCGGAACGCCTGACACTATGAATATTTAAATATATAGCTTTCCAGTAATGCAGTTGTGAGTAAAATCAATATGATGTCGTTACAACGAACAATAATTATATTGTCTGTGTTTCTCCTAACTCTTTCAGGCAAGGATAATACATAATTGTTTAATTAATTGGTTAAGTGTTATTTTAAAATTTTATGGGATGTGCACAGGTCAAACTACTGGATTTTTTGGAAATGGGAATAATGGAGGATGTCCTTTCAATGTTGGGACTTGTCTTTCCAACTGTCGCCGGCAAAATCCTGACCCCATCACGGGCCGAGGAGCCCCATGCGGAGGAAGATGTACAGGCCTGTTCGGCATGCGATGTCAGTGTTTGTATAATTGCTAAATTCCTTTGAATAAATAAAACATATTTTTTTATAAATAGTTGCATTTATTTCATAGCACAGATTGGTAAAAAGATTCAATAGAAAAGTATAAGTTTTAACATATCCAGTAGAACTGTAAGTAGAAAAGATCGGAATGCATTCAAATTTGTCCAATTGCTATTTGTGTTTTTCGGTATCACGGTTTATCATCACATTTGTGTGCTCATTCAGTTTGGAATGATATTTTCTTCAACATTGCATCTCAGAGGTGGTTCATAAATCTTGTCCACTTTCGGGTAGTTCCAAATCATTTTGGGAGGAGGGGGTGGAGGATTGAATGGCGTGTAGTAGTCCTCGGGCTGTGGAGGTGGGTGTTTTTCTTTAACATTGCAAACCCCTTCGTGATCTGACAACTTGACCATATTTTGCAACTTTTCCCTCAACTCTGGGGTCCAAGTCACAGACGCTTGTATTGCTTCTCCGAATGTTTTATTGGCCATTGAAGTTGGTTGTTGTACGATTGGTTGAGCTCCAGAGTCAATTCCAGGCAGCCTGTTTATCATTAAAAGAGACAAGAATATTGATTATTTAGGTTGTGAAACCTAAATTTTGATATTTCCGTTTCTGATCACTTGCCATTTCACATCTTTGATGCCAAACAGATCGTACAAGTGTTGAATGTCATAAAAAGAGGAACATCCTTCAAACGCACCTTTGGGATAATACCACGCAAATCTAAAAGAAAATGTAAAGAATTTAACAATCAAAAAGAGTGATCCAAAATTTTAAAACCGATGTGTTATGTGCTTACGTCTCACACATCTCATTTCTCGTTGAATATCCGGCTACAGTTACATCATTTCGTGAGGTCGTGTCATAAGTACATTCTAAAGTAAGATTAACTCGGCTATTAATTTCATTCTCGTCGAATTCTATGAGTTTTATTGTAATTTTTACCAAAGGTCAAACTGTCTCCAGGAAGGATTTTTCTCTCCTCTCTAAGAGGTCTATTTTTCTGATAATTGAAATGATAATGGTCTGAAAAAGAGAGGCCACAGTTATATTTTATAAGAAAGTTCGTTTCAAACAATTTCAATTGCCTATTCTTACCGTCATAAGAAACCCACGGCAGCTCCGTCTCATTTCGAAAGTGCCTGAGTTTCATTTTCCTCCCTGCACATTTATGAATCGAATCATTAATAAAGTCACACATATTTTTAACATAAATCCATGCAGTAATTATGGACATACCGGCGAGATGGGTGTGTAACAACGTGTTGAAGAGGTAGATTTCTCCACCTTCCGGTATCCCTTTGTTTGTACACTCTTTTCCACAATGACCCACGATCATAAAATCTTTAGACCTGGGAGGAATCAGAAGGGATGCGAGGACCTATAATATTATTATCATTAGCTTCATTATAATATAAATTCGTCATTATTATGTGAACTTACAGTGTGCCCAATCGTCATCATTCCAGCATCGTATTGCCTAAAAAAACATTCATGTATTCCTCATAGACGAGTTGTACATATGTACATAAATATATACAGATGATAAACTGGTTGTTGATTAGCCAACCTTAATTTTGGCGTGTAAAATATTTCCACCCCAGTCTCAAATTTAACGTCTTTCAAGTGGGTAGGGTTATCGTAATGTACCTCTGAAAAAATTGTAGCGATTTAGACCTGAGTCACTACTACTGACCTCTCCAACAATTATGATAACAAAAGTAGAGAGACAGCAGTACAAAAGAATCTCCGTTTTCATGATCCGATTTTCATAGTTTTGACATGGACTAACCCAGCATGTAGTACTCATTTGCATCTGGTACATAAAGTGATTCATATTATTGCGTGTTAGATACATAACATAAATACTATAAAATGCATGTTCCGTTGAACTCACCTTCGCCCACGGGATATCCAGTATGAGTCGGCAAGAAAAATTCCTATGCAAGAAGAATAACGTATACATGTACTATTTCGATGGATTATTACAGCATCTTGTTCTCGGCAAACAATTATCCTGATAAGCTCACCTTGCCCCCAACGCCCCACACATACAAGGTCGTGGAGCAAAGTTGGAAGGGCTTGCTCATTAGCGATTCCTTTGTGTAACACTCTGCTCCTTCTTTGTTGCTAAATGGCGAAAATACTTCTTTGGCTGGAATTCCCGGAGGCGTCTTGCAAGTATACACGACGAAGTGATGTGTGTGCTAAAATAGAGTATATATGTATATTTATGCACAATTACATTGTAGAATGTACAAAATGAACGGCTAGATAGATTACTTACTTTTGCTGCCAATGGACCTACAAGTAGTGGACGAAACTAAATATTTAAAATAAGTAAGTCAGGTATATAATTGATGTTGCTTATCAAATGAATTTTGTTGTAAATAATTGTTTCACTGACCCCAACAACATGGTTTTTCTTTTTGAACTGTGGTGAACTGTATCAAGTTTAGATCAGTGTCAATTTTATGATTGATTTTGGTAAAGATCTGAAATTTTGTTGAATATCTTATATTCAATTTTATGTACCTGTGAATACTGCACCAATAACTAAAGCTCTTTTCAGGCGCCGGCATTGCTTGATTGACCGTCAACTTCCAACTCTTGAAACTGGAAACGTCGACGGCAGGATATGGTGGATCTAATGGGTTGACAGCCACGCTCCCACGCACTCCCATGTGATATGACATGCCATCGTTGGGTCCGAATGCCCAAATAAAATTGACCGTATCATTCTAAAATTGATATATATGAATGTATTAATTTGCCCCCGAGTTTGATTATTTTTTTCTATAGAATAAATTGTAGTACAGTGATTGCCACATCGTCAGGATCACACGGGTCGAGTGCTCGCTTGAATCGGAGGGATGTATGGGTTGAATTTTCAAATGCGCTCAGCAATTCCCAATTCTGGACCTGATCCAAAACAGGTACCGTTGGCCCGACCCCATGATAATCCTGTTGTGTCATCAAATCCCAAAAAATTTTACAGATCCGGGATCATCGAGAAGCAAGATAAAAAACAAAGCGTGCGAATCAGAACACATTTTTAGCCGTATGAGTCAGAGAATAATGCATGTTTTGTGTTCAATGTTGAAGGACACAATGTCGCCGCCAAGAAGTCGATACGCTTATCGATACTACATACTAATTGCATTAAAGGATAAATTCCACATTCATTCTGGCATTGATACATTGGTGCAAAAAATCTTAATTGTGCAATTTACCGCAAAATAAGATTGGCCAGTCGAATCGATTCCGCCTAATGACAATTTGCATTCATATATTATTATATTTTTAATTGACAAATTAAGATTTCTATTTTATGTATCAATTTATCACCGATTATTAAGTCAGATCCAGTCATTCCCCCACCGGGAGAGAGACCAAACCCCACGAAGCCAGTCGTTTGGCAAGTCACTTGGAAAGTTATCGTCTCATTAGCTAAATCTGTCTCCCATTCTACTATAAATTTCCCTTCGGGTTCCAAAACCTCACGTTGTTTATTGAGAGGAGTTAACACAGGTTTGCCTTTGTGTGGCTCAACATTATGTAACTTTACATTCGTGTCGCCAAGCACGTGGTGACATATGCAAAGTAAACAAAGAAATGTTCCTAAACTAAAATAGAAATTCACTTGCATCTTGTAAATACTTTTACTTGCCAAAGCACAGCAAGTCTCTTGGTTTCTCACGTCCAACTAACAAACCGCAACTAAACTGTCGACGCTTATGCATGCAGTCTTTCCAGCCTCATTATCACATTTAATATGTGTTTCTTTCTGCAGTAATAAACTGCAGGTACTACTAGGATCTAGTAGGCATATACTACGACATACGTGAAGTTGGCAATGATCATACCTCAAGCGTTAAGGCACGCTATCCAAATAACTAGCTTGCCCATCCAGCGTGCAAAAAATTGCAGTGTTATTACATACCTATGAAAGATTGCGAACAATTCGCAATCAGCTTACCCTAAAAGTTAAACTAATCTTGATTTTGCCATCTTCTCCAGTTCTGCGAATCACGCTTAAGAATAATCAACAAAAAACTGTGAAAACCCAATGCCACAAGCGAAGAAGACAAGTTGTGGTCGGCTACCAAATAAGTATGCAGTAGTGTCGTAGTATCCATCCATTAGATTTTATGCACATCAATGGATCAGCAACCGCAGTAACTTTAACACTTATGCCTATATGGATTTCCATCTAAATTGTTATTTCTCTGGACGTAACCAAATCGCATTTTTCGTTTGTTTTTCTCATATTCTTTCTTGGTAAAGGTAATTTCCAATCCAGTTGCTGTAAATTAAGTGAATTTTCTACCACAAGTTTGAGGTTCGTTTAATTATAAATTTTTGTACATAGTAAAACTATTGTATGCTAAAGACAGACAAATAAGTATTTTTTAAAGTCATTATTTACTCACGTCATAAGGACTCAAAGCTCCTCCTTACATAGCCTCAGATTATTTTTCCTTTGTCATTCTCATAAGCAAAATTGCATCGGATTCCATGAAACCAAAGGTGTTTTTGCTCAATTACGAGCGACAACATTTTGTGCAAATGAATATGTAACCAGATCAAACTGGTCAGCTCGTCGTAATATGTATACGTCATTGTGCTTCATTTGCAGATGCCCACGTATGAGCTGTTTTTCACAAGAATTGTGAATTTATTCTCGACTGACTGATCCTTAGGGAATTCCTTCATTTATCTCTTCGGACTCATCTTATTCGGTACTCCGAAATTTCCAATTTGTCAAATCCGACTGAGCCAGCTTATTTATCAGCATCACTTTTTTTATTGCAATTTTTTCAATTCCTATTGTCAACAACCAGCTCAAGAAGAGACAACATACATTAAAGTGATGCTACATAGCACGTGTATGCGTGTGTGTATGTATTTTTAACACACCTTCCGATTTGATGAGTGATCTTATAACCTTGGGTAAATGTTTAGTACAGGAAGTATGGTTTCACAACATTGCAACGCAAGATTTCTACTACTTTATATGTACATGGATGTAGTTTATGACAGTAAAACTGATGAGAATTTGCAGACATTAATTCCAAGTTTTGCGAAAAAATCTTACGTCACGATTGTTCTGTCATTTTCTGCAAGTACTCCACTACTACTTTGTTAGAAGGGTTACGTGACAGGTCAGCCAATTCAGGTACTAAATATACATGCATGTGGTGTTCTACACATTATCGCACCATTACAATTACCTCCACTTTTTATTTCCAGAAGTGCAGCCAGACATTGTACTTATTGTCATTAAATAATAATCGTAGTTATATAGGTCTCGCCAGTACTGCACAATAAGAACGTATTTACTCTCTAAATACTCGCTGTTCGAGGATAAATCTGTATTCCTTAACCCCACTCGATTATTATTTAATGCATGCAAAAGCGACCTTAAAAGACATGGCTCAGCGAGGCATGGAAGGATCCTTGTTCCTTTTCACATTATTCCTCATTATCTGCACCTCCCAAAAGAACTTGTGTCGAACTTAACACGCTTGTTTCATAAAATCCACAACGCCATTGTTTATTTTTTAGTACCGAGTATGTAAGTACGAGACAATCTGGTTTTGATTTAATGAAAGGGTCCATAATACGGTAATTGATATCAGTACGTGATTATGACCATGAAGGTTATTTATTTCACACTATATTGCAGTAAAGGATGTGCAAATAATAGGCTTTTCTTGTTCTCCTCCTCCCTGGAGCAATTTCTTTGTGCTTCAGCGACGTTGTCTAATTTATTTAAAGTTTTGTAATTGAGCTGGCACGCGTTCTTCCACAACATTTTTTTAAAGCACGGAACATTAAAAACAGCAAAAGTGCTAAAATTAGAATATTTATTTCTTGCCGCATTGGTTAAAATTAGATTCATTAAAATCAAGTAAGGATTGATATTAACAGGAGGTTGTATTAGAACTTGCATAATATGACCAACTTGAAATATGAGTACTAATAATAAAGGTCAAATGATGGTGAAAGGAGACACGACGCAGGAACAAAAATAGGTTCAAGAAATAGAAAGAGCCAAGTTCATGGGAGCGTATTTTTAAATCGTTACACCTTGCGCAATAACGTCCCACAGAGTTAAGATGCATATCACTTGTTCATAATGAATCAAATTTAAGTGTCAGAAAATCAACAACTGCGATTATGTAACATGTGAATAACTTTATTGCATTAGATGTTGTCGCAGACTTGTTAGACATTTATCATAACCAAATGCGTGACGAATCAAATGGGGATATTTCGACTTTGTTAAATGGTTCATTCTAAAAACTGTAGCGTTTTATGTGCTATTATGCAATCTAGAAAGTCTAGCTTTTTGCATCCGGCCGAAACAATGCCCGTAGGTTCTGATACTACACATGGAATATGCTTAATGGAAGAATTATATGTTAATGGGGAAACTAATTGATATTTTCAATGTTAAAAATTAATTTTAAAAATTACCACTCGAGTGCAAAATTGTATTAATTTGCAACAAAAGAGGTCAAGAGAGTCATTGCATACATATATGGAATATGGATGTAGATTAAATCATGTCACTTGGGAACTTAATTACAGCCTGATACATACATAAATATGTAGAAATTTTACGACATTTATTATGATTCTCGTATTCTGGTATGAATTTTTAAATTGTTGAATGTTTTAATAAGTTGATAATTAAGTATGTATGTACGTACGTATTATTACCTCAAAAGAATTTGCGAATGGCAAAGCGCTCGTGTCTGTATCGACAAGTGTTTCTTGAACCGTGTGAGACTTGTTTCATTCTGTTTTTGCTCGCGACGCAAACCTTTTCGCACTTGGTCTCAACCCAAGAATTCTGCCATAATTTTTTCACAGATTACATGCTACGCTTAGCGCAACTTACAGATTACAGGGGAGTTGAGGCCTGCTGTTTATTTCCAATTCATGACTACCGTAAAAACTCAAATAGTAGCCCTTGCTCAAATAGTAGCCGTGCCCTAATAGTAGCCGTGCCTGTTTTCATAATTTTATAAATAGTGACCTTGCTCAAATAGTAGCCCTGCCCAAATAGTAGCCTTATTCCAATTATAGAGGTTCGTCAATTTCCAATGTACATACCTACAACCAGACATCTCCTAGCAAGCTCATTTAAGTAATTAAATCACAATTCAATTTAATCTCAGGTATACAAAATCGAATTGAACACGAAATTCGGCTCATCGGAGAAATTATTAAAATTAAGAGCAGGCCTAACCTATAGAATTGTCATCCAATACAAATCTAAGGGAGAATTTGGTGCTGTTATTAAAATTTAATTTGAGTTTGATTCTGGAAACAAAATTACACTAGCTGTTTGCTAATAGTAGCCGTGCATTTTTTCGTAATTTTATAAATAGTGACCGTGCCCAAATAGTAGCCTTGCTCAAATAGTAGCCCGGTCCCTGCCACTGATTTTTTAAATAGTAGCCCCCGGCTACTATTTGAGTTTTTACGGTAACTAATAATGCCTATATAACCATTGATTATTTGGGTTTGGAACGGGTTTATGAAGCGGCAATGTCACGATAAAATTTATTACGAGTCTAAATTTGGAAACTTATTTATCTTTTCTTAACCTTCTAATTTAGCAGATTGTTCATATCAATTGAAAATGAAATTCCTTTCCACCTGTCTCAAGTGGACTGGTTAATTTTGCTAAAATTTTCAGATCTTTAACTTTTCACCCTTGCAATAAATTCGGTGTCTCGTACACACATCACGAAAATACTCGAGCGTCCAGTTCTGAGCTAAGATTTGTGTGTGTATTTAAGCTTTAGTGATAATAAGCACATTCCTGTGGAACAAAGTACGACATTTCTTCCCAAATTTTCCACTTCGAAGACAAATCATGCTCTTAAGAATTGGCGTATGCCGTAAAGTGCGTAGTTTCACAAAGTATTGATGTTATAATAATGTAAATCTACATGCATTTAAGTGTATAAAAGGTCTCAATCACTTGTATTTTGTCTTAATTGACATATGTATGAATGTAGACGTGTGGCGTGGCGTTTGGCTCGGGTCCACATTTTTTAGACCAGCGTTTACACATGAACGCATGGAAATTGTATTTATTTATTTATGGTATGAGAAGCGCAAGTTGAATGAGTAATGTAGAAATTAGTGCCAAGTTTGTCACAATAATCAAAAACTTTATTTAAAATTTTCATAATCAACCGTTCATTCCGGGTTAAATACAATTGTACCATTTTTTAACTCTAACAAAGCTGTGTAAGTTTAAAACTAATGCTTAATATTCGCACTTGTCAATTATTATTAATAAAGTATAGAGGTGGTAATAGTATTGCTATTAATATACTCGAAAATAAAAAATAAATGTTTGTTATGATCATAAATTATATTAAACACAAGTCGTCCCATGAGCTCTCAAGTATTTACCTCCGCTAAAGTTACTAACCGACGACGTGACAACTTAATATTAAGAGTTGCGAGTAAAAACATACTTCCCTAATCAAACTGAGATGAAACAAAAACAAATAAATATGCAATATTCTAAACGGCCCATATTTCTTCATCATTTGTACGAACCAGCCATACACGCTCTTATTCAAGTCGGTTTTGTAAGGCTTGCTGAGGTTACTACGTAAAATGCAACATGTAAATATTTAGATTAAGATAGATTCTTTGACCTGAAATATTTTTTTGTGCTATTTCATTCTTTCTGTTCATCAACCTCAAAAATTTTTGCAAACCCTATTCTTAAAACGAGGTGCTAACCAAAGGAAACCAGTCAAGCAGCAAAAACTCTATTTGATGATGTGGTTGCTTCCGGTAGATGTTTGTGCTTTCACTTAAAGAATTTCTCTGAGACCATAAACGTAAAAGTAAAGAAAGCGTACATCAAATATGCATATCATTACTCTGGAAAATGACGGGGGTACTAATCCTAAGGAGTAGGAAAATCTGTCAATCGGACGAGGTGTTTACAAATGAACCCGTCATTGTTCTTCTTTTCCACCTTTTTCAAGAAAAATACAATCACTTCCATCACCGAAGTCCAGTCCAGGGTTTCCTCGTCTACAATGAGTACAATTTTGAAATGGAACTAGGTTTTCAATGTTACATACATTTGATAGATTCATTGAGACAATACTGGTTAAATTACCATGTGTCAAAACAAACTCTTTACTGCCCCGACGGAGTGTGATGTAGGTTGAATCTGGAATAGTTGCAAAAAGTGGAAATTAAATTTAATGGATGAAAAGAATGCGGGAGCAGTTTGTTACTCAAGGGCTATTGGCCCATATATGAAATTTTACGATGGGTTGCGATCAGTTTAATGAAAGAAAGTTATATTTTATGGAGTCGTATTTTTAAAAGGAAGAGAACTCTAAGAATGCTAAATGAGATTAAGGAAAGTGGATCTGTTTGTGCTCTCGATTTATTGGCTTACCCTTGGATTTCTTTTCGATCTGCTCCCAAATCTGATCCTCGTTAAATAGATCTGGATCTTCCTTCAATAGCACTTGCACTATCTCGCTCATGAATTTCTTATGCAACGCACCCGTCATGGAAGGATCATACTTTTTGAACTGCAGCTCCAAAACTAAAGCATCAATGCAAATATGTACCATATTTGGTAAAGTAATGTAAAGATTTAAAAAAAATATGGCTTACATTTCCTTGCTTGTCGACGAATTTTGTTTTCCTACAATACAAGAAGATATTTGTTGTAGATACTTAATCATGATTTAGTTATTCTTTAATAAGAAAATTACAAATTTACCATCTTAAATAACTGATTTTACGGCACAGGGGAATTTGATAAATTGTCAAAGCCAAATGTCGAGTATTATTTGAAACGTGAGATATTTTTTAGATTGTGTATAAAGTTGGTAGTGGTTCCAAGAAGATGTTGGGATATTTATGCAAAAGACAACTGTACGCGTATTTTGAGAAAAAACCCTTAATCCAAAGACCAGGAAAAGAAGAATACTACAAGTGCATGATTAGGTCTGGTCTTTTATCTAATTTCAAACTCCGAAATGCCTAAAGCGCCCAAGTTCATGTAGGTCTGCCACACCAACATTTTTGGATTGTTTTTGTTTTACATTAGTACGGTACGGCACAACACTTTTACAGATTACCCTAATCTACTTTAGCGACATGATTTCCCAAATAATAAACTTCAGCTAATCCAGTATGGATGGAGGGATCACTCATGCTTCAACACATCCAGGGCGACTACATCTTTGGTTGATGTAGTCTGGTCGTGCTGAAGTACATAAGTATGTATGTACATAAGTAATAAGGAACCCCCAGTAGTAGTGGCGTGTACATGAGCACATGAGATGCAAATTCTCAAAGTACAATTGCGAGCAGGGAAAAGTTGGGGTTATCGCATCAAAGAGAAAAATTCCTGTTCCGGTTGGTACGTAAAAAAAACTTTGTATGTTGTACTATTAACTATCTGACTTTTTATCTGAATTTCAGTGATGAGGTGCTTCCTCAGCAGAGAGAGCTTATCCTCCTCAGCAGTTGAGTGGTTTTGGCCTGTTTCGGATAAACGATAAACAAAAACTCTTGGTTTTCGCGTCTACATACACAACTGAGTGGATTTCGCTTAAAAATGTACTCTGGCGCACACGCGTCGAACATAGTTCGTCGCAGACATTGAGAATATTTTGTTTTCATGTGATGAAATTTCACTGAAAGTTTACTTTCAAAATTTATGGCAATCCTTCCATGAGGTCTGCGGAGATCATGATTTCAAGTTCGCATTAACTACGTTAACGACGAATTTAATAGCGTTATTTAAATCGAATCAAGCGTATTACCCGCTTTGGTAATGCATTTGTTTGATAATGGGGTATTGATTTAAATCGCTTTATCCGTTGTTAAATGACCCCGTTATCGAGGCCACAAAGAAATTAAATTCCACAAAGAAATGCATATAATTATTTTGAACTTTTCTGCTACACACGTACATAATGTACAAGTAAATAGTTTGCAAAAGCAGGGAATAAAATGGCAATTCCTGAGTGCATGTCGAGCACGACTGATTTATTTTTGGGCTAACTCTAGTTTGTTTTTAAATACGGCAGAGTGTCAAAGCCAACTACATACATTTCAGTAGACAATCTACACCATCACTACTTAATGTCTGATACTACTGGTCGGATTAATTGAGTGCAACGCATTCCAGTTCAGGCCCTAATTTCTATTTTTGAAATTTGATAAAGCAGGTGATTGTGAGATTGTGTAATAAAATGTTGGAGTCACTAATTTAATCTAAAATAACAAATCGTTCTGACGCAGACTTACACACAAGTATTTAAATCTAAAGTTCTTGTGATGCTAAATATGTTTTGTTTAAACTGCACTTAAAGTGGCCTGAATTTAAGAATGCGTAATGGAGCACGCAGTAAATTCATGTAAATGACGCATAACATTTGTGCATCGTCTCATATTTCAGGTCCTCATTTGATCTGATTAACTGATACTGCACCGCATCCCATTAAAAAGTTTAACTTTGGTTCAATGTGCATAATAATTTAATCTAATCGTAAACCAATTAATATATGCACTATATTTAGTTGAAAATATCTCATTCTATCCTAAGTAGATATTTGGTTCTGCTGAATACTGTTTTGAATCGGAACGATTGGTTAACAAAAGTGCAATTGAGACTTCTGGTTTTAATGCTTTTTCTTTATAACCTATTACTACTATTTTGACGTAATTTATATGGTTTGCAAAGAGTACAACAATATGTAGAACAATAACGTTGTTACACGTCCGATAAGCTCAGAATGAACCAGATTAGAGATTTATAGATGACGATAAGGGGATTAAACTTAGCCTAAGCATTTTTTGCGGTTATAACCGCAAGAAAACGATGACTTACAACTTAGAGTCATTTGTACTTGTCGTCTATAACCCGTTTATTTTCCGGAACCAGGATTATCATGTAACCAGACTTGCGAAAATTTACGATGCCTTTTAAAACATCCAATACATGGATAGTATCCGGAACTAAATACTTACTTGTAGTACTATTCCCTCGTTTCATAAAACGGAGATTGATTTGTATCATTTTTTGTGTTTTTACGCTGATGCTAGGATGGAAGGAGAACATGCGTAATATATATGGCAAATCACTTAATTGTATGATTGACTCTAAAAGGTGGAATAAAGACGGCTTTCGAGAACATTCTAAAGTTCATGATTAAATGTTGACCAGATTAACCTTTCTGTCAAAGTTCACATACGCATTACCTAATACTATAAAGTCCAGAAACAGTCCCATAAAAAGAGCAGCTGTTGGGTCTCTCAAAATGTTTTCATGCATCAATTTAAATCTAACTTTACGTCTGTCTCTGTTTGTAACTGTAATAAGAAAAATACTAATATATGGGATTTCACATCAAAAATTATTTCAGTTTTAAAACCGAATCGCAGTTCACGAAAATACACATATACATCTATTTTTGGCGTACGATATGCATATTTGTGTTGGGTCAGACGTGAAAAACTACCCGTCGTTCACCGTACCACGAAAATGAAGTGAAGGGTGGAAGGAAAAGATAACTAAACTTTAATTGAGAAGAGAATTTAACGTGAACTAAGTTAGCAATAACTTTTGTTGACACCTCACAGGGATTTACTCATTTACTCAAAACTATTTATTGCAACAATTAAATTGATCACACTCAAGAAATTAATTATAAAGATCAATTATCAAAAACTTGTTCATTCTCTCTCACTCTCAGCAACAAGACTAAATTTATAACAAAGAAAAAATGCCAATCACTCTCTTTCTCGCACGTAGGCTTTAGACCGGCACATACAAAATTATTGGGAAATATGAGAAACACATACATACTAAAATAACCAAATTCCACATTCTCCCACATCTTTCATGAATGAATTACTAATTATGAATGAAAGAACACATTAACTAAATTCACTTTTACTCATTCCACTTCCCATAACGCACTGGTCTTATTACTCGGCGTCCAAACTTGGTAGTAACTTCCGGTTGATCTTGACTCGTGTTGTCTTCCGGATCTTCTTCAGTCTCATCGACTTCTTCTTGATAGCTCTTCTCTTTCACTGGTGGTCGACGATCGGTTCGGTCGGAGTCTCCATGGGGCACCTCCAAAGGATAGAGACGCTGTACTGGGCGGCGTAAAAGTCCTTTACTGGTCTGGACAATAGCTGATCTGCATTCGCCGTCCTTCCCTTTGAACAACTCCACTATTTTTCCCAGGGGCCACTCCCATCTCTTCTTATTGTCCGCACCGACAAGAACGATGTCTCCGATCTTCGGGTCTGGCGTCTTCTTCTCGCTAGCCCTTTGCACCAGCTCAGCCAAATATTCTTTTCTGAATCTTGTTTGTAGCTGCAGTTGTAATTTCTTTATTTGTTTGAATCTGATCTGCAGCTCTCTTCCCGTCATGAACTCAACTTCTGGGAATCGTGACATCTTAGTCCCCTTCAAAAACATAGCTGGGGTCAGAGGGATCAGATCGTCACCGTCTTCATTCACTGTAGTGAGGGGCCATTCGTTAATAGTCGATGCGACGACAGCAAGGAAAGTCGCTAATTCATCTCTGGTCAACTTTGCCTTCTGCAGCATCCTCTTGAGCAAATCTTTAACGGATCTCACCAGACGTTCCCACCATCCTCCCCACCAGGCTGCGGTAGGAGGATTGAGGATCCATTGAATCATCTTCACATTGCACTGATTCTCGATCTTGGCCCAGTCCAACTTCTTAAATAAGTTGATCGCTCCCACAAAATTAGTCCCATTATCTGAATAAATTGTGGAGGGGCGTCCATGTGCATGAAGAAATCTCTCTAAACTGTTGAGGAAAGCTTCTGTGCTAAGAGATTCCACGATGTCCAACTCGACACAGCGGTACACTGCACATGTGTATAGCACAATCCAGCACTTCTTTCCGTCATTGAGGTAAAGCGGTCCCGCTAAATCGACGCCAGTGGTACTGAATACTTCGCCCACGGTGACACGCTTCTCTGGTAACGCCACTGGATTAACTTGAAAGGGTTTGGCATCAAATCTTCTACAATTGGCACATCCTCTGATTGCTTGAGTGACAGTTTTTCTAGCTTGTTGGATCCAGTATTTCTCCCTGAGTTTTCCAACCGTAAACTGCACTCCTCCGTGCCCGTGAAATCGATGCATCTCTCTGATGAGCTCCTGAACTAATTGACATTTTGCAGGTAGCAGCATCGGAAATCGGAATCCATCGCTGTCGTCGGAATATTCTAACTTGGTCCGGACATGCAGCAAATTGTCCTCCATCAAAATAACTCTTGGTTGCACTTTCTTCGCATCAGGAAAATATTGACGTTGTAATACACGGATGAGTATTACCTCTGCAAATCTGAGTTCGGGCAGCGTCACGAATTTAGGATAAGGTTTCTTGACTGCTCCTTTTCCCACGAACCTCAAAATATACGCCAATACTCTTAAATTCTTCTGATACGATGCAAACTTGGTGCTGAAAATGGGGGAGTCGTGTCTCGAGATTAAAGTCAGATTAGACTTCTTCTTCTCTTCTTGCACCAAAGCCTCGACGACACTTTCTTCTTTTATGGGGGGCCAAGCTTCTTTTGACAACTTCAACCATGCTGGTCCATCCCACCACTTCGAATTCAACAGCTCGGTCGGAGAACACCCACGAGACGGAAGGTCTGCCGGATTCTGCTTTCCGGGGCAATGTCTCCAGTCTTCTTTATTGGAATTCTTATTTATTTCCTTAATACGATTGCCCACAAAAGTATTCCATATCTCGTCTCGCCGAATCCACTGTAACGCTGTTGTTGAGTCACTCCAGAAGTAACTCTTCACATCTTCATATCCGAGGGCGTTGTTCACTGTATTTGCTAATCTTACACCAATCAAACATCCCATAAGTTCCAATCGAGGAATTGTTATTTTCTTGTTATTCTTCTTGGGATCTTCTTTCTTCATTGGCGCCACCCTGGACTTCGCCATCAATAGCTGGACACACACATTACTCTCTCTGGTCGATCTGGCAAACACCACTGCTGAATAAGCGTTCTGGCTGGCGTCTGTAAATGTGTGAAGCTCCAGGTCATCAATACTTCCTACTGCCCATCTTGGAATTCTGATCTTGCTTAATACTCGTGCCTCCTCGCACCACGTCTTCACTTTGTTGATGGCTTCTGTACCCCATAACTCATCCCATTTCAAATCTTGAGCCCACGCCTCCTGCAACATAATTTTCAATTGGAGCACGGTGGGGGAGGTGAAGCCGATCGGATCAAATACTTGAGATGCGATGGATAGCACGGTCCTCTTAGTTACGTTCAAGTCTTCTTTTCCCAAGTGGAGTGGAAGATCACAAAACATTTCATCCTTTGACTTGTCCCAATTATAGCCCAGCACCGACGTCACTTCTCGTTCCATCTTATCATCCGCGTTGGACTCCCATTCGCGAAGATCCATCTTAGCGTGGAGGAGAATTGCTGTTGACTCGGCTCTAAATTTCGTATATTGGCTAATTGATTCAAAGGAAGTCACACAATTGTCGACATACAGCGACCTCAAAAGTTCCATCCCTGTCTTCTTTTCTTCTTCTGGTAAATGCAGGAGATGAAATTCTAGAACAGCAGCAAGGATAAACGGGCTGCAGTTCATACCGAATACCACACGACAATGTTGATATTCTTGCACTACTTTGGCTTCAAAATCTTTCCACCACAAGAAACGTTGAAACTTCCGGTCCTCTTGGTTCACTCCAATCATCTGGAAAGCCTTACGGATGTCTGAAATGACTCCCACCTTCTTTGCCCGGAACCTGATAAGTATTTTCGGAATTATTTCCAGCAAATTTGGGCCTTTCTCGAGACATTGGTTCAATGACGGATAATTTCCAACTCTACACGACGCGTCGAAGACGGGTCGAACTGGTGTGGTCAGACTTTCTGGCTTAAAGACTGGCCGGTGAGGGAGATAATGTCCTGTGGGCTTTTCTTCTCGATCAAGACGCTCGATGATACCTTCTTTCTCCCAAGCCCGAAAAATGTTGTCGTAGTTTTCGAATTCACCTTTTGTCACGACTCTGGTCGAAGTGGATTCGAGTCTCTTCATAGCAACATTTCGATTGTCCGGGATTCTCATCGACTCGGTAAGCCACGGCAGTTTAACGACATATCGTCCATCCCTGTCCCGCTCCAAGTTCTTCTGAAATTCTTCTTTAACTTTTGCTTCATGCTCATCTTGAGTGGCTTTCTGTATTGTATCACTAATTCCAAGAGTGTCCAGATCCCATAAAGCTGATAATTCCTTGGTTCTGGTGCACATAACAATACTTCTGGCTGCCAAGGTCTGACTCTCCTGTTTCGGCAGCTCTTCATTCAGGTACCACCCAATGGTTGTTTCGGTTGCGATCACACTTGTATTCAATTTGACCATCTTTCCTGTTACAAGTCTTCCTATTAAATTGGAGCCGATCAGGATGTCAATGTTGTGAGAATCAACGTAAGTGTCTGTAAGGACAACATTCAGCTTTAGCAAATCTTTTATCCAAGGGCCAACGGGAATTGGAGCACAGTCGCCACAAATTGTCCTTGCACTAAAAAGTGGTACTTCCTCCGTCTTCTTTAGCATATTCTTCCCTGCAGGTAGGCCTTCTAACTTCACGTTGTACTGCTTTCTCTCGCACACATCATATCCACCTCCAAATACTTCTGTTGTGAAGACTTTCTTCCCAATCGGAGTCAAATGAAGCTCTTCTGCAAATTCCTCTCTAATATAACTGATGTCACTCCCCGAGTCAATCAGTAATCTGGCTTCTCTGTACTGATTCTTGTTGCCAGAAACCTTAACCCTCATGGTTCCTCTGAGGACGACCTTATCTTCATTAGTAGAGGTCTTCATTGCTACGGTGGGCTGAATATTGGTCATTGTTTTAACCCCATCAGTGACCGCCTCTTCTTCTTTTGATTGCTTATGGCTGCACATCACTTGATGATGAAGTTTCTCGCAAATGAAACACTTCACTTTTCCTTTGCATTTGCTTGCAACATGATTTCTCTTCAAGCACTTGAAGCAAGCTCTTTGTTCTTTAATCTTCTCATTTTACTCATCCATCGACATCTTTCTTGCTTTATAGCACTCTGGGCTATTGTGTCCCGTCTTATCACAAAATATGCACGAATTGGACTTGTCGGAAGTGAATAGTGCAGCCGCTGTTGCAGGTGACTCGGATCCTCCCAGTTTCTTTGGATCTCGTTGACCTTTCTTGCTTAATTTATCCGGGAGTACATTTACACCGAAACCATCTCTTGCCAAATTAATTTGTTGCTCGCTCCGCACTTGCGTCTCACAGAACTCCACCAATAATGACAGCTTTGTTTTCGGTGGGTCCATTAAACTTCCGTCCTGTCGGGACATCGGGTTCCTCTGCCAGGCGCGTAACACTTCCTCAGGTAAACTAGATTCTACCATGGGGAACAAGAATGTCTCAGGGCTTGCATTTCCAATATTCAGCGATTGCAACGCCCGTAGATGAGTCTTCAGTTGCAAGACGAGCTTCGATAACGGGAACTTTTCCTTGTTAGTCACATTCTTGATAATAAGTCCCAAGAGCTCTCTCACATAAACTTGAATCTGGAGGTCATCTCTTCCATACTGTTCCTTTAGTGCCTCCACTGCTAAAGGATAATTCTTGTCGGTGGGTGGAAATCCGTCTACTATTTCTGCTGCCTCTGTTCCTTCGGTCATCGACTGTCGTAAGTACTGGAACTTCACACTGGAATGCAGCCCTTCATCGTCGTGGATTTGTCTAAAGTACGACCACCAACCTAACCAGTCCTTAAGCGCCCCACTAAACTTTTTGATTTCTATTTTAGGCAACTTATAGGTTCTGTTCTTTTCACTAATTTTGTTCTCATCGTTGTCAGATGAACTGGACTTTGCATCACTATCATGTCCATTCTTCTTCATCCAACCTCTGATTTTCACCATGCCCAGCTTGATCTTGTCTTCATATTCTGCAGCACAATCCGTCTCTGCGTTGACTAATTCCTCATCGTGCTCACCAGCAATCATGGAGTCGAGATACTCGTTGTCTAAGGCACCAATGGTCACTTTGAGATCATCTAGGGTCTCCTTATGGCAAGTAAGCTTCTCCAGTGAAGCCTCCTCTTTCGCCAGCTCGTTCTCGAGGTCTTGAAGCAACTTAGTGACCCTCCTTCTGACGGCGGTCCTCTTCTTCTTAATTTTATCCATGGCGGAGATTCTATTGAATTAGCAAATTCGACAAAGAGCACAAATTAGAATAATCCACGTGACTTAGATCACTGAACGGTACGACCTGAACTACCCCCGAATGCTCAGGGTAGGGCCCACAAAGTGGCAATTCCGAATCCAAAAATGATCCAGGTCTCTAGCGCCAAATCCTCTGCGGTCGTCGTCACCTCTGCACGGCTTAACTGATTTCTTCTGATCCCTCCACGGATCACGTCGAGGTCACCAAAATGTTGGGTCAGACGTGAAAAACTACCCGTCGTTCACCGTACCACGAAAATGAAGTGAAGGGTGGAAGGAAAAGATAACTAAACTTTAATTGAGAAGAGAATTTAACGTGAACTAAGTTAGCAATAACTTTTGTTGACACCTCACAGGGATTTACTCATTTACTCAAAACTATTTATTGCAACAATTAAATTGATCACACTCAAGAAATTAATTATAAAGATCAATTATCAAAAACTTGTTCATTCTCTCTCACTCTCAGCAACAAGACTAAATTTATAACAAAGAAAAAATGCCAATCACTCTCTTTCTCGCACGTAGGCTTTAGACCGGCACATACAAAATTATTTGGAAATATGAGAAACACATACATACTAAAATAACCAAATTCCACATTTGTATGTATGTAAATATCCCATTCATTGCTTGCTGTACAGTTTCAAAGGACAAGGAATTGTGATTTTTTTCTATAATCGTGTGGTACAGTCATTACCTTGATCTTCCTTTTTGGCCATGTTGTTTATGATATTTCCGGTTTAGAGAATAAATTGCAGTTTTAGAATAACAGTCAGTATGTTGACAGAGATGTACAGTTTATTAGTTTCTGTAAGAAAACACTATTTTTCGCTAAAATAAACAGTATGCAGATAGTTTATCTTTGAAAAATTTCCGGCATCCAGTATCGTAAAAAACATTTCTCGATAAGTGAGCTTTGTCTGATTTATTTCTTGCAGAAAAAATTCGGTACGGATGACTACTTTCGAACCTGGACCTGCTTTCATTTTATCGAAATTTTCCTCAAAGCTTGAATAAAATAAATACCCAGAAAATAACTTTGAATCATGAACTTCACTAAAGTTATCTAGTGAAATTTCTTATTTGCTAAGTGTGAAACACTTTGCAGCGGGAGCTGATAAATCAACAAAAATTGAATGACAGGCAATAACGGGCTGCATGAAAAATCATACAAATTTTTTAAATAGCAACATTTTTGGTGGAAGGATTCCTCTCCAAGCAAGGTAACATGTCTCCAATTTCAACTTAGAAGGTGTTGAAATATGCAATAGTTATATACAAATCTTAAAATCGTTGACTTGACATTGACGACTGTGTTCAACGACAAGATTGGCAGTCGTCTAATTATACTCGTCGCTTACCCACTCTCCTAATGTCACTTACACTTTGGTGTACTACATAGAAAAAAATGGAGGCTCAATGTTACCCACTCTTTACCCGCACCGTCGCACACGATCTGCAAAACGGTGGTATTGCTCAAACAAATACGGAATTGTTTTTTAAATTGGATTAAAATAGCTTAGCGTAGGTGGCGAATGCATTAAATAGGTCTGGGTACAGGAAATAAACATGGTGACATTTTTACTGCTCTTCGCTGGCGACAATAAGTTCATATCAGAAACCAAAGTATTTAATTCGTGCTCTGATTTGTAAACTAGGTTATTGCATATTCTTTTACGTTTCCCGTTTTAAATCTCTGATACATATTCTCGGCTGGCAAAAGTAACCCAGAAATTCCAAATATAATTGCTCTTTTAAGGAAGGAGGTTCGATTGAATGTGACAGTAAGTACGGAGTACGGCGTTCGTAATTTTAGGAATATGCATATTATCTGAAAATAGCAGTTCAATTAAAGGAGAAGGTTATCATCCATCTGCGAAGCTGTAAATTATTCCTGACCTGTTTTAAAGAATGAAAGAATGTGTGAACCAGACGGTGCTACATTTAATCAAAAATTAGTTCTATATTTTAAACGTGGAATGTCATGCGTTACGTAAGCCAGGGGACTGCGAGGAAAAAAAGTCAATTAGCTCGGCGGAATAATTAGAATGATTTATGGGATTCAGGATGCATGGCTGCCTACTTTCTTTGAACCAAGTTGGAAATGAAATGAACAAAGGATTTTGTGTTCATTTACAAGATCAGCAGCAACTATGGCTGGGCATACATATGAATGCGTGCTGGCTGCATATGCTGCCTTTCTCCACTCATTATGTTCGTTTTTTTAGCATTCTTGCAAACACTTCCATGAAGATTTCAACTGCTCATGATTCTTACGCTGGCATTTCAATGAAGAAACTAACAAAAAAGTTGGAGTCAAATTCTTCGATACGCACTATACGAGCACCTTTCACAGATATTTTATTTAACATTGACTTCGGAAACCTTTGCAGTCAGGAACAATGAATCTTTACAAAATTACTCACTACTAGATATACATTTATAAATAACCAATGACCGTGAATGCTTAATTTGTTGGTATCGTGAAACAAATAGAAGAATCATTAGTTGCACACTCTGCTACTATCATTTGGTTCATTTCTTGTAAATTTTGACAACGAAGGACCTGTGGCACCGATGCTTTACTTATGCAATTTATCACATCGAAGGATATTTGTTCGAGGTTCGAATTGCATCATCATCATTTAATTTTATTGTCATTCCATTTAACTTTGTAGACTACGGGAAAAAAGGAGATGCACAAAATAATGGTGGAAATGGTCAAATTAAATAACGCTGTATTCTTATATGCTAGTCAGCGTATCCTAGAACTTGAATGATTTCCAATTTTCCTTACCCGATCTTTCCTGCAATCGCATTCTCAGCAGCAGCGTCCCATTGTTTATTTTGGGAAAGTGTGCATGCTTGGTACTTTTAATTACACCTCTTACAGGCTCTGAATATATGTATGCGTACATAAATCAACACCAATCTTGAAAGATTGCATCAGCAGCCAAGTTATCAATGCCAACTTGAGACATGGCTTGATTTGATATGTTTGATTCAGATTCAAGTTCAAGTACAAAGTATAATGTTTTTGAGAAAATGAAGTTGTTCAGTCCCACAGACATACGTGATTAGTGACTGCTCCAAGTTCAAGATAAGGTCGTCTGATATCGATAAGAATATCTGTAATCTAAATAAATTTTCTTTCTACATAAGCGGTTGTGCAGTAAGAGTGCAGCTGTCACACATCATATTTGTTCATAATTTCTTCTCCTAAAATACATTTATTAGCACATTTGAACACTAATATCCCCTCAAAATAAAAATGAAATATTGCAGCACCCGGGGTGGTGTGAAGGGTGTGCCATTTAGGCAAGCTCTATTTTCAGGCTACGCACTTGATGGAGGTTTATTTGTCCCCGAAATTGTCCCGAAATTGTCTCCGGATACTATATCCGAGTGGGTGAAAGCTAAGCTATCCTACCCAAAAATTGTTTATGAGATTGTTCGTCGTTTCGTTTCTGAGGAAGAGCTTCCAAATGATGCATTGGCAAAGTGCATAGAAAATGCGTACAATACGGGCAAATTTGACACATTGTCGGTTGTCGGAATGAAAAACTGCAACACGAGGAGGACAGAAGAGGGATTTACAGTGGCCGAGCTATTTCATGGCCAGACGCAATCATTTAAGGACTACGCTCTATCACTTGTCGGCCAACTTATGCAATATTTTCTCAATAAACACAATGAGAAACTTATTGTTTTGGTATTATAAATATTTTTGCCAATTGGTCATCTCTAAACCGTCACAGAAGTGAATTATTTTTAAAATAAATGTTGTTTTAATGCGTGTAAAAACATTAGGTCGGCACATCTGGGGATACCGGAAGCGCTGCGATTAAATCAGTAGAAGGTCTAGAGGGAATTGACATCATTGTTTTGTACCCCGATGGAAAAATTTCTGCCGTTCAAGAACTTCAAATGACCTCATCACTAGCAAAGAACGTTCATGTATTTGCCGTAGAAGGCACTTCGGACGACTTGGATGTTCCAATTCGACAATGCTTCCCTGGAGAAGGAATTTGTTCCATTAATTCTATAAATTGGGCCAGAATAATGATTCAGGTGTGAAAATAGTGTGGCATGCATGACTTTGTCTTATAACAAGTGGTGTTCATCACTACTCCTAAGTCTGACTGTAAAATTTTAAATCGTGTTTCTACTTCTACGCAGATTGCTCACTTTGTCTACTTGTACATCCACGAAGGAGGAGAAGCGCTTGACATCTTTCTGCCAACCGGTGCCGCCGGAAATCTTGTTTCGGGTGTGATCTGCAATCTGATGGGATTTCCTATCAAGTTCTTTCCTGCCACAAATGAAAACGACAACGTTCATGCGTTCCTGAACAAAGGACAACTTCGGTTGGGTGGCACTATCATTTCCACTCCTGCAAATGCAATGGACATCAGGTGCGAGTAGTTTAAGCTATTATGTACAACATACGTACAGGGCGAAAATTGGGTGTGTGTTTTCATTTTTAATACAATGTGACTCTCATTCCCAGATACCCTTACAATCTGGAAAGGCTTATCTACCTTTTATCAAACTCACCAGAACTGACAGCCAAATATATGACAATTTGTGAGTCTGACTCTGAAAATGTAGCTGACATTGAAAAATCATTGTTGGACAAGATCAAAACCATCGTTCCCGAGTGTCAATTAGTGGAGACCAAACACATTCATGAAACTATTCAATGGGTCTGGAAAACTCAGAAATATATGGTACAAATCAAAATCATGCTAGTAATTGTTTATTTTTATCATAATTTTTATTTTCGTGGCGATTACTATTGTTTAAAGATATGTCCACACACTGCCACGGCTTTCTACCACCTGGACAAATCAGGTAAACTGACCAAGAATAAGGCCGTCGTCGTGTCGACAGCATCCCCCCAGAAATTCTCGGACGTGGTTTCTGCTGCAGGCATATCCTCTGCGGAGTGGAAGGGGGACGAACTTTGGACGAAGTTGAAGGCTGGTCCCCAAGTCGAACCAAACCGATCCATGAAAATGCAAAATCAGTCAGATTGGCTTAAAATTCTGCAGGAGGAGATTTCTAAAATACGATCAACACATTGAGCAAACAAATATATGTTTAACTATATTTTGTGTGCATTTTAAATTTAACTTTCATACAAAGAAAAGGAGTCATATAAAAGATAAATATGTTGATTAATTATGAATATGTTTCATTTCATTAAAGCTTGCATTTCAAATGTTTAAGACAACATTATTTTATTTAAGAATTGAGACTCTCATTTACAATATAGAGTAAGTCAATGGGTATTCTGAATGCGAAGAATGTCATTCCACGTCGTACCCCTGCCTGAGATTATTGATTTTTTCACTCAAGTTTGGTTTGTGACGTAAAAGTAACTCTCTGCCTTCAACGAGAAGCTGACTTTCTCCAACTTTCACTTTATGTAGGATTTAGCAGACTCACCCACCTCAATCCGACTGCCTCTGCCTCTCATAATTTGTTTACCTCTTTCCCACACGGCCTCACTCAAGGCCTCACTCAAATTTAAATTCCTTATTAAAATATTGCATAATATACTCTGCCGTGTGAAATAATTACAATGGTTCTAGCCAAGAAATTGCATTTCTTCATTATCCTTACTTCAGTCCACAGGCAGCAGTTCACTAAAACAATTTCCAGTGAAGGCTTTCCGTGAGTGAAGTAATAATCAGGTATTTACCTATGTATATTATTTTCTCTTCCAAATCCGAGAATATTCGAATTTCGAAAGTTTGATTTATAGAAATTCTCCATTTGTTTATTTAATTTTTATAAGTTTAGACATGATAGTAATATAATTCTAGCCATACAAATTTATTTTGTATACGCCTAAAATTTAACTGTCTCTGTGCAATAAAGCAGAATGCAGTATTATTTGACATCGTTTTGAACCATCTTTGCACAGTAGACTACCATAGTGAGTGAAGTAATGGAAATGGCAATTAACTCTTCTACTTGATGATAAAAGAGTTGGCCTTGAGCATGGATCAGTCGGTTAATATACATGCATAATTGATGGGTCCATCCTCCAGTTATTGCTGTGTAAAATGGTTCTGTTCATTTTTACTGGGATCAAACCAGTTTCCTTTGAACTTGCCAAGCACGTGGTGGGTTATCACAAATTATGCAATTTAGATTGTTCACTGCAATACTGTAAATTTGTGACCTATGTATGTACTAAATTTATTATTTCATTTTTTTGATCATCTGTTCTAGGAATTTCGTTTTCGTCGGGTCTTTACGAGAACGAGTGAAGATAAATAATATCCAAAAAGTAATATTCGGAATTGTTCGGACGTGCTGCAACTGGGAAAGAAAAGTTAAATATACAACTTTTGCCAAGACGTTGACATCTGTAAACAAGTCATAAGTGTGTCATGTATGAATGATTTGTGAGCTCTTCCAAATTAAAAATAAGAACATTTAACACTTTCAAAAAAACCTCGGTGTTTCAAATTTTAAACAAATAGCACACAGCTTGAAAGTCACCTTTTAAAAGCAATACTCTTTTTCTTCCATTGAAGAAAAACACACAGGAGGAAACGAATATATTATAATACTTATACATTTGGAACACTAAGTCAGTCAGTCAGTCATAACAAATGTTTAACTAAGTAATTTTGTGGTACATTATAGCTATTCAAGTAGGCTTAATCCAACCTCTATATGTAATTACATTAGCATTTAATTTGCGCAACAGTACACTAACCACTTAACAGTCAGTCAGTTATTCCAATTGCAAGAGTGATTTTAAACACATCAGTGTCGGTATCTCAAAAGTCCAGCGTCATAACTTAATACTCGGTACATTTTTTCCCAAAATGTAAGCTATTACTTTATACTGAACAAGAATTTGTTTAAAAGTCATTTAAAAATACTATATAACCCTAACATTTCTAAAGAATGGCGACACAATTGGCAGCACGTGAAGATACAGGCGTGAAGATGACCTCTGCTTCAGCAGCCCAAGAATTTTCGTAAGTCGTATGCAAATTAAATGTTGTAATACTTAAGTCAACTCTGGAGACCATACGTATGTAGCGAGCTAATCAGTTTTCGGGGTTTCCCAATAGAATGAACTTCCGTTATTTTCTCAGAGTAGGTGCCCCTGTTGATTTTTTTTTACTTGCGTATGGGTTTGTTGGCAGTGATCCACGCATTTTAAAAATAGACCGATTAAATAGGTTGCTGCAATTGTGATGTGATCTCATAGGGTGAAAGTCGAATACGATGCAAGTTCGTCGAGCGTCAAGATCTGTTTTACTATTGCATCCAATGTCTGGCTCTTGTCTGGTAGGGTTTAGCATAGTCACCTCGCTTTATAAGTTTACTACTTTGTCGTTTGAATATTTTACAAAATCTGCCGAGTCATTGTCGTTACTTAATTATTTAAAGACTAATATTTATTCGCACGTTGCGGGGGACGGAGGACTGATACCTCTTGTGTAAATCGAAAAAAAGTTGTAATGGCATTACAACTTTTACATTACAAAGGAGTAAAATTTGCAGGCGAGACAACTTTAACGATCCCCCATCCTGATATTAATTTCAGATTGGTTCCCAAGATCATAAATGGAGGTATTGCTGGAATCATAGGCGTGTCCTGCGTCTTTCCACTGGATTTAGTCAAAACCAGGTTGCAAAACCAACAGGTTGGTCCAAATGGAGAGAAAATGTACAGTTCCATGTATGTACACATATTAAATACTTTGAAGCATTTTCAAATTTATTTCAATGTCCAACACTACAACTTGTAATACTTTCTTAGGGTCGACTGTTTTAAGAAAACCTACAGGACTGAGGGATATTTTGGCATGTATCGAGGTTCTGGGGTTAACATTCTTCTTATTACACCAGAGAAGGCAATAAAACTTGCTGCAAATGATTACTTTCGACATCATCTCAAAACTAAGGATGGTCGACTTCCAGTGACTAGAGGTGAGGACAGGATGACATAAACTTAAATCTCTGGGACTTGTGGTTGAACTTTGAAAAATATCTTGTTTCTAGTATTTAGGAGCCTCTTATGTAAAACTTTTTTTGAAATAATTTTTTATAGAAATGTTAGCCGGAGGATCCGCTGGTTTTTGTCAAATTATTATTACAACCCCCATGGAATTATTAAAAATTCAATTGCAAGATGCTGGTCGAGTCGCTGCTCAGGCAAAATTAGCTCCAGCAACAGCAGGAGGAGGAGTTGCAGCACCCGTTCAAAAACTCTCTGGTTAGTTTATTTGTTTCCAAAGCAAGATAACCACTGCTATTTGATTTCTATTCATTCGCTTTATCGGTTACACAGATATTTTTTTATTGCCCTAATCAAACTTATGTTGCATTATTAGCGACAAGTATTGCGTTGGACCTAATCAAAACTAAAGGAATCACTGGATTGTATAAGGGAACTGGAGGTAAGAAAATATTACTTGATATAATGGGGACTAATGAGGTTTTCTTTACTATATTTTTTTTTGTCAATTCAGCTACAATGCTGCGTGATGTGTCATTCTCAGTTATTTATTTCCCATTGTTTGCAAATCTCAACAACTTGGGGCCGAGAAAGGTACATTAAAAAAGGTTTATCTTTATGTATATACGTACGTAGCTTACATATACGATTACTATATATTTACTTATATTTATGTGTATTTTATTTTCTTAACATGTTTTAGGCTGGCAAGTCGGATGAAGCAGTATTTTATTGGACATTCCTAAGGTACAGCTTAAAAACATATTAAGTTCGATACAAGTCAAAGTGCAAAATTAATTAATTTTGTCGGTTATCATTCATTCCTAAGTGGTATGGCTGCTGGATCTATCTCTGCAGCCGCAGTAAACCCATTTGATGTTGTCAAAACCAGACTTCAGCTATTGAAGAAGGCCAAAGGAGAGGCATCTTACGCAAACGTCCCAGACGCTTTTGTGTTAGTGTTTTTATAATCTTGCGTAATCCTTTATTTAATAGTCACATTATACGTAAAATTAAATTTTTGTGTTGCACAGGAAAATCATGAAACATGAGGGACCGTCTGCCTTCCTCAAGGTAAATAGGCATAAACTTAAACATAAATGTAAAACGAATGACGAGATACAAAATTACACATTACCATTGATAATTAATGTATCATCTTATTTTCTCAAGGGTGCTGCCTGTCGCATGATCGTCATCGCTCCTTTATTCGGAATTGCACAGGTTTATATATATTTAACTTACTTCCATAAGCCAGTACTTATCGAACCGTATTTGAACCTGATTTAATTTTTGTGTTTTACAGATGGTGTACTTCTTTGGCGTGGCAGAATTTCTTCTTGGGGTCAAAAAGTAGAACAAACTAGAACAATTCAATCACATTTAGATGTTTTACCAAAAAAATACAAAAAACTTGAAACATCCCACTAAACAGTTTAGTTTTACAAAATTAGCAACGCAACATAAACGCTAGCAGTTTTGCGAAATAGTGATGGTAGCAACAATTATTACAGATCGGACTTTTACATGCCGGACCAGACAATAATACCAGGAGATTTTATATAGCTGATATCATGCATGTCGATGATAAGATACCTGTATCTACTAAACAAACAGATTGATAAATATGAAGCTGTTGAGAAGATTGCTTTAGTTTTTTATTGCGACTTGTTTTTCCTACTACTACATTGAATGGTACTAAACTTTGTTTCATGGTGCTAAACCAAATATTTTTTTTTGTGATTTGTGATTAATAATTATCTGATGACATGGTGGGTACAACTGTTAATTTTAGTTTAATTTTCGATACTGTATCGAAAATTAAATCATTCATTCATTCATTCATTCATTTTATATCTATTAATATAAAATGAATATTAATAGATTTATAGAACAGTATTGTGAATTGCTAAAATTGTGTTCCTCTTTTAAATAATGTGCGAAACCAAGCATCAATTATGAATTGAGATTATCAAACACATGTAAACTATATAATTACTCTCTTGCTCAGCTTGCAGGAACATTCCGACGACAATAAAGGCTTGTGATGATGGTTTAATTCATGTGATTAATTTTTAAGCATTCATGCACATTTTTAGGTTATTTAATAGTTACAAAGTTTTTAAGCAATCACCAATTTCATCAAGAATGGATTTACTTTGAAAGTATTTCAAGGCCGTGGCCGTTAATCCGTGAACATCACGCGAAACCCATGACATGATGTCATTGATGACAGCTTTGGAAAAATAACCAGCCGGCTGTAATTCGCTTGGGCACGAAGTACGTACAACTCGATTAATATTAAGGAGAAATTTATGAAATTTTCGTTTTGCTTGTGAATCTTTACGAATACTTCGTTCTATATCTGTCTGTGGGGGAACATTTACTGGGTCCTCAGTTGTTACTGAATCCCTCTTCCATAGTTTAGAGACCATGTTTGATACTTTGTTAATCCAGATAAAGTTCCCGTTTTCATGATCTCGCCTAGTGTACTTTAGTTTATGAGGTTTGGGATTAACAATAACTATCTTATTTTCGGGCCCCTTATTGACAAATGTAACCGACTCATCCAGTTTCTTTCTGGGGGTCTTGGACATGGCATTCAAATAATCGAAACATCCCACCAATTTAGAATATGTTGGTAGAAATTCTGGACTCTGAGGTTGATCAGTTTGGCCTTGTTTCAATGATTGTGTTACAAAGTCTTTCAAGTAAATTGCCGCAGGACGGTTGACTTTAGTGCATTTCTTCATTGCAATCTGAAACATAAGGTCATTGAGCACGTACAACTCCCAAGCAGTCAAATTCTCCTTGGTTATGACCCGGGTTTCTCCTTTATCAACGGCAGACGATTTGTAATAATCCTCCAATACGGCATCTACACACAAAAATAGGGCAATTAATTTTGGTTTCAATAGAATTTTTTATATTTCACGACTTACGTTGAATTTGTACAAGAGGACTTGACAAATTAAAGTTAAGTAAAGTGATGAGAAATGTTGTTGTAAAATAAAATTTCATGATATTTATATTCGAAATATTTCTAAATATTTTCACTTGAATGAAAAATGATTTGATAATTGCTTTAAGTGCGAAGCAGAATGGGAATGCGACCAATTTATAAATAATATTCGAATGGGTCGTTACTTGTATTTATTTGTGCATATTACCAAGTTTGATACAATAATGAAGTGAAAGTTGAAGCATTACGTAACAAATTTTGTCTCATTTTCAAGATTTCGTAACGAGTTCTAATTATGTATCAGCAATGTTCTGTTCTTACGTAGAAAGTTTTCTAGTCAAATCTATTGTTATTGTAGTCATTGCTTTCGAGTGTGATCATGCTGGCGGAGATGCCGCTGGGGGTCCAGCTGGGGCCGGAGGAACTGGAACTGGCGCAGCTGCAGGGGGAGGAGGAGGCGGCGGCGGCGGAGGTGGTGGTGGTTTCTTTTTCAATTTTTCATCCCTTTTGGCCTTGCATTCGAGGAAAAATCCAAATGACGGCATGAATGCGAAAACAAGTAAAGCCAGCATTAATAAAGACGATACGATGTAGTTGCCCCCTCCACCATGTATAACATTTTTGGCGAAAGGTGTGGGGCGCTTAGTATTCGTCAAATCTTCAGGATCGACACGACATTTTCCTAAACAAAATCCAAAGTACAGCAATTGGTAGAGATATTCACCACAAAGGGCCAAAATCATGAGCCAGTAGGGAATTGTCAGCCACATATTGGTCTGAAAATAATTCATGTGCAATTAATTAATATATAGAATTATGCGATATATGTTTATACATAAACAAGAGTTCCATTTACATTAAATGTTGCTACTAGCATAAGAATGGATACGATTGATGCAAGAATCGATAACACGGTCACTGCTATAATAAAAGGATTATTACATATTTAGTTAGTTAGTTGCCCGATATCACATTTGGTTATTTGCATAATTATTAGAATTTTAAACCAACTCAATAAAAGAGTCACGTTATCACGTTCGACTTGACCCTCTTCGTCGCTGTCTTCCAGTTTGGCCAAATTCCATTTTGGAGGGTCGTCCTTGCCCCCCAGCGTTGAGCAGCATACTACAACCAGGCAGATGCCAGCAAATGTAAAGACACTCGTCGTAAGGAATGAAAGAGTTCGACATTGCGATTTTGGTTGGAAGGTATGACAGTTAACTAACTATTTATTAAAAGGGGGCAAAAAGAAGCATCCCAATTTATAACAATATCTCAAATTAGGAGCGTCCATTGGCTCAATCGATTTATTTCATCAAACTAAATTGTAATGTTCCGATAATCAACTAACAGTTTTTTCGTGTACACAAATGTTTTTTTTACTTAACATTTCCTCTTTCTCGGTGGATGGTCCTCTGACTGTTCCTCTCCATGATCCTCTGACTTTTCATCGACTTCTTCTTCTTGACCTTCATGCTTATTCTACAAAGAAATGCTCGGTATAATAAGTACCAATAAATAATTATAGTGGGATAAGTATAGTAGTAGTGGGTGGTATACTTGGTAATGGATGACAATGCCTTTGAAAGGTTGAATCATGTCGAACAGCACCATCATTTTTATGAGCAAGACGATTAGGATGTAGCAGTGGTACATGAGATTCAGGAAAGTAGTAAAGAGCCAAGGAATGCAAAACCAGAAGATTTGCTGCAACCAATATTCTAATCAATTTCATATTACTTCAATCTATTTATAGTGAGTTGAATACAAAATTACTGAATATGCTCCAATTCCCAAAAGAATCGATACCAATATTGTGAAAATCTGAGCTGCTACCATAGCTGTAAATTATGTCAAAGGTGTGATTCAGTCAGAAGTATGCAAATTCTTGTTATAGAATCGAATGAATGATTTGATTACTGTAAAAATATGGTGCCGTGGACGAAATCATAGTCCGATGTTCTTCGCCAACAAGAATCACTGCCACACTTTCCAATATGAAATGCTAGAAATCAATCAAGAATAAAGTTATTTTGTATATAATCGCAATTTTGAGGGTGACTTTACTACAAAGTTAATTGTTTAAAATAATTAAAGGTGATTATCTTATTCTGAAAGTTAACTCTGCATTACCACAACAGAAATGAGTGCGATCAGCATTACAACCGTCCTTCTAGAACATTGACACCACCTGCATTGAATCATTTTTTTCGAAAAAGTCTGTCGCAGAATTAAATTGTCAGACCACAAAAATTATGATACCAAGTTAAGCATTTCTACATTTTCTCGAGGTAATTTACATGTGCATACATGTGCATATCCCATGGAGATGGAAAAAGAACACTGCTACATGAGCATGTACTACTGGCAGACTGTATGATGCAGTATGTACAATGTCAAATGTCATGAACAATTTTATGTCATTGTATATTTCTACATCTTTTTAGATATTTATTTTATATTATTTTATTCCGTTGTACGTGATAGGTTTAATAAATAAATCCCAGGGCAAGAAATCATCAGAAAAAGTCCGAAAGACTACCAAAAAATTGAGGGACATCGATACCATTTCATTAATTAATTTTGCACGCACTTGTATAAATACATAAATACGTACATATATGTATTCTTCAGGTTCATTGTTTACTGGTTTTTCCGATATAAAATGAAAATCTAGACGCGATTTACCGGCAGAGAATGCAGAAACAATAATGCTAACGTGAATTGCAGCCGATACCAATATAAACGTAATAAATAACTACGAGAAAAACTACTTTAGAACAGATAATAATTTGAAATACTTCATAAATACAATCAACAATCAACCGTGACTTATATACTCTGATTATGTATGTACTCATCTCTTTTGTTCTGAGTTTCCGTTGTACAAACTATAAAAACATGTTATCAGAAAGATAATTAAAGATAGCGAAGAGTTTGTGTTCGGTAAGCTCACTAGCCTTGGCTGTGGAGCTTACCAAGTATTTGAGTCATTATTACTCTTAGGCAAACATTTATGACGAATGTGTGGCATTTCTCACCTCAATAATATTTCATTCATGCAGTTACAGGTTGAGTTCCAGTAGAATACTATAACTTAATTCGCATATATATACCACGAGCAGAGTGATTAATGTGAAATTTAAATACTAATTATGAATCTGCTGTTGAAGATATTTAGTTTTTCTGTGATTTGTTGCTTGACTCAAGTGTTTGTCATAATATCTGCGCAAAAAGATACGCCTGGAGGTACACATATACATAGATACATATTTACATATGCTTCTTACTCGATAACTATTTTTGCGAACCTCAGTAAAAAAGTAAAATTGCATCTGTAATTATTTTTTTGTGGTATCCAATCTAGCATGGACAAACAGCAACGCAACTACAACTAGTCGACCTAGCCGGACACGAATTGTTGGCGGTATAGAGACAAAACGGAATGAATATCCATTCATCGTATCATTATTTCGGGGCCAACAGTTGAACGGTCACTTTTGCGGGGGAAGTATAATAGACACATATTGGGTTGTGACTGCAGGTTCGTGATCCGAACCGTATTCCTTGTTGTACATATGTGCATATATCACTCGAGCTTATTCTCGGAGAAGAACGTCTTTATATGTCCAGCTTAGATTTTGATGCCCTTTAGATGCGTTCAAATTTGGTATGGATATGATAAAATGACATCCAGAATTACGAACATGTTTTAAGTTTCAATGAAAACTGGATTTTTGACGTGCGTTTGAAGATTCTGGTTTTAGAGACTGTAATCCTTTTGAGTGGGTGTGGCGGACGAAAATGGGGTCATGACTTCAAACCCTCCACTTCTTTCACTCAAATAGTGCAGCAACATATCCCAAAGGAATCAAAATCTGAGCTGTGCATATAAAAACGCTCTTCTCCCTTATATAATTTTATTTATTTCGGTAGCCCATTGTGTAACCAGACCAGATTTTAAGTTGACTGCAGGGGAACATGACTTGAGAAAATTCGAAGGGACAGAGCAAACAGTTAGCGCTGTAAAAATTGTCCAACATCCGGAGTACAATAAGTAGGTTCATATTTTACATTCAAAAAGGTGGCGGTGGCCAAGATACTGTGTCGACGATACATTCTGAACATTTTAATAAATTTTAAATCATCAGAATCTTAATTTTTAGTATCTTACGCTACTGAATCTTGTCCACTCAATCTTGGCATATTTCGTCTTGAAAAGTTATGTGCATACTCCAACTAATCGACTAAATTATTAAATACGTAGGGCCACGTTTGAAAACGATATCGCTTTGGTCAAAGTTTTTCCTCCCTTCAATTACACTGAATTTATTAAAAACTTCCAACTTCCATCTATTCACTTTATCGCCGCAGGTATGTACATATATGAAAAAATATGCTATAAACGTATTCGATCGAGCTAAAATATTATGGGTCCATTTAATTAATTTCAAATTCATTAGGCAATGTTACGACGGCAGGGTGGGGGGTTCTCGAGGAAGGTTAGTAAGCACTAATTCGAATTTATCATTCTCAAATCCCAAAGGTAATAATTTCATTCATTAATGCTACAAATTTGAAGGTAGCACCCAAGTGTCCCCAGTATTGAGGAAGGTAAAAATATTTTTATGTATGTATCTACCTCCTGTTATCCAGGAATATTTGTAATACTCTCCCGGCCATGCATACAATATTCATACCTATTAGTAAATTCATGATTCAAAATTCAAACTATTTTTAAGGTGACCGTGTCGGTTTTCCCTAATATTGATTGCTCTAAAACGTATGGTAAAGATTTTCACACTGAAAAAATGATATGTGCGGCTGATAAGAATGGAGGAAAAGATGCTTGTCAAGGTATACAGAACTACGTCAAATGATTTCATCAGTACTATTTGTGTAAAATAAAATATTTCTTCAGGAGACTCCGGCGGCGCGTTGCTGTGCGATGACGTTCGGTTTGGCGACACGTTGTGTGGAGTCGTATCATTTGGGTTTGGCTGTGCTCGTCAAGAATTCGCTGGTGTATACACAAAAATGTCTTATTACGTTGATTGGATTATATGGGAACAAACTAAAGATGCAAATAGTAAAAATCCGGACGTCAGATTGACGACAATAAAACCCAAGATAAACCTTACAACCCATGAACCTATATTAGACGATACCATCACTGTTAGTCTCATTAACACACAATCTCCAGAGACCACCTCTAAACGCCCACGTAGAAAGTGGGGCATTCGCTCAGGCTCGATTAAATCTGTCCCATTTAATTTCTCTATTTGGGCATTTATTTCCCTTATTGCTTATTACTGTATGTGAACTTATTGTTAGAAAGTAGGACTAATTCATGAACATTTGATATTGCAGAATAATATTCTAATGAACAAATTGATTACAACTTATTGAATAAAAACAGTAAAATGCACACATTAAATTCCAAATTTAGAATATGCGTACATTATATATCTTTATTATTAAACACAAAACTTCATATAACCTGAGCCAGTAGTCGTTTTCATTGTTTCTGTCTTAATTTTGAAACCCAATGTGGACCACTCTGTCTTTCTTGAGATGGACGGACAGTTAGATGATGTAAATACGTAACCATTCCACAGCTATGGCTCGGCTTAAAATAAGCGCAGATCGTTCTAACTCTGCGTATGAATATAATTATCTAGTGTTAATTTTCCATCGAACTCGGTGAGGAAGACCAAATCAGCAACGGTTTGTTCTACAATTGCTTGCTCCGCTTTTTCGGATATCTGCAACATATGTACATTCGTCAATCATGCTTCATCACTCATGTTTCAGCTTTGTGCTATAATTAATTTATAATTACCATTTTATAATCAATTTCAGTGTCAGGTTTCATCCAAGGTTCCGGACCAAAATTCACACGTACAACTGTATTTCTATAAAGAGATATCGTGGGATAATAAGTACCCTCAGATATATTTTGGAAGGCAGCCCCTTGACAAACTCCATTTTTGAAACCAATTATCATTGAAGATTGGTGAATGGGAAGTACAGCATCATCCTTTTTAGAGGCTTCTGCACCATCTTTCTCTTCATAATATAAATGCGACTTAAATCGAACAAGGGGCTGTAATTTTGTGTATTGAATTAATGCACGTAAACTATGTTGAAATAATTATTTGAAGAAATATATATGTATATAAAGTTACCTTGTCTTTAAACGAGTCAGGGATCAGCGCATTTTTATTATTTTTCTCTGGCAGTACAATAAGGAGCCCAATGACATCTCCTAACCCGTATCCACCCTTTGAAAATGATTTTCCTTTTGCTACGTGGAAGGCAGTTCCATAGCGCGAGCGCCACGAGTAGCCAAACTTGTCGTACCCTAGAGGCCCTTGAAGATTAGCCTGCGCCTGGCCAAATCCTAACCTTGTGGCTCCTCCTTCAGGAAGATCAGTTATTGTGGCTTCAAAGTACCATGCTCCTCGGTTAACGCCTAAATATGTACATATCTAATTAACTTTTATGTTTGTTGATGAAATTATATGCTTAATTCGTGCGAATTACCATGAGTAGCTCTAACCATGGAGTAACCCTTATCTCCAGTCACAGATAATCTGTCGTCTGAGATTTTGAGCTGCGGGGCCCGATCGTGAAGAGCTAATAGCACCGAACATGGTACAAGAACTCGGTATAAAAATCCTGGAATTGGTTTGCCTGCCCCATCACTACTTTCATCAAATTCTTGCCGGAAAGGTGCATTTGGGTCTGGTTCTGCTAATAAGTATCTAAAGTTGTCTTTATTGTAAGGATGGTCGGGTGGATATCCATGGAATGCTTTGGAACTGAAAACATCTCCCCTTGTTTTCTTTGCAATGGTGCCTTGACTCACGATAGCGCCTTCCATTACATTTCTCCTCTTTGAACCTCGACCACGCAAAGCTGCACCTGCTCCTAGTAATGCATAAAGTAATACAAAGATTAATGTGGGAAGGCAAAAATCTAAAACTATAATTGCCTAAGAGCTGTAAATTAACTTGATAAGTGATTATACCTGCACTTGATGGATCATTCACTTTCAAATGGCCAGTTTTAATCATAGCATCATAGTTTGGTTTAATGGTTGTGAGATCAGATGAGGCTAATCCAAAATATGGACCAAGAGGGTCGTCTAGCACTTCATCAATGATATAAAGAGGCCCAACATCTTTTGTTAAAGTTTTTAGAACCTGCATATATCGTTGAGAAAAAACAAAACTTTGTGAGTCTCATATTGAATTGACATTAAATTAATCTTGCATTTTGTTGGAGTACCGTAGAATGCCATGAGGATGTAACGCGTCTGGTTGTTGTTGTGAGAGCATCCCAGTGCATTTCCAGAAAAGGGATAATATCCTTATCTTTGGAAAACAACCTTCTATTGCTCCCATCTTTGACAGCGTATTGCGTCAAATTTGCCAAAACAGTAAAGCACATTTGAGAGAATTCTATTAAAAATATACAAAATACTATAAATAAGGCTATCGCATAATAAATTGGATGCACTTTTGCTTACGTGCTTGACTCCTCCTGAACGATTCTAATCCCGTTGGTGAACAATTTTTGCACATAAACACATAATTTGTCATGAATGGGACCAATTTTCCTAATTGATAACCAATGCAGGATTCATGAAACCAACGATTGCAAGATGCGCAGAGTAATTCTGCAATATTCAGGTTACGATCCTTCGCACTACATACAAAATAAAAAAATATTTACTCTTAACATGATATTATCATTATTATGTAATTGCTATTTACAGTTGTTTTCTTTACAATAGATCATTAATTTCATTTAAGTCATTCATACCAGTAACAATTCCCTTCACGGTCCTGTGATATTCGTCGCCTCGTAATTTCCATCATAACACCATTTTCATCCTCAAGAAACTCCGTGTCGGCGACGTCACTTTCTGCATTTTCCTTGTCGTCACAATCCCCTTCGCCCCCTCTGTCAACGACGTCCTCCTCTTGAATCACCTCCTCCTCGTAAAGTAGCTCGTTCGTCATCTCTTCCTCGTCCTCCTCGTCCAACCCAACATCTTCACCAACAACTTCCTCTGCAATCTCCATCATATCAACACCTTCAGTCATACTTTGCTGAAAACAAATGGGAATTATTAGAGTCGATTTACAAAAAAAAATAACTACAAATTACATATACATTTTCTTACCAAAGTGGTTTCCTCCTCCATCGCACCCCTCCGCAAACTGCTGTAAGCTGATCCTATTGCAACTAATTTGTCCTAACGTGATACGCCAGAAAGGTGACAAGTGTGAATTGGCGAGGCAAGAATCGATGCAAAATGCGGAATCAACAAACCTCCGGTTTGACAGCGTTCCCTCGCAGACTAGGGAATTTCGAGACGACCACCACTCTGAGCTTCGTCTGATATACATACTGTATGTACACATATGAATGAATGAATGAATGGACTATGAACTGAATGAATGAATTCTGGTTTACAGAGAGAAAGCGTGTGTACAAATTGTCATTTGAATGAGAACGCATGCAGTTTTGTAAAACCGTATATTCTGCTCATGGTTGGGGCACATATTGTCACCTTGTTCCAGCACCGGAGATCGGCATTTCATTACAAAGATAAGCTGCTGTATGCTGTATCATAAAATGATTACTGCGATAAGATAAAGTTAATTAGGTGACACATTTAGGACGCAATGAAGTCATAGTTTTCGCGAATTTATAGCAGGACAAAGGGTAGTGGGGTTACTACTTGTAGGACTCGACAGTTTTCAAATGTATTCATTCATAATATTTTTAGGGACCCTCACCTTGTGCTCTTGCATGGAAGTGAGAATCACGGGGAACGGTAAGAGAACATTAATTATTCTCAGTTTGTGTACTTACTTGTATTGAGTATGCCTTTATAATTACTGCGTAATCTGTGCTGATCTGTAGATTCTTCTAGTCGACACGTACCTGATAACGAGTCTCGCATTGTGGGAGGAGAGGAGGCGATTCCGCATGAATTTCCTTGGTTGATAAGAATCCAAAGAAAGACTAGTCAGAGTCTCGTCTGTGGAGGGACAATCATTGACAGAAACTTAATTCTGACCGCAGCGCATTGCATAGGAAACGCGAAAGACGATGCCAACAAATATGAAGTTCTTGGGGGTGCCCATGACATGAATGCCATGGAGGATACAAGACAAGTAAGGAGCATCACAAGGATTAATTGCCACAAGGAGTTCAATATGTAATAACCATTGACGCAAAATACACACATAAATATATGCATACCTTGGGTGATATAATATGATTACAATTTAATGTGAATCTTGATTGAAGAGATACCTTCCAGAATGATATTTGTATCCTTGTACTGGCATCCGACCTGACTTGGACCAGGTCGGTGGGCCCGATCAAACTTGCGAATACGTCTTCCGTGATACCAAGTAAATATTGAATGACCAAGCACTACGGATATGTATAAGAGTTATTTATTAAGGTTTACAAAAGAGTACATCATGGATAAATTATTGTTGCAATCGTCTTGGGATCTTGTAGACTCGGGAACGACTGCTGGCTTTGGCGTGACCGTCGAGGGAAGCTCTGCCACATCCAATCTGTTACAAAAGGTAACAGTTCCAATCGTTTCTAATGAGAGATGCTTCCTTTTATATAAAGAACACGTGGAAATTACGAACGAAATGATGTGCGCCGGAATTTCTGGGAAAGACTCTTGTAAGGCATTGGAAAATGAACTGTACATACATACATGAAATTGCATAAAATTACATACATGCATTTCGTAGGCCAAGGAGACTCTGGGGGAGGGTTAATGTGTAAATCTCAAAATCAAGAGACCATTCTTTGCGGCATTGTTTCTTTTGGAGCTGGTTGTGGTCACGAGGATTTTCCGGGGGTCTATAGCAGGGTCAGCTCGTATGAAGCCTGGATTTCTGAAAATTCTGCAAGTTCCTTTTCTCTCGTTCCAATAACAATATTGACTTTCTCAACTTTGCTCAAAGTTGTAACTTTCGACTGAATAATGGATTCTGATTGACGGTTCTCTGTTGACTTGCAAGTCGCAAGCTAAATATAAATTCATTTCATTGTATGACTCATACCTACATGTGTAAATTGGCAGACTTAATTGGGACTTGGCCAGAGTTATTAAAACATACAATGAAGTATAACATTCTTTTAAGCGTCTTTACAACTATTATTTTCAAATTAATCGCATATACATAGCTAAAACAAAGTACTCGAATTGTGACTACTTAGGATTAGTTGTTAAAGAAATTGGCACTTTGATATATATTTAGTGATGTTTTTTATTAAAATGTAAATAAGCAATATGCACTTGAATTTTTTCAACAGAATAACATATTAATAAAATACTTTGGTTTAAACTGTCGGGCGATTTAAAATTTTTACCAAGAAAACGTCATGAACATAGTATGTACCTAATGTACTTCAACTGTTCTCCAACCTGCATTGCAGAGTCTCTGTCAGATTTATTATTGTGCATACTACACCGTTTGTAGCTACACACATATACTTGACCATGGAAGCAATTTAAAGAAAAGTCAACTTTTTTCTCTAATAAAGTTGTCTGTGCTAGCTCAAGCAGCAGTTAAAAATATAAAGACACCCTGGGAGACGACGACTTTTGCGAGGCACACCACATCTTTTCAACATCAACATCATCCTTGGAGGGAAGAGGAACTGAGTGGACAAGTCCAGGACAGGAAGCAACATTCCAAATTCCTACGATGGTTCAAGTCATTCGGCTTGAGGAGTGACATCCCCTTTCACAAAACCAACCTAAACCTATAGCACAAGTATGTACGTACATAACTAGATATATATGCGATATAGTGATCATCACATGAATAAAGGGGCCAAGAAGAGAGGATGGAATGTTAGACGCCGCAATGACCCAAGTTTCTCCCATGGCAAAAATTTCTCTCTCGACCGACATCTTTCAGTCCAGTCAGTCTCATTATTGCAGTCTTTAAGTTTCTTCTTATGCTTTGGTCGATTTATGTGTACTCGTATTTCGCACTGCTCTCTTGTCCCGTCTCTGTCTTATATTTGATGAAATGAATAAAAACTGGATTGCACGTCACAGTTTTGGAATTTCCTGAACGTGGCGGATTGGGAGTAGGACTGAGAGAAAGTTGCGTAAGAATTCAGCCAAGTGCAGATTCCCATCCAACTTCTTCCTCCCGACGTAGGTATGTAAGTATGCAATGGCGAGAATATTCAAGATTGGTGTCCTTCGGATAAGTAAGCATCAGAGTGGATGAGGAAAACCGAGAGAGCAAGCAATCCACTCCGGCAGCAACGAGGAGAGAGAGCGAGGGGAGCGTGGGAAGAAGTACTTCACCCAACAAACGTGCTCCAAAGGAACCGTAAAGACGTCGCTTTCTCCGTCTTCTCCATGCGAAGTCTGCGTCTCTTCTTCCCCCCATAAAAAAGTTTCATGATTTCGTTAGGCCTAAAAACATGGAAAAGACATTGCTACGAATTGCAATTTTCTGATGGGCTGGCGAAACTTTCTGTGTGGCAAAAAAAAGAATCGTCGCATACATACTTACAAATAAGCCATGCAACTTGGCTTCATATTCATATATCTTCTGACCACGAGGCAAATAAATGTATAGATGTGGAATGCATTTTTTGTATTATTGAGGATGTCGAGTTTGGGGGAAGGTTAAAGAAAGAAAGCCAACTAGGGCTAATTCACCTTTAATCTGGGATTCAAATATATTTAATGGAAACAAGATGTATTTACTTACATATATTGTTCTAAAATAAAAATAATCGTGTAGATAGGAGCCCTAAATTAGATTAAAGTAATCGTCCTAAATTCTATTTAAGTTTGATTATTTTTATTACTTGCATCATATTTGTGTGCCTTGTTGCACTTATAAATGGATTGTGAATTATGATATATGCAAATCATAGTTTAATTTTATTCAGAAGTTTCGTATCTGCAGACCCTAGAGTAATCTAGTTATTTGAGCATCTCGCTGTATTCTCACGAGTTTACGCATAATCAAAATCAAGGAAAAATAATACGTAGAATTATGGTATAATTGTTTTTTACATCATAATTACTATAAAATAAACACGGTTTCCTTATGTAAGTTTAAAATTTTTAAAACGGGTAAGAAGTAAAATCTACATATTTTGTGTCACTTTCCATTCTCAACAAGTTTGTGGAGCTGCAGGTAGCAGCATGGCAAACGAGTTGGAAACAACGAGTTAATGGTTCTTGCCCCCAGGCCCCGTCTCGAATTTACCACCCGTCTAGAAAGCATTTCATTTCTATTCTATCATCATAAAAATGCGAATAAAATTTTCCTTGTGTAAACTAAATTCCAAATGTACACTTTCACCGCTCGTATCACGCACAATTTTCTATAATGTGTTTCCTCACGAGGCGTACGAGAAGGGGCGGAAGAACAACACAACGCATCCCCACCACTACTGACTGACACATGAAGAAACTCGTATGTCCCGAGTATCGGTCCTTTCCATTCTTCTTAGTCTTCCTAAAGGATCAGTTTTCCATCATCAACTCACCCACCTTGCCAATCTGTACCATGGCACGCAGCATGCGTACGTGCAATTTTATTATTCAATTTGCCTTAAATTTCACATGGCTTGACATATCTAATAAAGCTTGAATTATGCATAAACGAAATGTCTCAATAAATTATTAATTAAGTTAAATATGAACCTCTATCAGATAATTATTCGAGAAAGTAAGTAAGTGTGGACCAACCGCACAGTATAAAGATACACAATGTCGTACATATTTTGTTAGTGTGCCTTGTCTTTTCTACCATTATTATTGGATAAAACTATCCTGAATAGGTAACAGAAGATGCAGTTATCATAGGAAGTTCCCAAGAAATATGCACTGCACCAGCTGGCGAGGCAATAATATATTAATATGCACGTTGGGTTCTATGTATGTATAAAGTAACCAATTATTTTTACGTACGTTGGATTAATTTTGACGCCAAGTCATATACGTTTTTAATAGTTTATTGCGTGTTCGTGAAAGTAAACCCTCGTCGTCTACAATAATGTGTCTGTGATAACGAGCTTCGCAAACCAAGTTTGACGAGCAATTACAGTTTTATGACTTGCGAGGTGTTCATCCTTTTCAAGCAACCTCCATGAACCGTAGGACAAAAACAGTTTCATTCATTTCGCTCTTGTCGGTCTCAATTTTAGGAAAATGAACTGTTCGCAATAAAATATTCATGTATGTGTGCAAGCAAACCTTGTGTTCCACTGATCCAACAGGTATACACACGTACGTATATGCGGCGATATAAAGAAAGACCAAACTTGGGGAAAGTTACGGGCATACATAATTTCATTCTAATACAGCGAGTCCAGTCCCACAATGACATGCACGACTGCTCTCCAATTTGTAATGTGTTGCAGTAAATCCAGATTTGAGTTCCTGATAAATGTGCCAAACAAAATCGTGAAGGCCCACATCTCATCAAAATAGGAGTTTATTTCCCTCCCGGATGTGCAAATTTCGTATGTACAATCATTTATTGACGATGTAGATTTCAGCAACAGTAAAGAACCATGTATAAAAAATTTGCATTGAATAAAGTTATTAGTTGATAAAACTAGATTGGAAGCTAAAACAATTAAGTAAACACGTAAAATATTTGTTATAAACTGTTTTATAACGTTAAGCTTTGGTTACTCTTTAATTAAAAAAAATTGGGCGTCCAGAATTTCTGTTTTTTTCACATTCGACCATACTTTGACTTCCAATTGAATGGTGAATGATTGCCTCTTGTTTAAAAAGGTCAGATCGGATTGCAAAAGAAATTGCAACCCGTTTCCGTGCCGAGAATTAGAATGGTGGTTGATGATCCGTCTCAGCCATCATTGCTTAACCGAGCTTTTCACCTCTTGCGTGTATCCTGTATACACTCGAGTCAAAGATTCACTCTCGTATTTGTTCTCATTCGAACACTGATCTTTCCAGAAATCTATCATCCTAAATAACCCACATATCTCAAATTAATTAAAGTACTGCAAGTAAATAAACTCCACAATGATTTCTTGTACTAGTTTTGATGTAAATTGTAGTGCAAATAATTTGGGAATTGCTACGAAATAATGTATGTAGTTTTCCATAAAGAATTCAATTCACCTACTTGCCCAGCATTTTAAAATCATTTTAAAACAACTCAACATCCGTCAGAGATCCATCCTCAGCCCAAGTGGGAGACATTTGAAGAGAAAGCATGGTGTTGGACCACCATTGGAATTTGGTGCACTTGAATTTTCTCTCCCTCTCTCTCACAGTGGAAATGCAGTGAGAAGTCTTCCTTCTCGTAACCGGAGCAGTTAAAGCCCAGGAGCCGGGTAGAATTCTGTGGCAGTTCAGTTTTGCGGTCCGGACACTACAGAGTGACGACCTCAACCCAGCAAAAGCAAGCAAAAGCAAATGCTGTAACACAGCCAGAAATTGAAGTGGAAGACAGTGTACTTGTGCATACTCAATAAACAGAAGTCCAACTTTCACCAAGAGAATTGAGACTATTTAAATTTTCAAACCACCCTTTCAATAAACTAGCTCCGGAGTCAACACTAAAATCTCAGAGTTCGAAGAAGACCTAGTTTTCTTCCTTCAGGCCACCCAAGCAATCTATCAATCCAATGTCGATTAGTATTGATTCACTAAATGCGTACAAATAGCTTGAGGAATATTATCAGAACTGAATGAGTTTGGATGAGTAGTGAGTTTCCTCCAATACTACAATTTCTGCACATTAATTTGAACTCGAAAATATTTGACTTGCTTTCATTGATGATTATATAAATAACTAAGCTCCAATGTTATAATTACAACGATATAACCGTAACCGAGTACTATAGTTCAGCTGCAATCAATTCGCAATTACTGTAGAACAGCAATTTCAATTAAAAATTATTACCTGGTCGCTAGAAAATATACGTAAAATTGTTCATCCAAAGCACCTCAAAAACTCTGGACGTTGACAGTCGGATAAGAGAGATGTGCAAAAAACGCATGCAACCTCAAAAGTGACAGTAGCCATGAGTGGTTGACGTGCATATAACCCCAAGTCGGACCGTGTGAAGAAAGAGTGAAATGTGCAACATTAGCAAGTCAAAGTTAGATTTTTCTTTGGCATGTTGGGATCAGCAGCAAACAGTGACTCAGTTTCACGTCTTTGTTGGAGAGCCAGTCTCTTATGTAAATGACTCAATAAATCCAGTTCCTTGTGTATAAAAAGTTGAAACTTTCAACCGTTGAAAGTGACTGACTGAACCACAGATCAAAAGGGAAACAAACGGAATTCATTGAGAAAGGGAATTATTCATGGCAAGTCGGACGACCAACTCAAAGAAGGATTTGCATTGCTCCTCTCAATTCCGGTTTACCATCAAAATATTTATCAATTCTCGCCTCCTCCGTTTCAATTATACTTCTCTGATTTGAAATTCAAACCCCATGTCCAGAAAGTCCTAGCTGCTGCTCCTCGTGTTGACTCGTGTGAAGTACGTATTCCTTCCAGTTTTGCATGTCTTAACTGGTTCACACAGCTCTGAGGCAAATACTTCTTGTACTAACAAGACGGCACAGCATAATTTGAAAATTCTTGCTACACCTTCACCCACTTCTTCTGGGGAAAATTGGCAAGATACATGCATACAATTTCACGACTACCTCGTATCATCTCAATTGTACCAGAGGAAGCATCAACAGCCTGAAGAAGCGGATGAATCTCTGGTGAAGTATTCCTGTTATAATAAGAATTTTTACCCTATAATCCAAAACAAACACGGATGGAATAACCCACCACCGAGAATCTACAGAAAAGAACTTGACTAAATGTGAAAGCAGCACAAGGTGAAAGACTTAGTTATTCGGTATGGGTTCATAACTTCCGTAGTGGTTAACCAACTTACTTTCATACTTAGTTTGGTGGTACGGTAAATTTCGAGGTTGTTGGCCGATCAGCTATTGATTTCTTAATGTACTTTTTAGCTTCAATCTCTGTTTATCTTTATCCTACATCCTTCACTGAAGGAGAGATTGAACAGACAATAAATAAGTGAACTACTTGCTTGCGACTAGGACTGCAGCTACACACGTATATCTACGTACAGACGTATAATAGCCAGTCAGTCAGTCAGACTCAAGTATATCAAGCCCTTCTTAAAACAAATCTGACAAAAATACGAGCTAAACTCTAGAACGGGAGAGTCTTCGCCATTCGTCTTCTGCTGAACCAGCCACTTTCTCCTGTACAATAATACGACCCCGTAAGTAATGCATTTTATTTCCTCCTCTCTCCTCCTATCCATCTGCCCTATTGAATCAGGCAGGGCAAACTAAGCCCAGTGGCATTTAGCTACTATGTGTATGTACCTACGTACCTATGCACCACACCGAGTGTCGAGAGACCACCCCACCAAACCAACCCACCCAGCACGTACATATGTACTGGCCGTTGCTTTCACCAACAACGGACTCACTTTTGTGAATTGAGCTCTGTTCCAGGCTAACTTGCTTTCACTCTCCACCTGACTGATCCACCATGACCCAGAGTCAAAGTTGAAAGTGTATACAAGGCAGATAACTGATTGAGTAGCAAGACTTGTGTCTCGTTAATATTTTAAAAGCAAAAGTGCTCTGCCCAGATAAAGAAACGGAGGTATTGACTCCCAAAAGTCGCCCATCACCATTCCAATCCTCCCCTTGTTTATCATGACAAGTCCATCAGTCATCCGTCGAGACACTGACTGATTAGTAATTATCAACTAAATCGATTTTGAGTCTTGGATGCAAATATATTCCTCCCTGAGCAAAGACGTTAACGAGCAAATAATCCGTAATCGCCTAAAGAAAGGATTAAATTTATTTATATTGAAACTATTACATGGAAAGGAATTTCATTGGTTTACGATCCCTTACTTTATGGGTGCTTGTTTGCTCTCCATTGGCACACAAAAAGCTACCAGTAATCAACTAATCCTTATTTACGTATGTACGCAGCATGACAAAGTTGGAAACGGCATTAACAACTTTTGCACACCTTCTTGACAATCCGTGCAAATTTGTCGCATTTCACTTGTTCTTAAAGTGTGAACAAAGTCAATTCGTTAGAGAGAAAAGAAGGAGAAAGTTTTTTTGGAAAAACATTCGTCCATTTGATGCTTATTCACTCTACGGTAGTTTTGCGTATTACAAGGAAGGGTAGACCATGTTTTGCTTTTGTTCCTCCTTGTGCATTTGCATCATGGGAACGGGACTGAGGGTGCTTTAGTGTCTTTGCTGAGTCTACTAATTTAATTTATTTAGACCAGTCGATCCATTAAAAGTTCTTGAAAGCGGGATCAGTTCAACATGCTTACGTGCTGCTGCCGGATCTTGTAGAATTGTCGTCCCTTCATCACCATTTCCACTCTCTTCTTAGAGATCTCTTAGCTCATCTACGTTTTATCCACTCAATTTTACATAGATCTTGTAGGTATCCTTCCGCTTTTACCATCCATCCCCGTAACGTGTAGGCTTTATTGCCATCATAGGGATTTCGTTTTTACGGAGGATGGAAATTGCGAAATGGAAGGGAAATGGAGGTGGAAACTTCAATGACATTGCTTTCACCGAGAGACGATGACACGAAGGTTGTGTAGACTGCATCAGGCAATTTACAATTCACGTACAAAAGGAAGGGGTCAATAGGACTGTGTCCTCCTCTGCAAAGTTTCCGTAATGTAAAGTTTTTAGTCCCAAAACACAAATCAAGTAACTTTCAACCTTTTTTAGCAATTGCATTATTCTTTACTTTTGTGAACTCAGGTATGTACGCTCAGCTTATGAAACCTATTGCTTTTGTACACCACACGGGCTGAGCTGAATGGGCTACATATGTACGAACCCACACAGAGGTTGAATTCGACGTCTTTGCCTTTCCTGTCTCCAATCGTGGTGGTGGCAGTGGCAGTGGCAATAGTGGTTTTCCGGTGGCATATCTGCGGTTTACTCGAGGTTTGTTTGGGGAATTTGTCTCACTCTCACTACTCCTGTCTTACCGTCTGAGTACAATGTTTAGGATGTGTTTTCCGCAAAAAAATGGTTGTGGAACTGTGGGAATAGTATAAATAAATAAATCACAGAACGGCAGAAGGGTGAGCGAACATTCGTTTTAGTTTATTGCTTTCACCCGCGTGTGCTTCAAACTGCATCCATTTCTTTGACCCTTCCACTCAACTTCAACATTGTACTAATATTTAGGACCAAAATACTAATGTTCCTTTTCATCCACAACAAAATCATGGGGTCCTGCAACTTATTTAGCTTAATGAATAGAGACCAAGAAAAGTTGACGTGTGGGTTGGATAAGATTTGTCCAATCTGTACGGAGTTCCACACTGGTGAAAACCTTGTCACAATTACTTTGCAAGGAAACAACCGAGTTACAGTCCAACTCGTTTCGTAACCTGGATAAAATTGACAAAAAGAAAACTCTTGAAATGTCCTCTGCGTGCCATTTTGTGGAGATTCACAAAAAAACTGTCATTACAGGTGACAATAAGCTGCTCGAAGTAACCGATATCTCCCCGACTAACATTTTTTGTCACACCAGAGGTAATCTGGGGAAACGTCTTTCGTGTCACCTCAACTACATCTCGAAATTATGTTGCACCGAACTTTCTCTCGTCATTTTTGTTAGACTTTAACTATTCCCCCTCTTTTATTGTGCCTCAGGTTTTTTGGGAAACCTTGGGTTTAGTTTTCATTTCGTTGGGTTTTATTCTGACCTTATCAGAACAAAATCAAATTTCTCTCCTTTGGTTGGGCTTATCATTTATTGGAAATTGACTTTTCCGATCTGTATGCAATCCCTGCCGGCACTACGGCAGTATCTACGTACACTAAGTAAGCTGGAGAATCCTTTCCCTAGATACAGACAACAAGATGGATGCTTACAATTGACTAGGTCACACTTTTCTTTGCAAAATCACATAAAGGAAAGGTAGGCAGTTGTTTACTTGGTCTTTAACTAAATTTAGCTACATTGTTTAAAAGTTTGCAACTTTCTCCATAAACTGACCTCGGCGAGCGAAGAAAACCACGTACACATATGTGAATGGACATATAAGTATCTATATCCAGCACCCTGCCAATCATACAGATAGACAACCACAATCAATGTTTTCCTTGGTGAGTTATTGGCACCATTGTGGAAAGTAACCTACATTGAGCCGCACGTTGCCTCTTTCTGAATGAAGAAGATGAGAGAAAGGAATGCAAGGAGGAGAAAGAATGTGGGATTTGCTCCCTAATAAAGCATCCAATGCACAACTTTTTACTTTTACTTTTTCACGTCCGAATGAATGAAACAAGTGTGAAGGCCTAATTGAATGATTCCCGTGAAACAAGCCCAAGCTTATTATTGAGTGAGCCTATAGTGCACACGACTATCTGCACACCTCCTGACTGAGGCTGACACACACTTCCATTCTTGATTTTCTCTTCACTACTCGAGGATGATAATGATGAACTTCGTTGCTTAGTTGTGACACGTTCTGTTTCCGTGATGTTGCTTATAAGACAAAAAGTTTGCAACAAACGTGCTACCTTTGCCTGCAACCTAAAACTTGTACAACTTTGTTGGATGACCGACCAAAAGATATTTGTTCAAAATTATTCAAGTGTGTCTGAGACAAGGTTTAACAATACATACGTTCTCTGCACAAGGCCAGACAACACGTGGTTACTCCTCCCCCTTTTCTGAGAAACTAGTAATTTAATTTCTGAATCAAACAATAGTGGTGAGCATGTAATGTAACCTCCTTAAAAACATTGTTCGTAGTTCCGGATCGGATTCGCTATTCTACTTGCAAAAGTACGTATGGAGGTACGAAATGCGGGTGGGAAGGAGGACGAACAAAGTAACCAACTTAACCAAATTAGAGATGATTAATGGCATACCTCACGCAACATCAAGTACGCCGAACGATGGTATATTGTCCATCTCCCTTTGTATTGGTTCAGTTCTTGACTCATGCTGAAAGAGCAGAGGAGTACATTAAGCTGGCGGAGTCTCTTTCTCTTTGACTAATCAACCACTGCGGCGCAACTAACCTGTTTGCAAGCAAACTTTTGTTGGAGAGGAGAAAGCCTTGGGGTACAACAAGGGAGAGAAACGTTGTGCTTGCCGAACAGACCGCAAACCCAATAAAACTATCCATCGATACGACCTGGAAGGCAAATTATGAAGTAAATATCAAATTCTCTGTAAATAAATGCCCCAGGTTACATGTACTTTCACGATTAATAGGTTTAGATAATCGCCATTGTTATTATTACATTATTAACTACAAAGACGGGCAAACTGCATAAACAAGTCGTAACCAAACCGTTATTGATTGCCCATTGTTCTGTTCAGCTTCGTTCTTGGGATTGATTAATGATGAAAGAAAACCACCCTTCATTAAAAATTTGAAACAGCTCTTGTGGTTTGGTAAAAAGTCGGGAACTGTTAAAAACCGAGTCAATTTATTGTCATGAGAAATTGACTTTTTGAGCTGAAGTGTAATTAATGAGTACAGACGTTATTGAGGAAGGGTTAAGATTAAAGCGGGTGAGTTAGTTAGTTAATGCTGTCACTTTTTACTTACTTACATACTAACTTACATACAAGTGAGTTCTTATTAGTGGATTACAAACCTGAACGAATAGCCTTCATTCATTTACCGACGGCGAGATGGGAAATGGGAAAAACGTAGACAAAAAGTGGTGACAGAGTGCTTTCTCTGGTTTCATTGTTCGAGTTCTTATGCGTGAAGACCAATGATCATATGAAGGAGCAGTACTATACAGCATTCAGCCCTTCCCTCAGCCACCTCTTGGTCCATTTCGAGATGGATTTTGGATTGAAAGGGGAAGGAAAACCAATTAGGAAGTCGTACGTGGCCTTTCTCCTCTTGTCTCTTCCTACTACCTGTCAACAGTACGGCTGAAATCACATAAATAATCTCTGCCACCATCACTCACACTCTGGCCTTTCATCCTTTCACCGACGGATGCGGCCTAAAAACTTATACATTCTCATTTCGTATCTGCCCCCAGCAGTCATTCACATGTTTAAATACTTGAAATGAGAATTATCGTAGTTGGTACGAAATAGATACACATATTCCAACTTACATACCGGACCAGGTACGTATGTACTTATAACATTGGCATGGCTTTATTCAGGGGGAGTTAAAATGTTAACATGTTATGTCACATACCTATTTGATAAATTCCCCAA